ACAGTTTTGAGGTAAATCTAGAGTAGCTCCTGAACCTGTGATACCACATACCAGTACTATTTGTTTTGCACAAATTAGCATCACCATACACAAGTTTACACACTTTCTACATTTTAATTAGATACAGGTACTACTCCGTACTACATACTTTCAAGTTATATATGTCTAAATATGTATGTTAAGCCAGCCATATGAGAGTCTTTATAATAACTCTGCTAATCAGGAGCTCTTTTCCTTTGCAATTATGAATCAATTCCCACAGCTCCAATTAGAATTGACACTCTCTTCAACTTGTGCAGGGAGGGCCAATTGGATCACACATTGAAAGCAGGAGACCCAGATCCTGATTTCTATGGCCATCATGTCTGGATTCTGATCCTCAAAATTATATACCAACTAGCCAGTGCCTACTCTCTTGGACTGAACATATAATTGGTCCATGTAGCAGATTCCATATACCTTCTCCTAATGACGGCATGGGCCCATACACCTGGTGTGTGTGTGCTCCCATACTCTTCTAGCAACAGCTAACCAGCCGTGACATCTGAAAACTGCAATTATGGTATATCTGGTTTTTGGTTCAGAGGCTCTGTTTTGAAATGGATGTTTTTTTTTTGGTTCAGAGGCTCTGTTTTGAAATGGATTATTGAGGCTGTGTTTAGTTCACATCAAAATTAAAAGTTTGGTTGAAATTGGAACGATCTGACGGAAAAGTTGGAAGTTTGTGTGTGTAGGAAAGTTTTGATGTGATGGAAAAGTTGGAAGTTTGAAGAAAAACTTTGTAACTAAACACGGCGTGAATTGATTTTTGCGGTGAAATATCTATTTAATTATATGGATGAATTAAATTTTCACCTCTTTCTTAATAAGATTTTGGATGTTATTTTTATCGACCCAGAAAAATAAATTAAATATTTTGATAAATAAACTTAATAAATAATTTAAAACAAGTGGTCTAAGCAATGCATTAGGACATTTTTTTAGAGAATATATTTTTCGAAGCATGTAGCAAATGCTTCGTTTCAACAATCAGGCGCATATAAGCTTGGTATTCATCGACATATTGTTCACTTTACCGATGAAAAAAAATGCAGTTTTATCCTTTCAACTCTTGCTTGATGCAGAAGAGGCTAGCAGAATTTCATTTTGCATATATATTATCCTAGAAAAATGCTCTTGCTTGATATGATCTGGCCGAAATTTAATATAATTAACCAGTTGGAAACTTGGAACGGCCGGACGCACTGTTCACATGAAAAATATTAAAGAGGAGCACCCAACTAATCACCGTGTTTTGGGATAAAGTGCATGCCATCTCAGCTATCATTGGAGCTGGTGAGTTGTGAGCCGTTGTTTTTCTTTCCCAAGAGCTTAAAAAGTGCTCCTGCTAACTATGGCCCTGTTTGGTTTCATGGGCTAAACATTAGCCCCCACTTTTAAGTCATGAATTAGCCCTCAAGAATCCAAACATGTATACTAATTTTTGGCTACAGTGAATTAGCCCCCCTCAAAACATTAGCCCCTCCAAGGGGTGCTAATGGGACTAATTTTGCACAGGTACCATAAAAAGGTAGCCCTCTCTCCTTCTCTCTCCTCTCTTTCTACTCTCTCTCTCTCTCCACATTTTAGTCTTGAATTAGCCCATGGATCCAAACATGCCACCTTAGACTAATGTTTAGCCTACCAATTCATGACTAAACATTAGCTCTTAAAATTAGCCCTGGGCTAATCTTCCAAACAGGGCCTATAATTTCAAAACACTTTAGAATTGAATGATCATTTATACTGCAAGACGTACAGAAACATCTCCATGAATTCATCCAGTTAACAGGCAGTTTAATTTCCTGGCTGTGCTTGGTTGGCTGTACCGTTTGTACTGTTTACTGATCAAAAGATGGATTAACGATCCTTCCGTATGTTTCAAGAAGAAACAAAGTACACCAAAATTCAAAAACCTGTGGTCTATACGTACAGATTTGAGTGTTTGTGCATGGCAGCATGAATGGTACATTATTTGAGGAATAAAGAGGCGAACGATGGATTTAATTATATCGAAGTCGCTAATGTAATTACTCCGTTGTTAAAAAAAAGATGTTATTGGCTTTTGAACCTAACGTTTTATCATTCGTCTTATTAAAAAAATAGTGTAAATATATAAATATAAATTATACTTAAAATGCCTTTAATAATAAAATAAGCCACAACAAAATAAACAACAATTACATATTTTTTAAAATAAAATGAATGACGAAACGTAATATCCAAAAGATAAGATCCGTCTTATATATTGAAACGGAGGTATAGCATAAGACTAGCAAAAGTTTAAATTACAGTCTTCATTTAAATCATCATGCTCAAGAATGGTTCTGATGTTAGTTGGACACTAGTGGTCGTTCGGGGCCGACGTATGGCATCATTCGTTAAATCAATCTTAATTATTATTCTTATTGCTAATTACATCTTGCATTCTTACTAATTTATAAAGCCAAGCATGTGAAAATTGGACATTAGTGTGTTTTGGTTGTTAATTTGTAATTAACAATTGGTATATAAGATAATTGGTTTTTGATATTTGGTGGATAATTGATGGGTCCAGTGCCTTTACGTGGATGATAGAACCAAAGTGTTTTGTACTCGTTTTGTACCACTGCAAACTAAGGCCATTCCTAACCCAGAAATTATCAAAATAGTCTTCATATTTGCTAGTCATACAGACACTATACATAGAACTATATATACAATGAATGGTTTCTTCAAATTAAATTTTCATCCAATCATCTCCCTACTCTCTCATTTTATCCACCTATTCTCATGTTTTCATTTTTGGTTCTGGTGTAGAGATGGTTTCTTGCACGAGAAATGATTTTTTTTATTTTTTTATCTCTCTTTATTAACTCTCTTACTACATTATATTTTTATTTATGTGACAATATATTTAATGCTATGGATAATAGCTGACATGGAGGATTGGGACACACTAACAGCTAGTTAGAGTTAATGATGTCCTCGAAAAAAAAAGAAAAAGGAATTAACGATGTCTGTGGAGAGACAAATAAGAGGTATACTCCACCGTCTCATAAAAAACGAATCTAAAACTAGATGTAACATATTATAGTACGATGAATCTGGACATATGTATGTTTAAATTGGTAGTACTGGAATATCTTATATCCGGTACTACGCTGGTTTTTGGGACGAATAGCATATAGCAGATATGTAGCACTTCCTCCGTCCCATGGTACTACTACATGGTACTACTAGTACTAGGAAATTTGAAAAACGAAAAGCTCAAAATGTTTTCCCCAAAGTTTCAAATGACTAAAAACATTCCCGCTAATTGCAACAATCTACTGTGCCACCGAAAGAAAGAGAAAACCTTTAGGACCGGATCCATGACCTTTAGGGTATCACCCATTTGGTCAACAGGAAAGGGCAGGATAGAATCAAATCATAAATGTCTCAACCCCATCACCTGCCGCTCTGCCACGTCTGCTATGCAACATGTGCTAGAGAGAGAGTTTAGGGTTTGTTTAGTCGGTGAAATAAAAAAATTTTAGATGTCATATCAAACGTTTGACTGGATATCGAAAATTATTTTCGGATACGAATGAAAAAACTAATTTCATAACTCGTCTATAAACCGTGAGATGAATCTTTTGGGCCTAATTAATCTATCATTAGTATATGTGGGTTACTATAGCATTTATGGCTAATCATGGACTAATTAGGCTCAAAAGATTCGTCTCGTGATTTCCTCCCTAATGGTGCAATTAGTTTTTTAATCTATATTTTAATGCTCCATGCATATGTTTTTAGGAACTAAACAGGGCCTAAGCCTCATCGGTTACTCCTATTACCTAATAAACCAAAACGACTTATTAGAGTATAAACATTAATTTATAAATAAAACTTTTATATATTTGTTCTTAGTAATTTGAAAGTTAATACTGAAAGAAACTATGTTTAAAATATATTAAAATCAATTTTAATATTAAGTTCCAAAAATCAAATTTTAATATTTACTTTAGCTTATTAGACAAACCAACAAGGCTTTTGTGTTTGTGGGGATGAACTGCTGAACTGTGTGGAGCGATAGTAGCATTTGATGGCAAGTGCAGAGCTTACTGCAGCAGCAGTTGGACTGGTCTTTGGTTTCTCTCCCTTGGGTCCAGATTTCTAGGCCAAAACAAGGTGAGGCCATGCCATGGCTGCCCCTCTCTCTCACTAGCACAGTAGCACTATTCCATGTCCTCTTCTGCAAGATCAAGATCTCCTTCCCTATCATCCTCTTCCTATCCCTAATCCCTGCACATTGCATGCAGTGATGCTGTCCCACTGGTGCTTAGGGTTTTTACCCAAAGGCTAATGCATTGCCACCATTATTTAAGTTGCTACCTAAGCTTGGGGCACTGTAAAATAGTTACACAGTGTGTGGTCATCACCCTCCAATGCACATAAAACAAGGTCTTACTAGCCTATTTTATCACCAAACCCCCACTTTGAAAGCACTGTTTCAGATGTGAATCACCCTTTGCTTTGCTGAATCTACTCCTACATGGTGAATACTCCTAATATAGGGAGCATGCATCAATTGTAGTGGCATGCAACAACACTCCTATCAGGATGTGCACAAAGTATAATGTGCATACTTCTCCCGTCCAAAAAGATTTAAATTGTCTAGATTTATCTTTAGAATTTAAATCATTTTGGACAAAGGAGGTACATCTTAAGATGAGACTTAAACGGAATATTGGACTCAAATGGACATGAAGAAAAACTCTTATTGTCTTCACGTTGTCTTATCAGCCACGATCAAAATTTAAATTTTAAACTTACATTTAGAGTTAATTTTAAGGTTTTCTATTATAGTTTATTTTTTCAGCTATAACCTTTAAACAGGTAAGAACACATATATAAAAATTTTCCTAATAAAAGTGTTTTATATAGTTTATTTTTTTCCACCTGCTTTGGCATTGCTGCTGCAGTTGAGCTGTACTGTTTTGGTGGGTTGGTTTTTGGCCTTGGCTTGCATCTCACCATTGGAAATGGTGCTGGTCTTCTTCATCACTTCACCTTGCAGTTGTGTGCCACTAGCACTAGCACTAGTAGTAGCTCCACATTCACTTGCTCCTTTTGATGCCACACTCACACATTTATTTATTTTTAGGGTTTGTGGTGGTCATATGAAGGGAGGAAGAGGGCCCTTAAACTGAACCTGTACTTTGCTTGTCATGAAGGGGCCTCCACCCTTCATTTCCTCCTCCTAGGACAAAGATCACAGGAGGTGGGATAGTTATAGTTATACCCGTCCCATTCAATGGCTTGAGTGGGAAAAGCTGGCCTCTTTTTTAAATTCCAAATCCGGCTCCAGTCTCTCCTTGCCATTTTTTTTCTTGGTTCTTGAAGCTAAAGCCCCTCATCAGCAAGTGGTTCTGCATTTCTGCAGAAAACAATTGATATTATCAGTGGTTTTTCTGTGGCATTGGATTCCTGAAGGATACCTTACCAGTAAGTTTTTTTTTCTCTCTTGAAACTTCTTTCTTTACACATTTTTTTGGATGCAAATGGAATCAAGTTGAGAATCAATCAGAGAATCTGCAGGTTATTAGAACAGTTCTTTGTGTTCTTTGTTTTTTTTTAATCAGATGTGATTACTCCATGTCTCCATTTGCTCTCTTTCATCGATTTTGTGACAAAAATCTGTTGTTTTGTTTCCCTTTCTCCCCCAAATCTTTTGATAGGAACATGAGGAGCACAAGATCATGCAGTGCATTGGAGATTGCTTGCCAAGGTTTGTGATTTGGTGGTAGCCATGGAGGAAGAGAAGGAGGCTGGGAGCTTTCTTGATGTGCCCAAGGATATCCCCATTGCCGCCACCAAGTCGCTCACCATCCGCACCAATGGCGGATTCAGCAGCAGCTCCGACCGGTCAAACCCCATCTCGCCGGCCATCTCCATCACCCCGCACCTCTACTCGCCGTCGCCGCCGTCCTCCGCGTTCGTGTCGGCGCTGCAGTCGCCGTACATCTCGCCTCGAGTCCTCGAGCCCCCGACTCCCGCTGCGGCGCCGCCGCCACCGCAGGAAGCGGCGGCGCCGTCGCCGCCGGCGTCCTACTCCAACTCGGAGGACACCGATGCGCCGAGCGCGTCGCGGACGCCGCCGTCCGAGCGCTACGACTCCGGCGGCATCGACCCGGCCACCAAGGTCTCCGACTGCGGCGGCGGCGTGCAGCCGCGCGTGTCGTTCTCGTTCCCCGTGCCGCGGGTGTCCTTCACCCGCGGCTCCGTGGCGTCGCCGTCGTCGAACGCCAAGCTCCGGAGCTGCGACGTGTACATCGGCTACCACGGCAATGGCAGCCTCGGCCGGTTCTGCAAGTGGCTCAAGTCGGAGCTCGAGCTGCAGGGCATCGCCTCCTTCGTCGCCGACCGGGCCAAGTACTCCGACACGCAGAGCCATGAGATCGCCGACCGGATCATCTGCTCCGTCGCATTCGGCGTCATAGTCGTCACCATGTCAAGTTTCCTCAATCCGTTCAGCCTCGAGGAGATCAGGTTCTTTGCTCAGAAGAAGAACCTGGTGCCCATACTGTTCGACACCGAGCCACCGGAGATCGCGGGGCTTTTCGACGGCAAATTGGAGGATAAGGAGGGGAAGGAAGCGTTCGAAGGATTGATGCGGTGCCATGAGTTTAAGCTTGAGGCGAATGAGACCAATTGGAGAAGCTGCGTGTCCAAGACGGTCACCTTGCTGCGGTCCAAGCTTGGCAGGAAGAGCATTGCTGAGAAGGAGAGTGAAGGGCCTGAAGGAATGCCTTTTCCGCGGAACCGGCATTTCGTTGGAAGGGAGAAGGAGCTAAGTGAAATTGAAGGAATGTTCTTCGGTTCCACGGTGGATATCCAAGAGGTTGATTGCCCGAGGGGTTCCGCTGCGAATGACAGATCGAGTGGTGTGTCTGATGGGTTTGCTGATGAGGAGAGTGACACAGTGAGGACATCGAATGCCAGGTATATCAGTTTGGAGATGCGCAAGTGCAAGGAGCCGACATTGGAGGCCTGGATTGATCCAGTTATAGAGTTATCATCGGGTAAAGGGAGAAATCTTCAGAAGCAGAGATCAAAGCACAGGAGGTCAAGGTTTCGGTGCAACAGCAAAGGATATGGCAGTGCCAGTGTGCTCTGCATCACTGGTTCTTCAGGAATTGGCAAGACTGAACTGGCATTGGAATTTGCTTACCGGTATTCACAGCGGTACAAGATGGTCCTGTGGATTGGAGGTGAAGCTCGGTATTTGAGGCAAAACATACTCAATTTATCCATGAATTTGGGATTGGACATCAGTGCAGAGGCTGAGAAGGAGAGAGGTAGGATCAGGAGCTTTGAGGAGCAGGAGTTTGATGCTTTTCAGAGGGTGAAGCGGGAGCTGTTCCGCGACGTGCCGTACTTGCTTGTCATTGATAACCTTGAGAGTGAGAGGGATTGGTGGGAAGGTAAGGATCTCCATGACTTCATCCCTAGGAACACTGGAGCGACACATGTCATTGTGACCACACGTTTACCACGTGTGATTAACCTTGAACCGATGCAACTGCCACAGCTCTCATACAATGATGCCATGATATTGATAAAGGGGAAGCAGAAGAATGACTATCCGCCTGAGGAAATGGAAGTTCTTAGGAAGCTTGACGAGCGGTTAGGTCGGTTGAGCTTTGGCCTGTGGATCGTTGGTTCACTGCTGTCTGAGCTCATGATTACACCTTCCACTCTGTTTGAGGCTGTCGAGAGAATATCACTGAATGAGAGTTTGTTCCCACTTGGTGCCAATGACGATGGCTTCTGTCGTAACAATTCTTTCCTAATAAAGGTCCTGGTCTTTTGTTTTGCATTGATGGACCGAGCAAAAGGAGGAAGCCTTACCTCAAAGATGATTATCGCTGGTTCTTGGTTAGCTCCTGCTCCTGTGTCGTCTACGCTATTAGCTGCAACAGCGAGCAAGCTACCAATGAAAGGCAGTATGCACCTGTTGGGTGAATCCCTGAAGACTGCATTTCTATGCGGCACACATTGCTTTCTAGCTCCACATGGTCGAAAAGCTGAGGTGGAGTCAGCACTCTTACTTGTCAAGCTTGGGCTGGCAAGAAAGGCAACTCGTCATCCTGGCTGCTGGATCCAGTTCCACCCAATAACACAGCTCTTTGGCAAGATTAGGGGAGGTTTGGCACCAACAACTGCAGCAGTGAACGGCGTAATGAGGGCTGGTAACCCCTCAGTGTACTCGGACCACTTATGGGCTAGTGCATTCCTTGTGTTTGGTTTCAAGTCTGAACCACCTTCTGTTCAGCTCAAGGCAGTCGACATGGTGCATTTCATAAGGAAGACGGCACTTCCCTTGGCAATTGACTCCTTCATGACATTCTCACGGTGCGGCTCGGCTTTAGAACTGCTCAAGGTGTGCACCAATGTCCTTGAGGAGGTGGAGAAGTCTTACGCATCGCGGATCCAGGACCTGAACCGTGGGTCGCTTTGCTGGAGGAAGAAGCTGCAACCGAATCACCGTGTCGATGAGTTTGTCTGGCAGGAAGTGACGCTGCTCAAAGCGACACTGCTCGAGACGAGGGCGAAGCTGTTGCTCCGAGGTGGGCTGTTTGACACCGGCGAAGAATTGTGCAGGACTTGCATTAGCATCCGGACTGTTATGCTTGGCCATGGTCATGCCCATACACTGGCTGCTCAAGAGACATTGGCAAAGCTGGTCAGATACAGGAGTAAGATTTGAGATCATATCTGAAACCCTTGTGAGTTGCTGCAATGTACTGATGTGTATTCCTTTGTTACTGTCTTATAGAGGGTGATCAGAAGTTTTCATGTCTCGGCATTTCTGAATCTGTGACGCCAACAAGTTTTGTTAGTGATGGTCATATGATAGCCAAAAGCTTCACGGTGCCATATGAATGTAACTTGAGTCGCTATGTACAGTACAGTTCAGTTACTATTTCATAAAACTTTTAATCTCTTTACTGTTGAGTTTTCTGGATTCAACTTTCAGAAAGGGAAATGGCTTTATTTCATCAAGATAGTAACTTTGGTGAAGAATGTTCACTGAATCAGTTCATTTAGACGAAGCATTGTCTCTAGCTGATAAGCAGAAGATGTTCTCAAGCTGTTCATGCTTTCTGAGAACCTGCACCTATTGACTAATCTAATCTGCATGATTGGTAAATGTTTTTTGTTTGTCAGGATTCTCCATATGAGTATACTTATTATCAGTCATACGCTTGATGCAGCAGTATATACTAATATTTTCAAGCTTTCAAGATTCAGCATAGAACAGTGTCCAGTAACCTGTCCAGGTGAGTGAAGACTAATCTCATCTGTTGGATGAAAGATATGTACATAATCCTGCATTCATGGTCTAATCTGGGCCTGAAATATAAGTCCATAAATTCCATGTTTGAGTAGATTTTCCTTGTATGTATGGCTACAATTACATCAAATGAACAACCTTGCTTCCTGATTCATCTTTTGAGGCAAGATTGTCAGGAAAAATGGTAACGTCTGATGAGCACCCCAGGGATCTTTTTCAGTGACATTTCACCGAACAATTCATCCTTTTTCCTGGGAAAGCAATGCTTTGACTGATCACTGAAAGCAGTGAAACATCTTTTTCTTGGTCAAAATACTTCAGTTTTTGCTTCACGCTTGGTTTGCAACCACAGAAAGAAAAAAAAAGCTCCTTTCTAGCTTAATGCGTCTAGTGAATAGTGACAGGACGACATGCTGAAATAGTGAAATATTACGCCTTTTTATCGCAACAATGACCACCAATGTTTATGTGGATTCTCCACTGAAATTATGACGTGCTAAGCAAATACTCCAAGCAATAATGTGGGACAGGTAAAACAGAAAATATTGCAAAACATCCAAACTGTTTCGTCATGACACAGGAAACAAATACCATCGTTGATTTAAAATTTGAAATTCGATTTTATGATTTCTTCGCCACTTTAGTGCATAGGTTTATTTTCATGATTGCTAAGAAGGTAAGTAAACAAGCACAAAATTATTCGTAAAAACTAAATTTCATTTAAAAAAATTTTATAGGAAGCTAATCCAAGCACAATATCGATATTTTCCCTCTGCAATCCAATTTCCAAAGCCATAAAAAAAACACCCATAAGTTGTCTGAAGTTTTACATTCCACCACATAGGTAAGTTTGTTGCAAATGCCCACCCCTATTTAGTTTTATTGCAAAGACCACCCCATTGGCACATGCTTAACCTCATCTTATTTTCACTAATGTAGAGCCACCCATAGGCTAAACTACCTTAGTCATCTTATCCAAGTACTTGTATTAGACTTACTTTTCATGTTTCATTGATTTTCTTTTTATATAGAGAAACTCAGTGCGACATTTAAATTTTCATTGGCAATTCTACTCGTGGAATCTCCAAAAATACATCGAGACTATACTTGTAGAAGTATTTAATTTGGTAGCGACCACATTGATAACTCACAATTTACGAAATGTTGATTGGATTTAAGCATGTGCATACTAGGGTGAGTTTTGAAAAAAAAAACTAAGTAGGGTAGTGGGTATTTGCGACAAAATAGCTTGTGAGGTGAATATCAAACTTCAAGTGATTAATGGTTTGAAAAAAAAAGAACATGTTCAAGTGGTTTTATGCCAACCTAAGCCAACCATAGTGAATGGACCTGGCAGGTGTCCACTAGGCCCAAGTGCAACCCGGCCCAACCAAACCTCCCACCCACCAATTGCAACTACAAACTCTCTCGAGGGCTAATCTGCAAAAACCGCCACGCGCGAACGTGCCTTCCCCTTCTCCTACCTCACCTCTCGCCATCGCCACCCCCAACCGCCGACGAGATCGAGGCCACCGGCGAGATCCGCCGCGAGATCCTCCCCTTCCCCTACTCCGATGCGATCGCCTCGGTTCTAGATCCCCCTCGCTCGCACGCGGCGGGGCATGATGGCGCAGGCGAGCGACCTGGAGCCGCTGCGGTCGGGGGCGGGGGCGCTGCCGTCGTCGGCGGACCCGGACTCGCCGTCGACGCCGAGGAGGAGCCGCGTGCGCGAGCTGCTGCGGAGCCTGGACCGCCGGCTGTCCAGCCGGGGGCGGCACCACCGCCACGCAGCGGAGGGCGCGGCGGCGTCCCCCAGGGGCGGCGGCGGCGGGGAGCCCGGGTCCGAGGACAGCGACGAGCTCGGGGACGGCGCGCCGCCCGAGTGGGCGCTGCTGCTCGTCGGCTGCCTCCTCGGCCTCGCCACCGGCATCTGCGTCGCTGCGTTCAACCGCGGGGTAAGTGAGAGATCTGCGTGGGGAAAGTTGCGGGAAAAAAAAAACGTTAATTACCTTAGACTAGGAAAAGTCTGGTATTCTTGCGAGATCTATATCTTTAAGGTGATTGCTTGGGATGGGATATATGAGCAGGGGATTTCTACTGGACAGTTTAGGTTGCAATGAATAAACGCAATGCTGTATATAGCACCCTTCAATATGTAGGTACACTTTGTTTTGGAGGAATTTCTTGTCTGATTTGTGTGAGAATGAGAAAATGGACATTTAGCCACGTTCAAAACAGGGTTTCGCTAGAATGCAATCTTGAAAACGTGTTTCGCTAAAATACCAATATAAAGCGTGTGCTCACCGCCACTTTGCCATTTTGGCCCTTTTGTGTATTTTCGAAATCATTTTCGCTTCTTCAGTGGGTAATGAGACGAAAATGCCCTTCCATCCACCATCCTTCCCCTTCCGTAGCCGCCGTCGACGAGGGCGGGATGGCCGGCAACGCCGCTGGATGAGCCCACCGCCACTGCCGACGAGGGCATTTGGGTGTGCGGGTGCGCGGAGTGATGGAACCACCGGCGGCTGCCCCTGGCCGCCGCCGCCGGACAGCACCAACAAGGCGGAGGCGGAGGCGGAGGCGAGGTCGTCAAGGAGGCCTCGCGGCGGCGGAGGCTTGCGCTCCATCTCACCAGCAACTGCTGCTGCCTCTCCACCGCGTCCCCCTCCGCCTCCATCGCCGGCGAGGCTCGCCAGCAACTGCTGCTGCCTTTCCACCGCGTCCCCCTCCGCCTCTGTTGCCGGCGAGGCTCACCAGCAGCTGCTGCTGCCTCTCCACCGCATCCCCCTTCGCCTTCGTCACTGGCAAGGCCATGGGCCGCCCCTTCGCCTCCGTCACCGGCGAGAACATGGGGCCGCCTCGAAACCCTAGCCGCCGTCGTCAACCGCAGTGAAGCGACCTCGTCGGAGACCGTCGTCGACCGCGGCGAGGTAGTCGGCGGAGGTGGCGAGGTCGAGGGAGAGGAAGATGTCGGAAGACTCGCCGGCCACCTCGCCGTCTGGGAGGAAGACGGTGAGCTGCTTGTGGTGGACATGGAGATTGGCCAGCGAGGACGAGCTCCTCTTCCTCAACAGCGGCGACGGAGGACATGAAGGGCAATTTTGTCTCATCGCCCGGTGGAGGAGCAAAAATGATTTCGAAAATGCACAAAAGGGCTAAAATGGCAAAGTGGCAGTGAGCACGCGTTTCATATTGGCATTTTAGCGAAACGCGTTTTCGGGATGGCATTCTAGCGAAGCCATGTTTTGAACGTGGCTAAATGTCCATTTTCTCGTGTGAGAATATGGACTGTACATTTACTTTATCCTGCCGTTTAGGGTGTTTCGTGGAGATGATAATGTATTTTCTTCATGTGAAATTTGATGCCACGGGGATAGTTGATACAAACATGAGGTCTTTGCTAGTTAAAGTCTTCCTCTTATGGCATGGGTTTAGGTGAAAACGAATCTTGCGTGGTATTATAATCTGCTGAGGTTTACTAGATTATGTCTACTTGCTGGCAATTTTGGTGCATTGTTTGTGTTCTCTGAATACTTCATAGATCTGAATTGATCAGATAGAAACTCAGAAAAGTCCTACCGGGTTAATACAGTATGTGCCTATTTTACTTTGACTGAACTGCAATTAATCGAACCCCCATTTCTTAAAGTTACTAGAAAAGGCTCTTTCCTTGAAATAACTTAGATCTGTTAAGCGGGAGCTATCCAATCAAGTTTAGATGATCATTTCTAAACCAAAAGTTTCCTGTTTGTACTTTTCTCATATACCAATCTGCTGGTTCAATAGTGGCTAACTATTCTTTTCAGGTGCATATCATACATGAATGGGCATGGGCAGGCACACCCACAGAGGGAGCTGCTTGGCTTCGCCTCCAGAGACTTGCTGATACATGGCATAGGATATTGTTAATTCCAGTGACTGGTGGAGTTGTTGTTGGTATGATGCACGGATTACTGGAGATATTTGAGCAGATAAAACAATCATTATCATCTCAAAGGGAAGGTGTTGATTTCATGGCTGCGATTTTTCCTACAATCAAAGCAATACAAGCTGCAATTACTCTAGGGACGGGATGTTCATTGGGGCCAGAAGGGCCAAGCGTTGATATTGGTAAATCTTGTGCATATGGATGTGCTGAAATGATGGAGAACAATAGGGAACGGAGAATTGCTCTTGTTGCTGCCGGATCAGCTGCTGGGATTGCTTCAGGTAATTTTAAATAATCATCATCTGTTTGATTTTTTTACATTCATCTGGGAATTGCAACAGATTGGAATCGTTTCCCACTGCCTTTTAGCATTATAAGATGTTAGTACAAGTTAACAAGAAAAGGAAGATAAACTAATTCTGCAAGCAACTGGAACTACAAATACAATACTATAGATCTTTGTTGTACCACGTATCTTTGCAATTTCATCTCTTTAACATCCAGTATCTTCAGGCCAATGCTTTTTTCTTTATTCTCTCCTGACACTTGTGTTGCTTTGTCTTTAGGTTTTAATGCTGCGGTTGCTGGATGTTTTTTTGCTATTGAAACAGTACTGAGGCCACTTCGAGCAGAGAATTCACCGCCATTTACCACTGCTATGATTATATTGGCATCAGTTATATCATCAACTGTGTCCAATGTTTTGCTAGGGGAGAAGGCAGCTTTTATTGTCCCGACGTATGAACTAAAATCTGCTGCTGGTATTTTATCTTATTCTGATCAAACCTGGTATTACTGAAGGTGGATTTTGCTTAGTTAGGTATTGAACTTGAGTAGATTTTTTTTTGTTCTTACTACTATAGCAGAGGACTCGTGATATCCTGCCTTTATAATCTATTTTATATATGCATCACGCATTTATACACTTGTATATGCTCATGGTTTTGAAGTTTTGTGGTTGGTTCCCTTACCATCAACACGTTAGTTTTAGCAGCTTCTTATTGTTCCGATCTTGTTTTCTTGCCATTCACAATTGAATAGTTTGAAGTTCTGGTATATCTGTGACGTGAACGCCGAACTGTGTATCTATTACTGTTTTCATGTTGATATGTCTAACTGGTAAATATGCAACCAACTAAATCACTAATGTTATATTCTGCAGAGTTACCACTCTACCTTATCCTAGGCATGCTTTGTGGGGTAGTGAGTGTGGCATTCAGACAGTTGGTGGTTTGGTTCACAAAGACTTTTGACTTGATAAGGAAGAAATTCAGCCTCCCTGCTGTAGTATGCCCTGCGTTAGGGGGTCTTGGAGCAGGTTTAATAGCTCTAAGGTACCCTGGAATACTGTACTGGGGCTTCACCAATGTTGATGAAATTTTACATACTGGAAAAAGTGCCTCAGCCCCTGGAATCTGGCTCTTAGCTCAGTTGGCTGCTGCAAAAGTTGTAGCAACTGCACTCTGCAAGGGTTCTGGTCTTGTTGGTGGCCTTTATGCTCCAAGCTTGATGATTGGTGCTGCTGTTGGTGCTGTATTTGGAGGCTCAGCAGCAGAACTAATAAACTCTGCCATCCCGGGTAACACTGCTGTTGCACACCCTCAAGCTTATGCACTAGTAAGTTTCCTTTTTTGAGCTAGGAAGGTAGCCTAAAGTTTGATAGAAACGAAGTATACTGACTGTCTGCTTAATTCAGGTGGGAATGGCTGCCACACTAGCATCAGTCTGCTCAGTTCCATTGACTTCAGTACTACTACTATTCGAACTAACAAAAGATTACAGAATTTTACTGCCTCTGATGGTGATGTCTCATCCCATATATTTGCTATTTTGCTTCTAAGCATGAAAGTTTGCACACTCCTTGTGACATAAGCTCACCCTTATTTTTAATTTACAGGGAGCTGTTGGTTTAGCAATATGGGTGCCATCTGTTGTAATGTCTGGCAACAAAGAGGCGTTTGAGGCTACATCTCCTCGGCATGGTTATTCTTCACTATTACCTCCTACAGATAGGAATGAGACAGACCGGAGACGACCAGACAGAGATGACGTTGAACTTGCAATTCTAGACGATGATCCCTACCGCTATGGTATTAACAATGAGGATATGCTTCTTGATGATTTAAAGGTTCCATGCCTCTTTTCTACATTCTCTTTATTATTTTGTCAAGTTCATCCTTAGTAAATTTGATATATTTTTGTGGTCATTCAGCTTTCTAACAACGAGTGTTCCAGGTATCACAAGCAATGTCAAAGCAATTTATTAAGGTTACACCTACAGTGACTATCAAGGAGGCAACAAGGCTTATGCATGATAAGCAGCAAAATTGTGTTCTTGTAGTAGACAGTGAAGATTTTCTTGAAGGAATTGTTACGATTGGTGACATTCGCCGTAAAGGATTTGAATCTGAATTAAGTGAAGATACTCCACGGAATGGGGCAAATTCATCTACTTTGGATGTATGCAAAATCTCACACCTTTAAAGCCTATAATTTAATTTAGCAATTGCCGTTTTAAGGGATGCTTTGGATCTGGAATTTTATAGGATGCAGACGTGCAGTTAAACTTATAACCAAAGTATTTAAATTTGAACACCCCTATCCAAACAGGCCCTTATAGTAATATCGAAATTAGCGATGCACATACTTACATGCTTTAATTGTTTCAGGCAAATTCTTCTCTTGTTTCATCATGCCTCACTAGAGGGTTTCAGTACCACGGCAATGAAAGAGGACTAGTGACCTGCTTTCCAGATACAGATCTGAGCACTGCTAAGGTGCTCATGGAAGTGAAAGGTATCAAGCAACTTCCAGTGGTAAAACGGAGGGCTGGCCGTAGGAATGATGGAAGACGTAAGGTCCTTGGCCTTCTTCATTATGATTCAATAGGGTGGTGCTTAAGGTAATCCTTCTTGTATTTTTTTCTTTCATTTATTGAATTGCAGTGGCTGCTTCTTTTTGGATGTGAACCAATAATTGGAACAGCTAATTGCCTTGGGGAAACTAGATAACTCAATTGGCCCCAACTGCCCAATGGCACTTGAATTTACCACCTCGGTACACAAGACTTAGCTTATCCATTATACGATGTGGACTATATATACACAACTTTTGTTCTTTCCGATACTTAATGATTTCTTTAATAACTGTGTTGGGATCAAGTTCCTTAAGGTCAAACTCAAATAAGTGATCGGGACTAGCTAATTTCAGTAGAGCTTAGACATAAACAATGATCTGTATCTATGCACATATTTCCCAGATCTAAACAATCTAAAAACATGCCCAAGCAGATTAATTGATCTTTTTTGTCTCCTTTGGCTCCCATACTCAATGTCAGTGCACTTGTCCCATCTGTACATTCTGTTCAGGTGTAGACAGTGGTCTACAAAAATAATTACTTAAACAAAGTAGCCTTGTATAAGTGATCATATATTAATTGCTTCATTAGAAACACAATAATCAGCTAAACAATTGTATCCTACAAGATTGGCAATTATCTTTTGTATCATACATCATAAGATAATATAGCACTAACGCAGTCGACTATATAACAGTGCATTAGAGAACCTGATATTGTACAACAGTATAAGCAATTGTCTGCAACTGGCCCTCCTCCCAAAGAAAGGGGTCAATTTCTCCTCCCATTTCTAACTTCTGGTGTTTATATTATTTCGCAGGGAAGAGCTTGAGCGGTGGAAAGCCATTTATCAAAGAGAGAATTTCCAGCAGTCAGCTGTTAATGGCCACTGAGCAAAAAGAAGTGCTGAAGTTTTGGTTGTACGTTTTAGTGAAGAGAAATACCAAATTTATAAAGTGACATTTCAACATGATTAGGGTTAACTTAAAACCTCCTCACTCAAAAAATATCCTCGTCAAATGTAAAGTTTCTTGGAGTTGCCACATATGCACATTTTTGTGCAGAGAAAATATATAAGCGGTGATGGTGTGATTCGCTTTTGTTAGCGTTGACTGTTTCGAAGTTCTGACATGACAGTATACTGGGTACACTTTGGTCTGTCCCGCAAAAAAGCATTGCAAATGGTGACTGTTTATTGTTTCTGTCCGATCTTCTGCTGCACGTCAATTACTGGATAATGCAAATCTGCGGACCAGTTACTCCTGTAAAGTTATAAAATACCTTTTTTTTTGCTGCAGTTTTTTGCTCCCAGAATTCAAGATTGAATTTGTTGATTGTAAAACCAGTCAGCCTAAGATGTCAACGCAGAAGTTCTGATCTTATTAAGGCTGAGGCTGAGTTCGGCTGTAGCTGTAGACGCCTTGGAAAACAAGGGGGATCATTAGCGCATAATTAAAGTATGTATTATAAATTTTAAAAATACTATATAATCTTTTTTACAGAAAATATATAGTTTAGCAATCCAGTAAACATGCTAATGAAAAAGGAGGAAGTTATTTAGAACTCAGCCAAAGCCATTTATCTTTTCTAGAACCTCTACTACCTACAATTGCCTGAACTATCTGCTTTTTTTTCCCCCGAAAGTAAATTGAGCTACAATAACACTCCATTCTCCTAACAAAAGCACCAAAAATGTTTCATATACATAAGCAGCAAACACCATTTGTCTCATGTTCCTGCCATTTTTACATCTGAGGATGCTGCTTTGGCAACCTGCCCATCAGCTGCTGGCTAGCTGCTGCACCAGCATTCCCAGACTGTGGCAGCAAGTTCACCTTCATCTCACCTCTCGGCAGCACAAGCCCTGGGTACCCCTGCATCGCCGGCACGGCGATCGCCGGAGACGGCGCCGGAGTTGCAATGCTACGAGGCAGCATTCCAAAGGAGAAACCAGCTGCTGCTGCACCAAACTGCTCTGCTGGTCTGTGACCAGCTGAGCCATAGCCAAACTGAGCAAGGCTACCACCACCACCACCTTGTGCCGGTTCAGGTCTCCGGTGAAGAAGACCATTGGTAGCCTGTGGTGCAGCGGCTGAGCCTGAGCTTGGGTGGCCACTGTTCCTGGCAGCTGGAACTTCATGGTTGTGCTTTCCTTCATACGTCGTGATGACGGATTTCAGATCATGCGATGATCGCTCCACATGCTTGCGCACCGAGCAACCCGGATGAGTGCACTTGTAGTAGCTCCTGCAAATACAAAATGGAGTTTTTTAGATAATGCGAGTAATTTCCGGTCTTTGTACCAACTATGGATGCACACATATGGACAGAGAAATGTTCCTTCGATGACAGTGTCATATTGTGAAGCTAAACATTTACTTTTGTAGTGAAGGATTAGAGGAACTGCAAAGAATTTGTTCCAAAAGAGAAAAATGGCATTAGAATTGACCTTGGATTTGGGTTTCCTTTGACAACTTTCTGCCCATACTTGCGCCAACGGTAACCATCATCAAGGATGTCAACCTCACTTGTGGTCTGAACAACAACGCGAGGCTCCCGGATAGCTCTTGACGCCACAGCTCCTATGTCGATGGCGTTGGTGCTAGTGCTAGTAGCGGCATAAACATCCATCTTTCTGAAATGAATAAAATTGAAGGAAAACAATCAGCTACTCAAAGTGAAGATTGGTTCATTGAGTGATTAGTGACTAAGGCTAGCCAACCTTCTCTTGTGTTCAACATAGTCATCGTTCGCATCAAAGCCCAGAGAAAGCGGGGCACGATGCGTTACCCTATCATCCTCTTCATTGGAGAGCGTCGATGAGATATCCACAGCTTCTTGTTTGTCCATAACAGATTTTTCAGCATGTTCTGTTGTCGTAAGAGAAGCAGACAGTTTTGTCAGAACTTCACTACCGACATCTTGGAGGTGTCCATTTGCGGCATTCTCCCATGAAGTTGCTGTGGCCTGACCAGACTTGGAACCAAATTTCTCAGAGTGATCATCTCTCAGATCATTGAAGTGTGAGAAAGGAACATTTGGTCGGCGGTTGGAAGGCGGCAAAGGGTGATTGTGAGAACCTTTGTAGACTATCTCTGTTATTTGGCCATCTTGAGAACGCTCCACCTTCTTGACAGCGCAATTCGTGAAAGTGCATTTGTAGTAGCTTCTGGGATGCTCACTGTTCTTAACTTGCTTCTGTCCATATTTCCTCCAGTTATATCCATCCTCAGCAGGGGTAATGATCAGGTCTGAAGAATACTCTTCATTTTTGTTTGTTGCATTCTCTTCTTGATCATTTGCAGGGGAAGGGTGATCATCATTGTCTAACATGGAATCAGATGTCTTAGGTTTAACAATAGTTGCTGAAGTGAAATCCTTGGCTGCAGTTGAGCTAGACTGAAGACTGAGCTCCTGGTGATTATCCGTCACTGAAGGCTGGTTTTGATGATTAACACTGAAACCCTGAAAAGTATAAATATCATCAGACCAATGCATAAAAAACACTGATAATTTGATTTTGCTCGTCAGATTTGCTGGAACAGTAAAACAAACTGCGCCGAGCAGGCGAGCAGTGATTACAGATTTGCAGTAAATAGGGAATAGAACAACATTGTTTGAGAAAACTACCTTCTCTGCAACTGGACAAGTTGGTGGCTTAGATCCCAAAATGGGTTGAAAGAAGAATACACGATCATGGCGTGTTTCATCTTCAGTTTTTTTAGGGATCGATGGTTTAACATTACTATGCATCAAAAATGGCAGTTTGCCAGTGGTAGGAGAAGGTTGTGCCTGCATAAATCAAAACCATGACATTAAGATTAATCAGTCATCAACATATATAGTCACTTTCTTCTCCAAAATTCCACTAATTATACGAAGCTGCAGAGACATAAGAGAAATTAAAGATGCTGTATCTTGCGTTAGAATATTTTTTATAATAGGTATCTTGGTTTAGATTTCACCATTTACTGACAAATATATCCTCCATATAAACCACATGAGTAGAGTAACTGAACATTACACAGAGCAAATACTGATTGAGGTGAGGAAGTCACTTACAATGGCGTTCGGAAGAAAAACCGGCGACTCAAGAAGTTCCCTTGGACTCACACCGGGCGGGATCGTCACCGGAGACCGAATCGGTGTAGAATAACCGACACGAGATGTATCAATTTTCAGGACACCAAAACCTGTCCTTGCAGCCATCCTCTCTGACAGACAGCCATTTGAGCTTGATTTCTGGTTGGCACCAAAAAGGTTTGATTCAAACTTTTTTGCTAGCTGAGCAGTTTCTTCCCGGCTTGAATCGATGAAAGCTTTGCTCTTCCCAAGTCCATCCTGATGTTTGTTACTGCCATTATCACAGAAAATGTCTGAAAAGGGACCGGAGCTGAATTCTTCGTTCAAGAAACTCGACATGAGTGTTCTTGGACTGGGTGAGGGAAGCATCCAATCGTCCATCAGTGCTCCATGGTTGTTGGTCCCGTCCATGAAAAGGTGACAATCCCAAGCTCAAACTGAAAAGTCACATAATTCAAGCTCATACATTCAAAAATGGAATTGTGAAAAAAATTATGGACGAAAGGACCAAATTTTTTTTTATAATAATGAAGAGAACTGAAGCCTGAAGGAACTAGAAACAAGTATGCAAATATTTCGATACAAACTAAAATAAAAACACAACTCGATTGTGTAAAATACGAACCAAACCACAAACTCTATTTGATTTACAAGAGCACACAAATCCAGTGCTCCAAAAAAGAACCAAAGAAAACCCAGAACACCTCAAATTTGATGATAAAGGAACCACACCTTTATTACCATAAAACCCACCGAAATAAAGAGGCAAATCAGCAAATGGCAATTAAATACGAAAGAAACGACGAAGAATTCAAATGGACACCTGAAGCGGAGGGCGATAGCAACAATTAAGCCTCCCCAAGAAATGAGAAAAAGAATCAAGAACCCCCAAGGTTGGATGTATGAATGGATGGATGGATAGAGGCAGAGCAGAGACGACAAGCTGGTCAAATCACGCGCCTGTCTGTATGATAAGAAGGGGCAAAATGATTCACAGTCCCAGCAACTATCCCATCACAAACCGAACGAACAATTACCACGGGGTAAAAACAAAAACCTTTGCCTTTGATCCCTATCCCAGTATCCCTCTCGTTGTTCTTTCACCAAACAAGTTGCCACAAGCCTTGCATCATCATCATCATCAGCAGCAGCAGCAGCATCAGAAATGGAGAGACTCTGATCCCAAAAAAAGGGAAAAGAAAAAACAAAACCTGTTCTTGCAATGGATAGAGACCGAACAAAGAATCTGTTCTGAAACTGACCAGATTAGCCTCACTCGCTGCTGCTGCTACTTCTTGCCTGCTTCTTTCTCCCCCACGGTTTCTTGAAATCTCTCCTCTCTTTTTTTTCTAGCGCAAACCGCAACGAGAGGTTGGAAGGGAAGAGAAGGGAAGGGAAGGCGGTTTTGGCGAGGTGGTGAAGCGAAGGAGAAGGCAGAGAAGATGGAAGGATTGGTTACAGGTGATGGGTTTCCTGCAGGCTTTGTGCGCCGAGCTGCGGAGGTGTCGTCTTCCCCGCTCACTTTTGCCCCGTCTTTGATGGAAACGGTTGCTCACTTAACCACTTGCTAACTATGGATTAGTTTTTAAACCGTTTCGTTTTTTTTTTTAAAAAAACTACTCGCCCTATCCCACAATATGTACTGCTACTTATTATGGATATATGTCTCATGTCAAGATTTACATTGCTAAGATATATAACATCCGAGTATTAAGTTGTTATATTTTAAGACAGAGATAGTAGTAAATTTCACGTAACCACGATGTTATGATCCAATTTGCATAAAACTATTGGAGTTTTGGCATGTTGCACACTTGCACGTAATGCTGGTACTATGACATTTAGTTTTATATACACCATTAACTAAATTTTCTTTGATCTACCATACATGCATACAAGTTCCGAAATATATGAATTCTTTTAATCCATCATTTAAATATTGTAGGTAAGTTAACTATTTTTATTGGTGAAATCTTATGACCGTAATATCTATGGTTATATGCCATGTACCAGAGCCGTTGTGATTTTGTGCAACTTAAATCATAACATGTGAGGTTTCATGAAATTTACTTAAAAAATTATAAAATAGTTTATATAAAAAAATTTAAAATTACATTATTGATAAGACACACGCACGCTCACCACACTCACACCCACAAATATACATCCCACATGCTTAAAGAGACCAATGCCAGCAAAAATAATCATGATATATTAGGCATTAATTTAAGAAAGTTGAATGGTGGGAAATCAGCAGTAATATCACTACCTATGAAATTTATATGACATTAAAAAAATTACCAGCAGATTACTGTGGTTGAAATGGCTTTACGACTGTACAATGAAATAGTCATTTGATTAAAAAAATGAGGACAGAAAAAAATTAAGACAAGCTGAAATGCTTCTATGAGCTACATCAGACATGCTGGAATTTATTCAGACTTGTGGATTAAAATCGCTAATCATGAAGGGGTTTGTAAAAGTATGGGCATTGCAAACTTCTAACAGACAGTCTTTGTCACCTCAGACCAAACCTGCTTAAAACAAAAGAACACACTTTTTTTATTATCTAGCTGGAGATTTCATTCCTTTAGACTTTGTAATTACTTCCTCCGTCCCCTAATATAATCGATTTTGATATTTTACTTGGACCACTCATCTTATTCAAAAAATTTATGCAAATATAAAAAACAAAAAATTGCGTTTAAAATATTTTGGATAATAAAGTAAGTCACAAATAAAATAAATAATAATTCTAATTTTTTAAAATAAGATGAATAGTTAAAGTGCAAGTGCAAGTAAAATCACAAAAACCTCTTATATTAGGGTACGGAGGGAGTACCTTTATAGGATCGAATAACTAAAGTACTCCACTAAGATGGAGACCTTGCAAGTTGCAACTGATCTGAACTGACAGTACTGTTCTTTGGGCTCTAGCAGCAGCAAGTGGCTGCTAGCCTCCTAGTAGCACTGAGCGTAGAACTGGTGTATCACGCAGGGAAAAATGTTTCCATCCATAAAGAGACACTAGTTCATATCACTTAAATAGTCATTATTTTTTTAAAAAAATTAAAATAAATCAATATGAGATATATCGCTCTATAGATTTCGACCTGTGATAAAAACAACAAGAGAAAATCCAAAAAATATCATTAACAAACGTCCAATTCTTAAAAAATGACATTGACAAGTGCGAGTTGCAAAAAAAAATGTCATCGGACAAGTGGCTTTGACTTAAAAATGACATCTTCGTTAGGGTTACATTATTAACCATCCTTAAGTGCTATAGGATACGATGATATTTTTAAGACAAAGTCATTTGTACAATGATGTTTTATAGAATCACACTTATCGATGGTATTTTTTTTAGATTTTGGTGTTTTGTCAATATCTTTTTTGTATTTTTCTCAAATACTCATTCCGTCCCAAAATATAAGAACCTAGGACTGGATGGGATATTTGCTAGTACTACGAATCTGGATAGTAGTACTAGGAAATGTTCCATCCAGTTCTAGGTTCTTATATTTTAGGACGGAGAGAGTAACAAATACCTGAAATTTGTTATTTTTGTTACAACTTGTAATAGTTAAATTGTACGTGTATATCTTAGTTTTTTTATTTTTTTTAAAAAAATATTTAAGTGATATGTAAGAGAACCCTTCGAAAGGATGAAAATCTATGTCCACATCATGTATGATCCAACAGAGAAGCGAAGGCTTATCTTCTCTTCTCGACCTGATTGCTGCTTTTGTCTCCATGTTTATATGCACTGCACCATGAGTTCCTGATCCATGCATGGATGCATGTGGTCTGCCTGCCAAGCTCCATGTAAACCTGCACACTGCTACAATGGAGTTTGGGCAACAGCAACTGAACTGGGCACTGAATGTCTGAATATAACTTGGGACTGGCTAGCTTTCTGCCTGAACATGTACAGAAACTGAAACATCTGAACATGCATACTTGTGCAGGGCTTCAACCACATAGCCCAGATGAAATGCATGCATGGCACCAGATGCCTGAGATGCCTTGCTTTGTGATCCATGAACTATTAACAAATCTTCTTCAGAGCTGCTCGATCATCTTTTGTAAAAACAGATGCAGGAATTAGGAACAGTATTAGTGTGGAGTCTCCTGTTGCATTAAAAGGGACCTATGCAAGCCAGGTTGCATTGGCAGCATCTAGATAAATGTATTGGATGACCAATAAAAGAAAATAGATATAAATCATTAATGATTTGAAGGAACAATTGGAGTTGTATGGAGAAGGGGAAAAATGTTTTCGTGATGATGCATCCAACGGTTGTATCTATACTTCAGACAATAATGGTGATAATAAATAATCTATCACTTTAACTAACTCTATTGGATATTTTTATACCAGCTATTAGTTCAATTATTTTAAACTAGTCCTTGTACATATTGGTCCTATCTTACTTCATCTCTAAAATACAAGGTCATCATACAAAAAGCATCCACATGGACACATTGTTGTGAAAACCTCACAATCAGGACCTATTTAGTTTCCAAACAATTTTTTTACACTGTCACATTAAATGTTTAGACACATGTATGGATTATTAAATGTAGAAAAAAAACCAATTACACAGTTCGCCAGGAAATTGCGAGACAAATCTTTTAAGTCTAATTGCGCCATGATTTGATAATGTGGTGCTACATTAAACATTTGCTAATGACAGATTAATTAGTCTTAATAAATTCATCTCGCAGTTTCCTGGTGGAATCTGTAATTTGTTTTGTTATTAGACCACGTTTAATACTTTAAATGTCTGTCCTTATATCCGATGTGACATGTAAGGGCAAATTCTTTTACCAACTAAACAAGCCCTTAATGTTCTAAACATCAAGTACTCTCTCGGTCTCATAAAAAACCAACATAATACTAGATATGACTCATTCTATTAGTACGAATCTGGATAGTACTGAAATATGTCACATCATTCTAGATTCGTTTTTTATTGGACGGAGGGAGTACACATTAATTTATATCTATCCACAGCATTTAGCTATTACTATATATGACTTGACGACGTTGAGGACATAAACATCTTAGAACAGCACGGTGTGATTCATTTGTGATTGCTTGCTTAAACCAAATTTGTCAGTAAATTAGATAAACTCTCTTCAGGTCGGTCCAGTCAAGGGCGTACACGTGGTGGAGATTATGGGAGTAAACTTCACTACGGCAGCAAATCATCATCTCACACCATACCTACGCATTAAAAGTCGTACAATCCATGTTTCTCTCATTACGTACCAAAGTTAACCAAGAAGATAATCTCGCCGGGTCGGTCGTTTCACGGTCTAATTCTGAATGCAATTTATTCATGTATCCAAATACGCAGATGCAGGGATAATAAACTGAAACAGCACGCCTAATGTCTCAACTCTATTTTTGTGAAGGAACTCGATCTTCTTTTCTCAGACTTACTAGAGCGAGTACGAATGGTATACCATTGCACGATATCATCATAAGTACCAGATTTGATACCTTCGATACCAAACATAATACTCCGGATGATAATGCTTTCGTAGTAATGTGGTGAGATCATACATCAGAATATTTGTGGTTGGATTATGTCTTTTTAGCATGTGTAATATATGTGCGTGTCTTGTAAGTATAATTGGGAAATTGGAAGGTAATGATTATACACTTGAAACACCGGAATGTGGTAAGGAATTTTGGCGCAGGATATACTTTCACACGGGATGTTTATCTCATATAGGTGTGCTAGCTTGTGACGGAACGAGTTTATAACAGCATGATTAGCACAAAGAATTTTTTTTCTTAACCTCCGTACTTGCGTACATGATTACAAGAGGCCAAAGCTGAGCTTTGTGGCAAACAGCTTTGTCCAGCTTCTTGATTGGGTTGCTTGTTTTACCTCTGCTGTCTGTACGTGGCATAGGATCCTCAGCTTTTTCTGGCCGGCAGATTGGGATTAGAACTGATGAACTAGATAATCTACTTGTATTGGTGTGAGATCAATGATGTGATAATTTGCAAATAGGAAAGAGAGTTTTGGAAGCAAGAAAGGATCTCCTCATTTTCTAGGTTATATCATGTTATTGTCTACGGTACATTTCATGAACAACGATGATGTCTATTGCTCCAAATCGCACCACATTCATATTGGATTAGGCAAAATGGTTTCGTAGCATCTGAAGTTTATGGTTTTCATCAATTTCATTGCTTTAGTTGTTTTTTTTGGGGGGGGGGGGGGGGGGGATTTAATTCGATCATGCCAAAAAAATTGGCAATTTCAAAGAGATGATGGGTTTAATTTGGTTTGTTGAAAAAAATATATACGGCCGGTAATGTTCTTTTAAAGAAAAACTAATGCTGTAAGCTGAGAAAATTATCTGTTTTTTGAGAAATGCGCAGAATGGAAGGACATCTTATTGCATTTTACAACCTATCGAACATTAACTGATGCAAATTCAAGCTGTTTTTATTTCAGTTTTGTGATCTACTAGCTGGTGATGTGTAGGAGCAGGACCAATCGTACTGTTGTTTAGAGTAGAAGTGATGATCTGATGATAAAGAAACGCGATCCATGCCATTATGGCATTCCTGATCGAATCTACACATGCAGAACACAAGAATCTGTCAGCTTTGTCAGGCACTTCTGTACTGTGAAGACACTGATTTGGATTTTGGAGCAGGCAATGTTTTTACAGTGTTTGCTTTAAATATGATGTTGAGTACACTGTACTCCAGTACACTCCTGTCTTACTCCCTCTGACAGGGATGTTCTTGTTCTTGCAGATTTCATCAGGTACCACTAATACTTTACTTAAGTTTCTGTACGGTTCGCGGCGATTTCATCAGATTTGTAGTAATTCGAAACTGTTTCTCATCAAATTCGTACAAACTACAATCTGAAACAGGCCAAATCAAAACATACATGCAAACCTACGTACAGTGCTGAGAGAAATTTTACAGTTATTAAAAGGTACCAAGAGATACCAAAACATTTAGTGCAAATATGATATATATATCTCTTAGTACCGTGAGATATCAAATGTACGGTGGAAATATGGTACCCTTAAAGACTATAAAATCACTCCAGCACTGAAGTTAATAAACGGCAATGAAACGAACTGATGTTGATGAATGGGAAAACATTTTTTTAAAAAAATAAAAACTTGATTGAAAAATAGTTATTTTTTGCGTGAAAGATGAAGCCTGGAGCAGATTATCCTTCAGCCATTGTTGATCCTTTTTTTTTTTTTTGTCATAGGAATCCGGCAGGTGTGAGGCCTTTTCAGAGATGTCAAACTGATGCTGAAGTGAAGCATGCACATGCTGCTCAACTGAACAAACATCAGGGAAGAAAGATAGCAAGTACCACAGCTTAAGATATGCCACTATGACAGACAGTGCTTCGTCAATGCTGACATAAAGAGGAGAGAATAAAGTGTGCGCGCTGCTGGTAGAACAACTTTAGTGTGGAGGTTGAGAGGGTAAATAGTAGTAGTTGAGGTTTTATTTTGGCTGCAAAGTTTAAATGGAAATATGGAATGATATTGTTGAATCAGCAGGACCAGAAACAAAATTTGTGTTTACTCTATTCTATAGTCCAGAGATATGCTAACTTTAAATTTGACAGTAGTGTTGAAATGGGCGGAACGATGACTTGGTCACTTGCAAACAGCTGCGGCCCCATCCTCTCCGGTTGCCCACCACCACCGCCACCTTCCCGTGGACGGCGAGCTTGAGCTACACACCAGTGGCATCGCCAACCTCTAACCGCAACTGCCACCTCACGCAAACGGGCTCGCTGGTCGCCTCTCCTCTCGTCGCCGACGAGTTGTTGGGGAAGAGAGGGGATAAGTAGGGAGAGGTGGAGTCCACTTTACATATGGGCTTCACATTTTTTTTTGATTTTCTATTTGTCGACTAGGATGCCACATCAATCAAAACAATCACTTGTACTGTCTCAGGACCTTATTTAACCTAGTTATGAAAGATTTTTTTTCTTAGTTATGAAAGATGTGGTTATGATTTCTATTATTACGGTTCAAAGGACGTGATTCAAACTCGCGTGGGTGATCGAAAGTGGACTTATTCCGGGGAGAAAAAAGGAAGGTGGTGGTGCTTTGGCTGGCCGGAGAGAGGATGGGAGGATGGGCCGGCCTTGCTAAGGGGAAGGATGGAGGCGGCTTGTAGAGATGGGCTGGGCTGGGGTGAGGAAAGAAAGAGGAGGAAATGTCGGGCCAGGAGGGAGGAAGGATAATTGGGCCGGAAGGAAATGGTGGCCCAGTTGCATTTAGCAACCTTTGAAATCAGCACAAATCGCGGCGCAGATCATACGGTCGAAAAAACGACAAAATACGTAGAAAAAAAATCACGCGACAAATATATAGCAAATTCCACGGGTCGGTCCCTCGGCAGCTTTGCGGATTAAGGCAGCCCTGACTTTCCTCTTTTTTTACCAGTCGGATGATCCGTGACGCAGCCGCCACTCCAAACACCAGGGCACAGGACGTGACGACGGTAAAACCGGGAAAGGGACGACGGAGTCGCTAGACTCGGAGACGGTTCACCGGTCGGAATCGGACACGGTTTGTTTCCCATCAGATCAGATAAAAGGCAGCAACAAGCTAATCCCATGACCCCCAAACAAACCACGCACCCAGCGTCCCAGCCGGAGGGTGATTCAGTCGATCGATCGATCGATCCATGGACAAGGGAGGCGGCGCCGGCGATTGCCAGCCGCCGGAGTCGTCATCACATGAGAACGAAGAGAAGAACGCGTTGGTTATTCCTTGTTCCCTCGCTCCAATCAAAACGGGGAAGAAGTATGACCAGCAGCAGGAGGAGGAGGAGAACAATTGGGAGTATGATGAGGAAGAGGAGGAATTCTTGTACGACATCGACGAAGACGACGACATGATGGAAGCCTCCGAGCTCATCGGCGTCAAGCACAGCGACGGATCCATCTACGACCCCGACTCCCACCCGTTCCACAGCCTCTACTGCCTCGACGACACCCGCGAGACTAGCCTGCTGCCGATGAGGCTGTCGGCTCGGACCGACCATTGCCAGCCATGCTGGACGGCTTGCATCGTCCACCATGGCTGCCGCATGATGCAAATCTTCTCCATCAAGATAGCAGCTCTGTCCAACGCCGCCGCCGACGCCCCGGTCCAGATCTATGGCTTCATGGCTGCCCGGGATCTCTTTGACCCCCTGCGCAACTACATCTTCAACCGCGGCCGGGATGATCCTTTCGTCTTGCCTGGCCACTACTCTGATCCCAACTCGCTTATAAGATTGTCAGGTCCTAAGCGAGGCATCTCGCTGGAAAATCCTGCTGTGATCGAGTACGACCTCAAGATCAAGAAAGGAGAGGACGAAAAGGACGACTTGCAGCTCATCGACGGGGTGGCCGCCTTCAGCGACCTTACACCATTTCATGGGGTGTATAGTCGGCGGATCCATGGCATCCATGGCGCCGTGGATATCAGCTTAGCCCTTCTTCGCAATGGGAAGGAAAGCACCATACAAATTAAGATTCCGAAGCTAATTCATGGCGGCATACACTTATCCATCTCTTGCTTTGTCAGTCAAATACCTGAGGAAATCAAGCTCTTCGATGGCACCATTGTTAATCCATCAAAACTCAGAAACTTCGTGGTTGCTGTGCAGCTGCGCACTGTGTTGATTCTTGATTTCAAGATTACGCCTGTGGTAGCGGCCGCCGGCGAAAATGGATCCAATCAAATCCATCGCTATTGTGCCTTCAAGGCTACCACTCATGCAGGTTCTATTCAACGGATCCAACATTATTTCGCCAATATAGATGTGCATGTTGTTTGGTCAGATTTGATGTCACAGTAGCCTATTGGTGTTTTTTCCCCTTTACTTTGTTAATCAATTTGGTAAAAGAAACATATGTTATTGAGACCCATTTAGGAAGCTTAAGATAGTAGGAAACAATTAGTTGGTAGTCAGTTGTTGAAAATATCTGCATCTTCCACTCCTTCCTCCTCCGCCATACTCCTCTTCCATCCCCGGCATCTCCCCCTCCGCTTCTTCCCTAGCTCCAACGCTGTCTCTTTTAAAGTACGCCACATCAGAGATAAGTAGCACGCGTTCACTCATGCTTTTCAACGTTGCAAATTAATCGCCAATGTCAAAAACGCGAATATTAGGGAAGAACCTAATATCAAATAATTAGAAGAGGTGAGGCTTCGAACCCAGATCATCTAGCCCACCACCTTATGGAGCTAGCCGGAAGACCCCTGGACGTTTCTCATTAATCGTCAATGTCTACAAGCTAGAAAGAGGCATGAGAAGTTAATGAACTCATACAGTTTTGTTCAATAACATCATGCTAACCAAAAAAACATCAACACATCATGCTAGCATAAAACATATCATGCTAGCATGAAGGAGTTAATCTTGTGGAAGTGCGGACCTTTCTGAGCAAAGACATTTTCTTCCCCAATCCCCATTCCATGCCACTAAATCACTATATACTTAAAAAGGAAAATCTTTAACTCACCATATCTGGAAAATGGACATGGCACACGAATTAAATCAACAATTTAAAATAAAACTACGGTTGCTGGTTCAATCAGTAATATTTATACAAGGATCACCAGTTTAATAAATACTCGTCAAAAATATTTTCAATTCCCAAGAAAAAGGACCGGAGAGGATTGTGGGGGGATTAAATCCACATCAAGTCCCTTTCAATATCCTTATGGGCCAATAGGCTTAGGGAGAGATTGGAGAGAATTTTATAAATCAAAGGCTCTGCGCCAGCCTTTTTACTAAAAAAGCATAAACAATGTTCATTACAGGAGACAGGTCGGAGAGAATTGAGGAGATTAGTTTCATACTAAATCCCATTCAATATTTTTATGGAACCAAAGAAGTCTCAAGTGATTTTAAGCTGAATATCATGCCAAACAATATAAAATTACAAGTAATTTTAAGATATCACAATGGAGGGACATCACAGTAGTCAATATTCTCATAGGCAAACTTCTGTTCCCCTATGCATGAGAAATTTGGGATTATGCCACCCTCAAAAATAGGTTTCGCCTAAATACCACTGTGCAAAAAGGATTCGATAAAATAACACTTTCAACAACATGGGTTCTCTATAGGCCATCTCTTCTTTCTCGCTCCGGTGATGGATGCCCTTATCAACTACCACTAAATGCCATGGCGCCGAGCTGAAGAGCCCGCTCACATCAAGCTGCACCACAACCATGAGGTGGCGGAGCTCCTCTCTAGCCGCGTCACGTGAGCTACACACCACTCTTTGGTGCCCCCTTCTCCTCTCGGTGGCAATGAGGTAGCCAATAGCAATGGTGATAACGACCTCAGTGCCTTCGTGAGCTGCACGATGGCACCCACCATCCCAGCAGCTTCCACGCACTCCTCGGGACACTCGAACATAAGCATCCCCCATGCCCTAGGTATGGATGAGCTACCGCGTGGCGTCCAAGACTTTTATGGTGGAGGTGGGAGGGGGACGCAAAGGAGCTTGCGGATGCAGCGGCCGTTATGGAAAGTCCTTGGGCTTGCCAACGGCCATGGACTGGTCAAGCTACGAGGACAAAAAGATAAAGATGATGTGACTTTTCTATGCGGTGTGCAACGGCCATGGTGCTAGGTAGACATCGGCCATGGGGGTTGCGCCAGAGCGACAAAACCGAGGCAACAAAGGAGGTGAAGGTTGCTACCTTCCCACACTCGAGCCCATCATCAGCTCATCACCAATGAGCAAGCCGGAGTTAGGAGATAAGCTTGAAAAGGAGAGTCAGCGGCAATTTTATTCGAAATATTCCCTCCATCCACAAGAGTTAGATTTATTTCATATTTGAGTTTTTTCAAATAAGTTATTTTTATTTGTAGTCTTTATGAATTTAAGATTTAAATGAAGAGGTAAATTAAATGCTTGATCATAACTCGATGAGTTATTTTAACTAGTAATATACCCGTGCTAAACGCTACGGTGCAACTCTATTTGTCTTTAATAATTTTTAAAATTTTCATGTTTAGCAAAAAATATTATTATATTAACTGTGCATTTGAGCTTTAATTCAATTTATATCATACATCAAATATATTGCAAGTAAAATATTAGAATAGGATATACCAATATATTTGTGCCCCATGTCATAATGCATAATAATATGATATTAAAGATATATGATAATGCATATATCTGTGCCTTAAGATATATGATAAACGTGACAGATCAAAGGCACTTAGGTTGAGTATTGCATATAAGTATTTATAATGGGTATTTTAGTTGTTAATGGGCCATTACAGGATTTGGACCATACACATAAGTTTGACATCTAGCAGTCCTTTACTCCTTTATCATGACTGAATAGGCAACATAATAGCAAATTAGCGATACTGGTTTCTTATGTTAATTATATTTGCTTTTTTTTTATACGCTTTCATGTTCATAAATCAATATTCATGTGATTGGTCAGCTCTTTAAATTAATGGAGCCCTGAAGCAAATAAAATGTGTTCGATCTAAAGCAAAAGAATTACATGTGTTTGATCTAAAGCAAAAGAGTTACAGAAATCAATAGTGCTACACAACGTCAGAAAATTGGCCGACCTAATTTATTTATGTGAGATCTAAACCACAATTGGTGTGTGATGTCTCCTTATATAAAAAGACATGGAAAACAAATATAAAGGAACATTGCTATGCATCCAACCGTGCCAAACAAATACATAGTAGTTCAACAGGAGGTAGAGCACATTTGTATAGGTCCCAGAAATCAACTCAATCACAAGCAATACTGAATAGGCATCATAACAACAAAGTTTCATCGAATTTGGTTGTGCATTTCACAAGCAGTACTGAATAGGCCTGAACGACATTGTTTACTGAATTTTCTTGTGTAATTCACAAGAAATGTTATTTTATTCTAAAGCCAAAACACAGTAGTGACAATACTAAATCATGTTTCCTTCTCGGTTGCTTCATCGGAGACGTCGTCATTGCAGATCTTCATTGTTATCTCGATGGGAGAAGACCAGCGAGGATCATACCCTTCTCCCACCTTCCTTTTCTCACCGTGTCCTTTTTCTACCTTCTTGCACTTCTAGTCTTCCATGGAACTCTCAACACGCCGGCAACCATCACGTATGTATTGAAACATCATCATGATGGCATTCGCGTGCCCCATGTAATAATTCCCCTTGTTTGGTGTTTGCCCTGACGAAGGCTGCACCTTCGCATCATCCTTGGAGTTCATTGACTCCTTAGGTGTGGCTTGATGTGGTGAAAAATCCACATCATCCATGGATGCCATGCCTTATTACAATACATAAGAAATAGGAGATCAATAGGTGCAAACTAAAGTATATAATAATTTCCAACACATAAGAGATAGCTTGGAGAACGATACCAAGATGATGAGTTGAAGTTGAGCAGTCGTATGCAGCCGGCTAAGGAGGATCAGTAATTTTTTTTTGGATCACACTCCTTCACCCACATATATATAGGCTAAGGAGGATAATGTTACCATTGTTGCTATCATGATATCTATGGAAAGACATAACAATATTGCCTTGTATGTCTTGTGAGTTGACATGTATGGGCATGTAATACATGGAAATATTGCCAAAATAGCATCTGACAGAGATTTGGATATGATTTGCTAACCTTTACTCTGATCTGCTGCATGAAAGCGTAATTGACAGAGATTTGGATATGATTTGCCAATAATATCTCAAGCTTGCTGCTACGAAGATAAATAATAATAATAATTTGTTTTAATCATTGATCATTACAAATGCTCAGGAAAGCTGACATGATTTGCAGTATAGTGCGCCTAAAATTAATTAACAATCAATTACAAATGCAGTCAATTGCCAAGAATGATTCGCAATTAGCATTATCTGTTGTAGGTACTGTTTACTTCAGACAAGGGTGGTGATGATCCATTCAAGTAATTTCAGTCCAGCTCGGTACATGGTGAACATTTCTTTATTCAAATTAAAGCAAAGACACAATGCAAAACATACTTTTTAATAATGCACAGTGAACATTTGTTTATTTTCAACAATGCAAAACATAATGTTTAATACTGTTTTAGAGTAACTTTGATACCTTGAATAACTGGAGTGAAGTAGTCAACAGCAGAGCAGGAGTCCTCAAATATTAGATCCTTCAATCAGATTTTTCCTGATTCATGCAACACTGTAAACGTAGGATACAAGGAAAATTTAATAAATGATCTGTGAACGTAGGATACAAGAAAAAATAGGAACTACATGAACAATCTATTTAAATCCATGGTTGTGGAACTGCAGCAGGTTAGGTTCGTAAAAAGTGGTTAACTCAAATACCAACACTCTTCAGTTATTTGCCCTAGAGAAAGAAAAATAGGTTCATCTATTCTGTAGGATATAGTTATTTATATGAACTGAACGTCATAAGAATTTAGAGTCAATTGCAAGAAAAACTAAAGGTACTGCATATACCATCTAATTCTTAGATCCCAGATCGATTAGGATGACCGGGCTTTAACAGGGAAGAATATATGTGAAATCAAAATGCTGGTCTGTCAATGTACTTGTCCACAATGTGATGTGCATGTCACACCGTGAAATCAAAATCATTAATGCATGACTACACTGTGGTGTGCATGTGAAATTGAGCAAAATTTTGCAGTATTACGTTTGGAACAGGGTTAAGCTTTTCCAAGAAAAAGATTGGTCAATCCCTCAAAGAAAATATGGTTGGCACAGTAATCAGGGCAATTTTTTTTCTTGATTTGTAAACCGGATGCAGGCAATTTTAAACATCAGATTCTACAACAGTGCGAAGATTGACCCACGAAGTATACATTTGCACTATTTGTAAGGGGTAATCATTATGGAAGAAATTACCTATACCAAACAGAAATTTAGTAGAATCAGCCAAAAATTTCGTTGATTGTGCAGCAAACAATAGCAGTTGACATGGTGTCCTGTCAGCCTGAATTTTTCTTCGGCAATCTGAATTTTCGTCCTATAGATTAAATCATTTGAAATGAAAGGTTAAGTCAGTTTGCTAGATATAAGCAATCACATAGAAAAATTGACACAATAGAATTATCTGAGATAGGCCATTTCTTCCCCACAATTTTACAATGAAAGATTGACGATAAATGTTAACAAGATGTGAAGTATCTCATCCAATGACAACAATGAAACCCCAAAAAAAAATCCTACCACACGAATGAGATTAACACGTGAAATTTAGTTGAAATGCAAAATAGGCTTTGGATTAGAGTTTTGCATCACAGATATCCATGCACAGTGAACAATGTTTAATAATGAACAATGGGGATTTAGTCAACAAAGGGGATTCCTAAAGCCATTATGCATCTCTATGAACAGTGGCGGAGGACAGAAAAAAAATTTAGGTGTGGCCAATAAACTACCACACGCGAGAGTTAACACAGAACAAGAATTAAGAAAAAAAATTCAATGCACAATATTGTACAATGTAACATTATATCAGCAAGTCATAGTACAAGCACTTAATCACAAGTTCACAATTCATCATCCATTTGCAAATAAGTGTAAATATAAAAGTAGGTACTCAAAAATACCTCAAGATTCACTGATTCAAGCTTTCAGCCGTACATCACATATATGAACTAATGAGGATAGATACATATGTAGAATCTGAAAAACAAATAGCAAAGATTGATTAGTTTGATAAGATAAAAAGCAATGAGTGAAACAAAATGTACAAGCATCCTAAAAATAAAATATTTAATTGCAATTTCAGTAATAAATTTGTACACTTTGAAATTGCAATGTTCTGAAATTGTCAAATAAAAAAAAAGTACAACCTCTTTGTGATGCCAGTGCCTTCCCTTTTCTCTTTCTGTCCATTTTCTGCTGATGGGAGATTGGGCGTGATGGCCTGATGGCTGCTACTGCTTCTGCTTGCCTTGCTTGCTGCTTGGTGCTGCTGCGCCATCCGCCCTGCCCCTGCCCTGCTTGGCGCCTGTGCTGCACGCCTGCGCGGCTGCGCCCCGCCACGCCGCGGCGCCGTCCGGCGTGGATGCCGCAGCTCTGTGAGGCTGCGCCCGGGAGCCCGGCAGACGGCAGCCATGCCTCTCCTCGCCTCCGCCTGCCCTCCCACGCGCTGTGCGTCGCCTCCTCATGTACAGGAACGGGATCGAGAAGCACTCTTACCTTGTTCACAGGCGGGATCGACGGCTTGCAGGGTTGAGGAGCCCTGGATCAGTGGCGGCGCGAGGGACTCGAAGCCGGTTCTCCTTCGAGGTCGGGACGGCGATGAAGCGACGCAGCAACGGCGCCGACGGGGCTGCGGGCTGCGGCGGCGTGGAGCGTCGATGGAGGGCAGGCCCGACCTCGCCTCCTCCAGCCGTCACGCGGAGTCCGCCATCGATGGAGGGCAGGCCCGACCTCGCCTCCTCCAGCCGTCGCGCGGAATCACGCCCCCATGGCGGAAACAAACGGTGATGCGGCTGCGGCGGCGTGGATCGGGGCTGGAGTGGCGGCGTGGAGCGGCGACGTTGGAGTCCGGGGGCTTGGTGGAAGGGCGAGACGGTGCGGCGCGGCACGGTGCGACGGTCGACGGGGGCTAGCGGTGGCAGTGACGGCGGTTAGGGTTGGGAATCGCGGGGGTGAGGAAGGTCTCGGCAGCGACCAGGCGAGGAAGGCGTCGGCGGCGACGTGAATCGGTGGCGGTGGGACGACGGATGCGATGACGGCGGAGCGGCGGCAGTCGAGGGCGGCGGCTACAGCGGTGGCGCGGGGATCGGTGGCGGTGACGACGGATGCGAAGACGGCGGAGCAGCGACAGTCGAGGGCGGTGGCGCCGCGTGAGTCGGGGTTGGGGAGGGGCGGCGGCGCGTGAGAGCGATAGAGAGGGGGCGAAGAGGAGCGCGCAATCGAGGGAGGTGGGAGGTGGGAGCGATCTCAATCGTTGAGATTTCACCGAGACAATCTGGACCGTTGAGTGATGAATGAAAGAAGGATACTCATTGGTTCCATGAGTGTATATACTCTTTGATATTTGTTACACACAAGATAAATTAAATTCTCTTTGATATTGATGGTAAAAGTAATAGATGCAGGGCATGTTAGGATTCATGCCTTACCAGATTTTTGGTAGTGCCAAATTTTGAGCAAGTTTTGGTACTACTAAAATTTTGGTAGGGTAAAGTTGAAAATGTTTATTTGGATTGAAGCCAAAATATGTCCATAAGAGACAAGTTCATGGGCAAAGCTAAATTTATAGCATAGGTAGTGTTTTAATAGAGGTGTTTAGTTTGCTATTCTACCAGAGCAAATTTTGGTAGGGTAGCAATTTAAACTGGCCCGTAACTTTTATGTAAGGTAGCCTTTAATTAAGAGTGATATTTTATTGAATCCTCCTGTACAGTTGCATTCGGGTGAAATCCAATTTTGAGGACCACGACGCGAAATCCCAATTTTCCCCACCAGCCGCCGCCACCTCGGCCAATGCGCCGCCGCGCCGGTGCTGCTCTGCACGGCCACCGCGCGCGTGAACCGTTGCCTCGCCTCGATCGGTCTCGCCCGCTCCGCTTTCACGCCGCCACCCGCACCTTCGCTCGATGAGGGTTAGAGCCTCTCCACCTCCCTTCCCCCAATCCCAATCCGCTCTCGCGTCTCACTGCGCATCATGGCCGGATTGGCGGTGGCTGGCCGCTCGCTTGACGAGGCGTTCGAGGTGACCAGCGCGGTGGACAACATCGGCGCCTGGGGGTGGCTCGACGTGCAGGGATGTCGGCGGAGTTTGAAGCGGCTGGGCACCCGATCGAGCATGAGGCGAGCATGGCTGGACCGCGCCGTGGACTCGGAGGGCAAGGCTCACGCGCGCGACATCGTCCGGGAGATCATCTCCCGCGGCACGGATGATTGGATAGTGCGGCGGTGAACATGGAGTGGGGCGATGGCCCCGACGCCATCTCCGCCGCCACCGACGAGCTCGACCAAAGCGCGCTTGGGTGGCGGAGCGCGACCTGCCCCCCAACCCCCACCCACCTCACCTACATCGACGGGGCGGCGTCGCGTTCGTGGCCGCTCCACGCCAGGCAGCACACGGTGGTCGCCGCCGGCTACGACGTCCCCACGGGCGCGCTCGACCATGCGTCCTCTCGCCAGCCGCCACTCGGCGGCATGCGCCGCTATCACTTCAAGTTCAAGCTGCTATCGTTCGGGGTCAGAGCGGCGGATGTTCCACCTGTCGATGAAGATGGCGGCGCCTGGGGATGAACAAGCATCGACGGCGACGGCGGCGGCGGTGGTGGCGGCGGCGGCGGCGGCCGACGCGGTGGGGGACAGAGAGGGTGTGGGTGTGTGGATCGGCTGAGCGAGCCCAACATGCTCGTTTAGCCCGGCCCAGTTATCAAGAAGAGGGGCACCAGATGCGCCCAATCCCAAGACAACCATTTTTCCCAAGGAAAAAAAAAGGAAAGGAAAAAAAAAACAATCGTCTTCAAGCTTCGGGTTCCCGCTCAGCGCGGCAGCGGAACCAAGCCGAGGGAGCTCGACTCATCGACGATCACGGTGTCCAGTACTTTGGAAGAATCAGCCTATCCTGCCCGCACCCGCCATCTAGTTTCTGGAGGATACTATTCCGCCGGTGAGCCTCGAAAGAACATCGACAATTCTTGTTTCTTGGATGTTTTGCTCTGTTCTTGGGGTTGGTCTTCTCCTTTCTGCTGCATCAGTTCGGGCCGTTCTGCACCTTTAGTTCTATAGTTCTTGGGGTTGATCTCCCATTTCTTCTTCTTGTTTTGCTCTGGATCGCCTGGGGGCGTTGTGCCGCAAGTTCTTGGGGACATTGTGTCGCAAGATCGTGTTGTTGATAGAGAATAATCCAACTGTTAGCTCAAGAAATCTCTGAACTAGCTGATTCTGATGAAAAAATTAGGACTTGTTTTGATTTTGTTTTTCTTTGTATCAGTTATTGATTTTGTTGGGGTCGGACTCCTCTCTGCAGCATTTTCTCTTCTGCATTGTCCTTTCTATTCTGTATGGTCCTCGTCGCGGGAGATATTGTTCTGCCGGTGATCTTGAGGAATCACTGGAATCAGAAAACTCGGTTTGTTTCTTTTTTTAACAGTAAACGGCAAGAGAATTGCCGGCTATATTAGAAGGATAGAGAAGAGTTTTACATCACATAGGATAGTAGCAGCAAATACAAACAACTAGGAAAAAAACCAACAGAGTGGCGAACAAAGCTAAAGGGAAGAAAATTAAGGCGGCTTAAAGGTGAACTCTCTATCGTTAATATCCTCTAGGATGGCAGCTACCGTTTGGTCGATTTGGTGGGTATTCGGGGGATGGCCTTTAAAAATTTTCTCATTTCGCATTAGCCAAATGTGTCACCAAGTCGTAACTAGGGCTCCCATACTTCTTCTTGCTTGTGCCTTGTTTGAGGAGGAGCAGATGTTCGAGGTCCATTCTTGTATGTTATCCTGCATAGAATGGCCGGGGATTCCTTTTATTTTGAAACTCGGTTTGTTTCGATTATTTGGTTTTGTTTCCAGTTTTTCTTGTCGGTCTCCTGGAAATTGTTCTGCTGCTGCCGGTGCATTGCTGCTGCGGCTGATTGATGCTTAATTCTTTTGCGCATTCCAAAACAAAAAAAAAATCTGCTGCGGCTGGAGAGAACACCACAATGGGCTTGTTTCTTGTAAAAAAAATCAATTTCTTTTTATTGTTTGGGGCTGGTTTCTGCTGCGGCTGGAGGGAGCACAGTTAATTTTGATTCTTACCATAGCACGATTTGTTTTGATTCTTAGGATGTAGTTTAGTTCTTAATTATTATTTTGATTTTACTACGCCTTCCCTGTGGCTGCAGAGGATAATTTGCTGACCTTGTTGCTGTTGGAGGAAGTATCTTAGTGTTGATAATGGGCAGGCGCAAAAAGAAAACACCAGCTCTCACACCGAGGGTATGATCGTCGATCACTTTTTTTCTATCTCCTGTAATTTACGGTCTGCTAACGAATTGATCTACCCATTTTCAACCTGTGAATGCAACTGAACTGATCTTTCTATTTTACCTTCATCCTCCTTTGGCAGAACACAGTAACTCTATATCTTGATGGAACAGAACATGAATTTGTTGAGAACTTCATACATTGCCAGGGGCACTACAGATTCTGGCTCCTGTGGAATTCTGCTTTCAGGGTAACATATAGCCGAATGATGCTATATACAACACCAGTCCACGGGACATTCTATTATGTCCTTAGGTATGAAGCAGAATACGTTGTACTAGTGATTGATGCTAGAACTGGCTGGCTTGTTGGGTTCTTCAACAACAGAGGCATTTATGAGATGCGGTCTGATGATAATCTTGGGAGTTATATGAATTCGTCACAATGTCATAAGCTTCCGTTCAATGGAAATCATAAGGAAATATCCCCACATGGGACAGAAAATACATGGCTGAATCTGCAACTGTTCAAAAAATGTTTTCGTTATCTTTCCTCTTATCAGCCTAGCAACAGAAGAGTCCCAATTGGGTTCAAGATTTCATTGGGCATGATGGTCGTAATGTTTTTGGAATCAAAATTCAAAATGGTGCATAAAAAGGATATGCCATGCCATGGAGCATGGTACGGGGTCACGGTTAGGTGATGGTTTTGAATGGGTCAAGAGGCTAATCGTCAATTGGAGTTCAATCAGCCAACAGGTTATGAGGTCTCTTAGCAATCAAAGATACAATCCCCACGATTGTGGCATAAGAGAATTGCTTACTTTTGATGATCTTCTGAAAAGCACATTTTATCTTCATGTCGATGCTTATTTGGAGGGAATTTTCAAACATACTGCATTACCACCCCCACCACGAGACCTGAGCTGGTGTCCTGTATGTAGATCTTGGCGGTGATGGGGAGGAGGATATTCCACTGCCTCGAGAGCCACAGCCCACGCCACGCAGTGCAGTGCACAGGAGAGGTCAGCAACAGTTGACAAAAAAGAAGGGTCTATCTGGAGGCAAACTTGGAGGTCCTCCAGTTGCTCCAGAAATTTTCTTAAGATGGAGTTTGAGTGATGTAAGTATCGATTCCTTTGCATATTATTAGGCAGATAGTATTTGGCTTATCAATTCAACTGTCAACTTATTTCATTTACATATGACAGGACCAGGAGAAATACTATGATGAGCTGGTTTCATACCTCGAGGAGGAGCTTGGGTTGAAAATGCATAAAGCAAGACGTTTTGATCTTGATTGTACCAATCATCTTGTGAAGCATCATCCTATGCTGCCTGACCGAAATTTATCAGCACAAGCTCAGATAGACAGTGATACAATAAATGAATCACCACAAGCTCTTCCCACAAACATTAGTTCTCAGATTGTCAGCTGTTCAGTAGATGAAGCACCGCAGGCTCTCCCCACTAGCAGTTCTCCGATAAGCAACAACACAGAAGGTCTATCACTCCAGGCTCTCCCAACAAGCAGTGAATCAGCGGCAGGAGTGACGATAGATGATCTACACTCTTTTTGCTCTCAGGAGTTTATCACTGACCCAGTGAACAGGTTATCAGATAGAATTGACAGCGAATATGTCTTGCTTGTGAATCCTGCAATGCCACATCTGCTAGGAAACTCCTCAGATGCTACTGATCTTGATTGTACCAATCAACTTGTGGAGAATCATCCTAAGCTGCCTGACCAAAATTTATCAGCACAAGCTCAGATAGACGGTGATACAATTAATGAAGCACCACAAGCTCTTCCCACAAGTGTTGGTTCTCAGATTGGCGGCTGTTCAGTAGATGAAACACTGCAGGCTCTCCCCGCTAGCAGTTCTCTGATAAGCAGCAACACAGAAAATCTATCACCCCAGGCTCTCCCAACAAGCAGTGAATCAGCGGCAGGAGTGACGATAGATGACCTACGCTCTCTTTGCTCTCAGGAGTTTTTCACTGACCCAGTTGTGGTCCATGCTTTCAACAGGTTATCAGATAGAATTGACAGCGAAGATGTGTTGCTTGTGAATCCTGCAATGTCACATCTACTAGGAAACTCAGATGCTACTGTTGTGTCAACCCAGCTACAGAGTCTAGGACTCCCCTCTCGAAAACTAGTCCTTTTTTCCAGTGAACAGTCAGGATCCCCATCTGTTGGGTGAAGGTACACACTGGAGCCTCCTAGTGTTTGACCGCAACCTTGGAGGCAGACCATGCTTAGCCCACCATGACAGCAGTCCTGGTGATGCTAATTTGAGAGCTGCACGCCGTCTTGCGGCATCACTGCTTCCTTACCTACCTCCTGAGACGAAATGCACTAAAGCTCCGACACCTAAGCAAAACAATGGAACCGAATGTGCCCTTTACATGATTAAATGTGCTGAGGTGATCTGTGGTTGGTGGCGAAACCACGCTGCTGGAGGATCAGAGTCGCATTGGCTTGGAGTTGTGGCCCGAGGTGTTACCATGGACAGCGTGGACAACTTGAGGGCACAGCTAATCCATGATATTGGACAGCTCCTCAACGGCTCATCATCATCATAGAGTCATACTCTTACTTGTGTATGCTTGTGCTATTGTTGTGATTACACTTTGCCGCCTTCCAACCGGAAGGTTCTCATATTCACCCTTTGCCGCCTTTGAACCGCCGACCAAGTGTTCCTTTCTCACAATTCAATGATCCGAAAGGTGATCACTCATGAAAAAATTGGTTCAAGTCTGGTCAGGCCACTGCAACTTAATGGGAAAATGCCGCAAAACTGCAAGTTTTCAGGTAGGTGCTTGTAACTCAATCTCAGAGTTGTCATGAGGCCACTGTAACCTTTTGTAATCAGGTCAACGTCGTTGTTTTCTATATCGAAAGTTCTTGTTTCCAGTATTCTGGTCCAATACTTACCACCTAAGCAAGAATTCAGCATTGCACCAATTGTCTTCGCGGCAAGCGGTATTCCATTAAGCTTCTCTGATATCTTCATACCAATTGAGAGCAACCTTCCATGCTCATCGATGCCTGTAACATCTGCAAATGCATGCTGGTTGAATAGTAATAAGTAGTCATCTTTTTATAAGCCCTCCAAAATGATTCTTATGTGCTGCCCAACAACTTTTCCAATCATATCAGCAACTGAACCCAACCGGGTAGTTATCAGCATCTTGCTCCCATGGCCTGCACATCTTAGCGGAGCAATGGCTTTACTCCAACTTTCCTGATCAGCTTCATTCCAAACATCATCCAGCACCAACAGAAATCTCTTTATACATCAATGTCCATCAGTCTCTTGTGAGCTTTATCAAGGGTGTTGACGTCATAATTCACACCTGTCACTGACTTTACCATCTTTTTTGGCAATGCTTATCGTCTCAAGTCTACTAGAGGCATGGATCCATATCTTGAATTCTTGATGAAACTTCCCTTCCAGTTCTTTCTTATTGAATACATGTTGTGCAAGTGCATCCTTCAGGATCCACCTGAGGATATCCTCCAACTCCTTCACTGGCAAAAAAAAAAGCTCTTGCAGGCTCTGCATTACAGGATCAGCTTTCACCACTCTCCCAAAAAAAAACTGAACACTTTCCTCATGGCACTGGAAACCTTCTCTCAATTAGTCACCTCATCAGGGATTACATCGGTACTCGATCTCATCAAACACGCTGTCTTGTCAGCAGCTTCGACAGCATAACGAAGCTGTCAAAGCCAAGATTGCAGGCCAGGGATGAGCTCAACCTTGCCATCCTCAGCAGCAGACAACCAGGCTCTCAATCTGTGAACTGGACTCATCCAGTTTCTCGAGCTTACTTTTCATGTCTTTGGACCAGGATATCTGGTCCTTGCCATAATCGGATGTGGCGTCGATGATCAGGTGCGAAGATGGTTTCCTAGAAAGCAATAATGGTGACTGGCCTTTGATTAATGCCAATGGCTCTTCTAAACATATAGACTAAACTTGCAGAGCGAAGAACAACCTACTCATTTTTCAAATCTCAGCATATGCCTTTGATTAATGTCATGATGTCACATGCTGAGATTCACAGCAACAAACATGAGTGGTTAATACTTAATACATCACAATCTTTTTCACAAATCATGATGTCAATCGAGGTGCTATCATAGTACTGTATGCCAAATTGTGTGCAAAGAACAAGAAATACAGGAGAGATGAGTTAGGGTGTGTTTAGTTCTTTGGGCGTAAAGTTTTAAAAGTATACGGACACACGTTTGAAGTATTAAACGTAGACTAATAACAAAACAAATTACAGATTCCGTCTGTAAACTGCGATACGAATTTATTAAGCCTAATTAATCCGTCATTAACAAATATTTACTGTAGCATCACACTGTCCAATCATGACGTAATTAGGCTCAAAAGATTTGTTTCGCAATTTACATTTAAACTGTGTAATTGTTTTGTTCCCACATTTAATTCCCCATACATGTGTCCAAACATTTAATGTAACGTTTTTGGCCAAAATTTTTTTAGGATCTAGGCCTTACATAGAAAAAACCCTTAAATGATGGCTATAGTGTAGTAACCGCAATCTGCTAGAAAATACCAATTTGCATCGATGCCCTAACAACTAATTTGACCACCAGCGATACATAAATTGCAAGTTGGGCAAAGCGCCCAAAATAACTAAGCACAGCGATCAACTTGGGCCTTGATGGGCCGTAGACGAAGAAGGCCCGCTAGTTCATGACACTTCGCGGTGGGTTGCGCCTCCACGCACGCACGCAGCCGTGGAACTCTCTCCTCCCTCTCCTCCTCACCTACGCATCCCGCGCCCATGGCCGCCGCCGCCGCCGCCGCCTCCACGCCGCCGTGCTGAGCCCACCCCCGAGAGACCTAGCTCACGCCGAGGACGCTACCACTCCGGCGCGGGCGGCGGCCTCGGGATCGGGGCGGATCAGATGCTCTCCCTCGGCGCCATCCGCAAGCTCTGCGCCGCGTTCGACGCCATCGCGCTCACCGTCATCGCGGCGGGGCTCTCCCGGACCTCGCACCACCCGTTCTCCGCGCACGCGCACTACTCCCAGCCGGACTTCCCCACCATCGCCTCCTGCCGCGCCGCCGTCGCCAGCTCCAAGTGGCGGCGCCGCCACCCCTCCACCACCAAGGAGTCCGCCGGCGTCGAGCCTGCCGAGCCCCCCGTTCTGGTCAGGATCAAGAACGAGAGGGACCCGGTGCGGCTGTACGAGCTGTTCAGGGCCAACGCGCACAACCGCCTCTTGATTGAGAACCGGTTCGCGTTCGAGGACGCGGTGGCGCGCCTGGCAGGTGCTCGACGGAATGACCTAGTGGAGGAGATACTCGAGCAGCACAAGGCGTTGCCTCAGGGGAGGCGGGAAGGGTTCGTGGTCAGGATCATAGGTCTGTACGGCAAGGCAAGGATGCCGGACCACGCGCTGAGCACTTTTCGCGAGATGGGATTGTATGGATGCCCGCGCACGGCCAAGTCACTCAATGCCACGATGAAGGTGCTACTGCGAGCGCGGCTGTTTGATGAGGTCCTTCAGTTGTTCGAGAGTTCAGAGACATATGGGGTTGAGTTGGATGACATTTCGTACAATACAGTGGTGAAAATGATGTGTGACTTGGGGGAACTTCGAGCGGCATTTCGGGTTATGCAGGAAATGGAGAAGGCGGGGGTGAGACCGGATGTCATCACATACACAACACTCATGGATGCATTCTATAAGTGTGGCCAGCGTGAGGTCGGGGATGGTCTGTGGAATCTCATGAGGTTGAGAGGTTGCATGCCAACACTTGCCAGTTACAATGTGAGAATCCAGTTCTTGGTTAACAGGAGAAGGGGCTGGCAAGCGAATGATTTGGTGAGGAAAATGTATGCATCAGGCTTAAGGCCAGATGAGATCACGTATAATCTAGTTATTAAGGGTTTCTTCATGATGGGCGAGCATGAGATGGCTAAGACAGTATTTGGTGCGATGCATGGGAGGGGATGCAAGCCAAATGCTAAGGTTTACCAGACAATGGTGCATTACCTCTGTGAGAGAAGGGAGTTTGATTTGGCATTCAGGCTGTGCAAAGACAGCATGGAGAAAAACTGGTTTCCAAGTGTTGATACTATTAACCAACTGCTAAAAGGCCTCATATCAATTTCAAAGGACAGGAATGCAAGAGAGATAATGAAATTGGTAATAGGAAGAAAACCTTCCTATTCAAATGATGAAGTGAAAACCTTCCAGGACATATTGTCTCTTGGGAACACCAGAAGATAATTTGAGTATTTGACTGCTGGATGGAATTTTTTGCTGTATGTCCACCACATGTAATTGTAAGGCTGTTGTTGGCATTCATTCATTCATTTTATTTTTGCAGCCAAATTGCAATGCTTAGATAGCAATGTTCAGCTGTTTAACAGTAGTTCATCTAACTAAGATAAGAACATTAATATCTAATAGAAAAAAAAAATCAAGAATCAGGTAGGCTCTTAAGGAGAATTTGTTTTACTTCAAAACCTTCTAACACGGAAAAGTTCTAGAAATTCTTGTGATTAATATTGCTAGAATAAAGAAATATCATGTGTAGAATTTCAAGCTATACGGTCATCTTCAAAAAAGCTTAGGCAAGAATTCATATAATACTTTATTTATTTCACGGGAAACATATTCTTTAGTTGTTACTTTCTGTAGAAGTGCTTCTCACTCCAGATTGATGATTATTTTGATATTGATGAGTAGGCATAAAAAACTGGAGTAGTGAAATCCTATGAGTTATTTTTGACAAGCGATAGGAGTTACATTAGTTGTATGAACTCAGATTATGCCTTTTTAAGGGAAAGTTCTGTGCCCCTGACACCTGTTGATAATTTCCATGGCTTTTAAGTTCTATAACTGCTGCTTTTGTTTTATTTTGATTGCTTTACAAAGCTTCCCACGAGTAATCTCAGGACATAGTTCTGTATTAAGTTGGATTATGTAATGTAAATGAATTGTTGAAGCTATTCAATTGAGATAAAAGTACTGACTTACACAATTTGAACATAAATGATCTTAAAACATAAGCCAAGTGTACCTTTCGAAATTCCAAATGATTCATCATCTACAAACAAACTTTGAGATACATGGTTGCTGGAAGGTTAGATATGGCAATTTCGATAACTATGTCCCTTTCACAGATTCTTTGAGTTCAATGTGATCGATACTAGTGGTCCCTTTCATAATGGTGCTCTTGTTTGCAGTTAACACTTGGTTGGCACTCATTTTATGCCTGACTGAATGGGAGAACAGTGAGGAAATAATGTTGGGAATACAGGACAGCGGAAACTATGGGGAATGAAATTTTGGACTTGTGGTTATTCAAGCAGCATTGTTCTCAGAATCAATTGATGACACAAGGTAAGACAGAATCGTATTACTGATAACCAGGTCAAATTGAGATATTCAGTAATCCAGTTACTGAAGTCTTGGCAAATATTATCATCTTTTCATCTATTGCCCATCTCTTCTGTTATTCTTCAAACCAAGCAATCGAATAATTATCAATCAAAATAATGTTGGAAAGCTTCTCCAGCTATTGCTCATTCACGTGGATATCTTTGTTGTTTATTTTTTAGAACTTCGTGGACAAATCGAATAATTGAATCAATGGTTCCCTTTGCTTATTCTTAATCATCAATTCACCATCGCTCATATTGTCATTGTGCAGCATTGCAACTTTTTCTCTAGGATTACAAACTTAATCACTTATCATTTCCCCTTGTCTACAGGCAGGCATTTTGTTGACAGTTCCATTTGTTCTGTTGGCTTGGAGCACTGAAGGGAAAAAAAAAACGTATAGATCAATCTCCGGGAAGTAAATTTTTCTCGGATTGGTGGCAGATAAACATTTTGTACCTCAACGTTTTGTAGCATGTACAAGCATAGCCTAGCATATGGATCAATCACTACAAAGCAAATTTGTTCTCAGATTTTCAGATGGACCAGGGGTGTGTTTGGTTGGTGCCTGAGGAAGACTGGTGCCTGAAGATCCCCTGAAATCTCGATGCATTTTTCCTAACCAGGAATGCCTGACATTGTTTGTTTGGTTTTGAGGCCTGAGATTGAACATGCCCGAGAGAGAAAAAAACGTAATATTGAAATAACATTGACTGAAGAAAGCTTTGTCCAAGCCTAGGAATCTACCATTGACTAGTAGTATAGCCATTAGTTAACCCAGTGATACTTGTGTATTACTAGTATGTTCATTTGACTACACCTTTTTCAAGTTCATTTCACTACACAAGTAAATGTACATTATAACTTTCAGTCTTTTGTTCTTTGTTTACATTCATTAATTATACTAATAAATGTAGCTCAGTGCTCCAGTTTTTCCTTGTATTAACTTTGGCCTTTGTTGAATGTTGGATCATTTACATTTTGTTGTACTCTTGGCAATGCTACTCAACGTTCATATTTACTCCCTTATAGGATATAAATATACGATATTTTAGACAATATGAATTTTTAAAATTTGAATATCTATGAATTTTTAAATATTTAGTTTAAGAACGTGAAAGTGGTATGCGTAAATTTATCTCAAAATTTACTCAATATCATAAACTTATTTTAAAATATGGTCAAAGATGCATCTGTAGACTAAACAAATGTCAAATGTCATATTAGAGGGATTTTTTTTTTTTGCTATGGATGGGATTTTATCTTCTAAGAATTGTTGTAAAAGAATTTAGCTCAAGTATATTTCTAAGAAAAAAAAATGGCATACATATTCTCAACATGTTTTGAATCATTTACTCCCTCTCATAAAATATAATCGCTTCTAGAGTTTTTTAATTGGAGAATTTAAAGAAATTAAAAAGAGAGGTAATTATGATTGGTTAACATAAGGATGTGGACGGAGAAACCAAATGAGGATGGTTTAATTTGTTGACACGCACGAGTAGCATTATTCTTAAAAAAATAAAACTTGAATGACACAAACTACTATATTTCTAAACAAATGGAGTAGATAATTAACTCAACTCATGCGACAATTTATGGAGTACATGATTAACTCAACTCATGCGACAATTTGTGAATAAAATCGTTTGTCATAAACGACCCAAATGAAGAAGAAGAAAAGTTCTCATTTGGGCGGGCCCACATGTCATACACCAACCCTCTCGTGGGCCCCAGATGTCTGGTGGTATATCCCGGGGCCCGTGTTCACATCTATACGCTTCTCCAGTCTCCCCTGGCCCGGAAGCAAACGGGGAGCAGCAATGGAGAAGAGACGCCGGCTCGTCGTCGCCGGCGACGGCGAGGGGGACGGCGGCGAGGCCTCCGGCAGCGCCGCGCGCGGCCTGGTGGAGAGCCTCCCGGAGGCGCTCCTCGTGGAGGTGGTCGTCAGGCTGGAGCTGGAGGCCGCGTGCTCGGCCGCGTCGTCCTGCCGCGCCCTCCGCGCCGCCGCCGCCGCCGCCTTCTCCGCCGTCACCTCCCTCGACCTATCGGTGAGGGGGCTCATCTCTCAATCCCTCCCCCCATCCTCTCCTCTCGCTTCCCCTTTCCCCCCCGCGCCCCAAATCGATTTCCCCCCCTAAACGCGCTTGGTGTTGGTGTTGGCAGATGTTCCCGCCGACGAATGCCATCCTGAATAGGATTCTCGCGGGCAATGGCGCGCTCCGCTGCCTCGCCGTCAACTGCAGCCTCCTCGATGACTCCGCGGTGGGCGCCATCGCGAAGGGAAGCCTCCGCGAGCTCTCGCTGCTCAAGTGCTCGTCCTTCTCCTCGTACCTCTTTGTGGCAGTTGGTGAGAGATGCAAAAATTTGAGGTGTGGTTTCTTCCTTCAGCGTTGGCTTTGTTTCTGTGTGCACGATTGCCCACGAAATTGTATTCTATCAGGGGAATCGAATTGATGAATTTGTTGCATGATATTGTGCACACTGCTCGGTTTATCCTTGTTTTTGTGTGACAAACATTAGGGGAAATTGATTTTTAAACTTTGTTTTTGTGTGACAAACATTAGGGGAAATTGATTTGTACATTCCATAGGTTGTATATTGGCCCAAATGATGTCGATTGAAGCATGTTGAATTCTTCTCTTTATATCCAGATCATTTGTGCTGGAGATGGCAGCTTCAGATGATGATGAACATTTCGGGATCTGCCGAAAGTCCATAGCACACATCGTCAAAGGATGCGGTTACCTGGAGGTGAGGAATCTTTGTTGCAGATGAACCCCAATACTGTTCTTCGCGTACATATATGGTCAGTTCATAGCAATATAGTATTTTGTAAATAATATTTTAGGCTGAGAATGTGTGAATACTAAAGTATAGATAACATAATATTAGCCATATTATTTTAACAATGACATGGAACTCTTTGAAAAGTTAATCTGGTCGGATAATCTAATCTGACGTTCTTTTCTCTCCATGCAGAATCTTTCACTCAAGTTCTTTCCTCTGCTAGGTCCAGGCTCCGTTGATTTTGAGTCATTGGTACCCATTCCTAGTACCATCAAGGTACTATTGCTACAGCCTGTGTCGAATTGGCAGGCAAAGAGGCTATTTCCTATAAGCACAAGTCTGAAGACATCTATTAGCAACACTCTAGAATCACTCTCTTTAGTTCTTGACATAATAACTGATGAACTTGTTGCGTTCATCACTGGGAGTCTCCATAACTTAGTTGAGTTGTGCCTAGAAGATAACCCAATGAAAGAACCAGATTTGCACAATGACCTGACAAACGTTGGGCTCCAAGCACTTGGGTTATGCCACAACCTGGCACATTTATCTCTGACACGTGGTAAGCAGAATTGTTCGTCCACCTTCAGAAGGGTAACTGACTTTGGGATAATGATGCTTGCTGACGGATGCAAGCAACTGAAAACCATTAGACTTGCTGGGTTTTCTAAAGTGAGGGATGCTGGGTATGCAGCCCTTCTTCAGTCTTGCAAGGACCTGAAGAAATTTGAGGTCAGTACTGGATACTTGTCAGATTTGACATGTCTTGATCTTGATGAGGCAGCTCCAAAGATTACGGAAGTGAGGTTGCTGTGCTGTAGTCTATTAACCAGTGAAACAGCCATCTCACTCTCATCCTGCACCAAGTTGGAAGTTCTAGACCTATCAGGTTGCAGGAGCATCGCAGACTCTGGGTTGGCTTCTATTTCGCAGCTTTCGAAGCTAACACTATTGGATCTTGCTGGAGCTGACATTACCGATGCAGGATTATCTGCACTCGGTAATGGGCGGTGCCCAATGTCTTCATTATGTTTGAGAGGTTGCAAAAGGATCAGCAACAATGGCATAGCTTCTTTGTTGTGCGGGAGTGGCACCATCAACAAAACTCTAATCTCACTGGATATCGGGAATGTACCTAGAATATCAGGCAGAGCTGTCACGTTGATTGCCAAGAACTGCGAGCAGATCAGCAGCCTCTGCCTCCGGAACTGCCTCCTCATCAATGATTCTTCTCTTGAAACTCTAGGTTCTATGCGTCACAATTTGGGTAAAAGTTCCCTAAGAATGCTGGATCTCTCCTATTGTTCTAGGCTGTCACGTAATTTCCTGGGACTATTTGAGCCGCCATTTTTTAGGGGCCTGAGGTGGCTTGGTGTTGGGAAGAACATGTTGGAACGCCGTGGCTGCAGTCCAACTGTCGCGGAGCTCCTGGAGCGAAAGCCTGGATTAACAGTCTGTGGCAACGCCTGCGAGATGGGCTGCAGGAATCAGTGCCATCCTGACATTCGAAGGCAATAAACCGAAGATTGTCGTTCGGGTTTGATTCTGTAATTCCTTCATCCGTTCTGTAACATAACTGTGGAACATCTCTTGCGTTTGTAGGTTAGAAGGGGCTGTTCTTTAGGATTTGTTGGTTTGCTCTGCACTTGTAGATTGTAAACAAGGAACAGCTCTTAGGATTGGTTGGTTTTCTTTGCACTTGTAGATTGTAAACAAGGAGCTGTTCTTAGGATTGGTCGGCTGCTTGTGTCCTGTAATAAAGTAATGAATTCTTATTGGAAATTTATTGGTTTTCATCGTCTTTGTTTTCTAGTAGCTTGGAATTTTTTTCGGGCTCAGCTTCATGATCTACATTAGCTTGAAACATGAAAGGTCATTTCGCCACCGTAAACGGAATTGTTAAGCTTCTGTTGACAGAAAACGCATACACAAATCTTGCAAATTTTGTATCATTGGATGTGCTTCGCGATTCGTGCTCTAGGTTTCTTTTCCAACTCCGGTGATCTCCTCTTCTTCTCCGGCGCCAGCGACAACCTAAACTCCAGCAGAGGACCGACTAATTAAGGTCCCGGGGTGGGGTGGGGTGGGGGTGGGAGTAGGAAGAAGAGGGTGGTTGCCGGGTTTAGAGGGATGGGTATGGGAGGTGGTGGAACGAGCGGCCGGCGAGGCGCCGGAGCCGAAGCCATGGTGATGGAGAATGGCGGTGGGCCGGCATTGGCGGCGGGGGCATCTCGCCGCCGGTGGCTTGAGGAGGGAGGGGAGGGGGAAGAGGCTGGCCGAAGGGGGGGGGTGCTCGCCGGCGCCGTTGACGCCTTCTGGCCAACTAGCGAGGCCGAGCGGCGGCAACAAAGGCGCGGATCACGCTAGGGAGCGGCAGCACGGTATAGGGAGAAAGGAGGATGAGGAGGTTTTTAGGGTTGTGTTTCTTTGCACGGATCTTAAAGTAATCGGGTGGTCTGCAATTTGCAAGATTTTTATGGGGGTTTTCTATTAAATGATGTATAGACAGTCCCGTTTAATTTTGCCATGACCATCAGTCAATCACGCATCAAATCAGCTCGAGCTACGTTGACACCAACAGCCATACATAACGCATCACATCACCTCAAGCTGCGTGAACACCAACAGCCATACATACAGTTAACCTAAAGAAATTTACAAGCATAACTCAGGAAACCTGCATCCATATCCATTTAGGGAGTCAAATAGTGTAACTACCATGGGGGTGATGGGGATAAACTTTACATGTCAATCTTGGCGAATGAGGAATAAACAACGATCTAGGCACAGAATCAAGAATATCAACATGTTTGCCGTGTCAATCCTGAACGAGGGAGCATGAGTTTGGAAGAAACTTGATGGCTGCCAGATATAGTTCCTAACAGATTATACGCAAAAACTTCCTGGCCATATGGGTAACTATTTCCAAAATCTCAGCAGAGAACCAGCTGCAGATGCAGAAGGGGGAAAATCTACATGAAAGCACCTCGGCCTCCTCTCCTGGCAGTCGACCTCTCGTATGTCGCGTTAAACTTCTCGACCAGCTCATTCATTGTGCTGCAAGTTACAAGAGTATTAATACACTGACATGGGTGCAATGCCAAACGAGTAAACAACCATTATGATTCAACTTCTCTTCATCTCTTGGCAGATAACTTCATTTGCAAGTACGGATTTACTAACATTAGTGAATCTATTAAATTTGCTGATAATACATTGAAGTGTACAAATCACAAGCTGATTTGAGTTCCCTATAAAGTATTTTTTTAATCTTATCTTGTTGATGTTGTGACATTCTTTCATATCAAAAGGCTTTGTAGTTTGCATAATAAGTGGGGGCATACCTTGAACAGTTAGTGAACATAGCAAGGTAAGTCATGAGGAGGGTGTCATTGTATTCCTGAAAATTCAGAGAAGATCATCACTGCATGAAGGACAACGGTTGATAAACAAAAATAAAGAGAATATTATCAAGTTAGCAGACCATTAGGAAGTCATCTTGGAATTTTTCTGACTCCATTGCTGGTAGCCTTCTTACTAGGCTTGAGACTTGCCTAAGCAGCGAATTGTCCAGTGGCATATCACCTGCAGTGATGGTAAAGGGATTTACAGTTGATACCTATTTGAAGTAACAGGTGGCAAACATATTTTGAACTATATTTCAAGCACATCGAATAGCAGACATATTTTGAGGGCTCAACAGCAACAAAAAATACCTTTCTGCATGGAAACAAGATATTGATGGATAACACGGACCCTGCTATTGAGCATCTTGATGGCACTGTGTATTCCTGTCAGATGAGCAGCCACTGCTCAAATATATCTGTCAGTATCATTTTTCCAAAAACAATATATTGGGTAGTACAACTCAATATCTGTAAGACATAAACTGATGATAAGAAGAACCCTCACATTGAGTCGCCGCAGAGCCACCATCAGATGGTTTGAGATGGGCAACATGATCAACAGATATCCTCTCTGCCTCTACAGTCTTTAAATCAAACGTACTAACGTTAAGTCTTAACAAAAATTATTTATGGAAAAAGCAACACACACAAGAAAAAAACTAACCTCAATTGTATAATTAGCTCTGACAAAGATGAGCTGCGGACTCCCATCGATAACATGCAACTCTTGAAATTACAGAAAATCATGTCAAAAAAAAAGAAATAACAGAAAATGGTAAAGAGGAAATTAGAATAATAAACAGACGGAGAAATGGAACAATAAAATAACAGTAGCACCATGAAAGAACACCGAACTGGTTTGAGTCAATTATCTGAGAAATCAAGGGGTCACACATGCTATATACGTGATGCTAAAAGGTGGCATTTGGGGGAAAAAAGACTTCTAGGAGTAGTGGGCAATATGTAAAAGGTGGAGTACATCTCAGGTACATGCATAATTGACGTACACCTAAAAGTAAAACAAAAACCCAAACCATATAAAAACTGTGAAATCAATTGCAATATATTTTATAATGATACAAGCTGAAGTCAGATTCACTTACCACTCTCATAAATTGTTACAGGGAGATCCTTCTGGGAGAGGTTGATTGCAGGATTCAAAAGAAGATAAACGGGACTTTCGTTAATGTCCATCAGCTGGATAATAAAAAAAAGAAGTAAGTAACACAAAGAGGAACAAAAACAATGTACAGAGCAGATCTCAAAAGAATATATATGTTTATAAGCAATGAGGTTATAAAAGAGTTAACAGTCATGCCTATTTCATTTGCTAACAGAAACTTGAGTAAAAACACAACATAGAGAATATATGTACGCAATGTCAACATAAGCACTACTATCTGCTACTGCTGGCAAATTGGCAATGAAAGAAGGCATAAAACATTTTGGAATACATGACACATGACTACAGCAGATATTTTAGAAAATTGTAGCATCAATTTATATGGCCAGAATAATTGCATCGCACAATTTGAATATTTGAATACATAGTAACATTCTTTGGTCCATAAATAGCACGGTATGCGCCTACCATCTGCTCCACCACCCAATATGATGCTATAACATAACAATAAACAGTATATGTTCATAACAATATAATTTGGTGTAGCCACAAAACTAGGAAAACCATGTCCTCTTCTACCATCCCTTTCAGAATTCAACCAGAAACCCCACAGATATTAGATGCTAGCACTGCCAACCATGCCAACTAAACAACATTACACCAAGCCCCCATATTCTATTTCTGTAAAAAGAGCAAACAACCAAGCACATTGTCATAATGAGACAGGTTGGGCACTTGCTGACCAGATAGATTACTTCTTTCTGCTAGCTTGCCCTAAGAACAGAACAAGAACTTACAGCCTTGTGGATTTGCATATCAGTGTCCCGCACATCGCTTCCAGTGGAGTACCAACCCAGCACATAGAAGTCGGGGAAAACCTTCTTATCTGCACGGCCACAACCGCAATCACGAATCAAACCCTCGTACCACTAGATTTCGCCGAAACCCTAACAAAAAGCGCAGAAGATTCGCCGGAATTTCACTCACAGAGCTCCTGCTTTTTCTCGAGGAAGGCGCGGTCGAGGGTCCCGGAGACAGGGTCGAGGACGAGCTCGAAGCTGTTGAAGATCTCCACCGTCCGCCCGCGCTGCACCCCGATCACGCACCCGAACACCCTCGGCGGCTGCCCCCCCGCCGCCGCAGACGAGGCCCCGTCGCCGGAGCACGCCGCCTGGGCCTTCACGCGGGTGTGGTGGTCGGAGACGTTCACGATGACGAGGGGGTGGAGCTTGAAGGTGAGGCCGCTGCTGGAGGACGCCGCCGCGGCGGCGCCCGCCTGCGGGTGGGTGGCCACGGCGGGGTCGGATGGCGCCGACATCGTCGGAGTCGCGAGCCTAGCGCCGGCGGCGAGGGTTGCGGCGGCGGCGACGACGACGGCGGTGGTGAGGCGAGAGAGAGAGGGGAGGGTTTTGGGTTGTGCTTAGGTTTCCTTCTCGGGCTTTGTTGTACGTATGCGTCTCGTGTTGGGCCAATTGGGCTTACTTGGGCCCCCATGGGCTTAGAGGAAATCCTTGTGCTGGTACAGTGTATTCCGCTCACTCCCTCGGAAATTTCGTACCCATATCTTACTATTTAACTATTCGTCTTATTTTAAAAAATAATTATTATTATTTATTTATTTTATTTTTGACTTACTTTATTATTCAATGTATTTTAAGCATATTTTTTCGTTTTTTATATTTGTAAAAATGTTTTGAATAAGATGAGTGATCAAATAGAATAAACAAAATGTCAAAATTCATGAGGACAAATTTACAATCTACAATATAAAAAGATCACCCAATATCGAATCTCTGATATTCTACGGGAAGTTCGTGGAACTTAACCGGACAAAATTTATTTCTGTGAGACACAGTACAAAGTCTCCTATTCAGTGGTAGGAGACTCTCAGAAAATTCGGTCACAATTTCGTGGAACTTAACGAAACGAATTTAAAACTAATCGATTGTCTCCACCCTTCTCGCATCGTATAGAAACTAAATTTAAAAAACAAAAGTTTTCACCGCGAGAAAAAAACAAACAAAGATAAAATTAAATTAAAATTAAAATTATTTGAAGGAAAAAGAAAAGGTATTCTCAACCAACCAAACCAGCCATACGTATATGGAGTAGCACGATCTTTCACGTGTCCTGGTCTTATCGGGGTCCAACTGCTTACCGCTACTACTCCCCTCCCACAAAGCCACCGCGACGCTGCACGACTCCTCTCTCTCTCCTCGACCTCGACCTCGACCGGAACGCCTCTCGCCGGCGGCGGCGGCGGAGATGGCGATGCGGCACCTCATCACCGGGCAGGGCAACTGCGCGCCGGACGGGGCGTCGTCGTCCAACCCCTTCGGGAACCTCGCCAACGCCATCTTCGGCCAGTCGTCCAAGGCGCAGGTAAAGCTTAGCCCTAGCCCTAGTCACTTGCTCTCTACTACTACTGGCCTTTTGCTCGCGGTTCGGAGGCTTGGCTGTGGCTGGTTGATGGTTGGGGATGGATCAATTCCGGCGCCGTTTAGGTCGCTCCCCTTTCCTCTCCTCCGCGATGTGATTGTTTGGTGGAAACGACGCAATTTCGTTTGACTGGTCTTAAAAGTTAAAACGGAAGTAATTCGATGTATGTTTGTGTACTGTTGGTTTGGTCTGGATGTATTTAGTTACTACTTAGTTCGATCCTGTGATGTTTAGGTTGGTGATCATGCTGCTTCATCTGATAAAATTGTGCAGTAAGTGAATTGGTGGGTGACAGATGGCCTATCATAATTCACGACAGCGAGTGGTAGTATAGATTTCCCTGATTTTTGGCTAGTTTATTTATCTGTGTTTCGTCATGTCGCCTACCTATGATTCTGTGGGGTTTTGGCCTAGATTGGAACTGAAGTTGCCTGAGCAATTCTGGTGAAGTAGCTGAAAAGTACATGCCTGTTCCTAAAGTGTTGGTACAATTCAGTGCTTTCCATGATCCATGTAAGTAGATCATGAGGTGTCTCTAAATAGTGAAACTTAGTCCATTTAGTTAAACTAGTGTGGGACAAGGATTGTGCATGGTTGGCCCGCGTCAACCCCTAGTTTATCTTTACCTCTTTTACAAGTCTTAATAAGAGCTCTTTTATGGTGCACCTATGATTCCTGTAGCTGTAAGAACCATATGGTAATCATGGCCATTCATCTCTGAAGGTCAATTTTGGCATAAATACTACTAACCAACTGGAAACAGTTAGCCCTTCATGGAACAAAAGGGATGCACTTGCAACGCTCTAAATGTGATTAATCACTTCCCTTAAGCCAACATTTGCATTACACATTGACACCCTAGACACAACTGATATATGTATTTATTCCATTATCAGCCGGATTGCAAATATATGCAATGGAGATTGTCCATGAATATTGTACAATATTTTCAACGCTTTTTATGGTTAAAACATCACAAGAAATTAGACTGTTTCTGGATGATTCCAATTCAACTTCCAAGGAAGTAGGAAAGATACATTTGTTTTATTCTTTCATTCGAACTAAAAAATTGTCATCATTAGCAGAAAAATGCATCTTAAAACATCACAAGAGATTTCATGCTAAAGTGTGAAAGACAGATTTGTTTTATTCTTTCATTTGAACTAAAAGATTGTCATCATCGACAGAAAAATACATCTTAAAACACCACAAGAAATTTCATACTGATTCCTTTTCTTAGATGTATGTTGAGGAGAAACTTACCTACTCCAAGGTAGTAATAACCATAGGTGACTAATTTACCTCCTAGGTAGTAATAGGTCATTTTCAATTCTAGCCACTATATAATTGCAAATGGATGTTCCAAATATAAGTGGTGTACCTTAAAAAGTTAAAAGTTAAATCCTCCAGACAATAATGCTTATGGGTCTATAATACAATGAAGCGGAAATTTGGGATTACGCTGTTCTAATGTAATAAAGTAGAAAGTTGGGGTGATTAACATCCAGATTGCATTAATAATCAAGCTAACTTTGTATGTGCCCTTTTCTTTGTGCAGTCAATAAAGGAACTTCCAGGGTCTGCAGTTAATGTTCCAACAACATCTGAATTAGGGACAGCTGCTCCCTTATCGACCATCCCTGGTTCAGAGAATGAGTTCAAGCAAGATCAACTGCCACTTGCACGGGTAATGGTCATTCGGTTTGCTGCTTTTGGTGCCCTTTTGAGCATTTCTAACTATAATTGAACACCTCTAGGGCGCTGATTTCATCCGTGGGGGTCCTTCTCATGATTGGGTTGAATCTTTTCGGCCTCCAGGACTCCCAGAATTTGCTGTGCCAGATGCACAGCTTAAAGAATTTGAGCAAATTTTTAACAGCACAGGGCCAACCTTTGGACCACCAGTCATGGATGGTAGATTTGTAGTTTTTGTTCTTTCCAATTTATTTTATTGTTGTTTATATATTCATCACTTGATAACATACTGAAGCACATTATACTGACTCCCAAAATTGGTTCAGGTCCACCACAAAGGGTCTTATCTGGTGTCCTACGTTCTTTCCTAGCAAGTGGTCAAGCTGGTGTGCCATTTCAACCTGTTCCAGTACCAGCGCTTGGTTTGTCTGAAAGTGACAAGCAATGTATACGTGATCGTAGTTGCATTATGGCACGCCACATTTTGGCTGACCAGCCTGAAGAATATATCCAAGCACAGGTTAACTTATAATTTTTGTTACCTCAGTGAATATGCTAAAGCACTTGCATTTGTGTTTCATTTCATTAGATTGTTGCAGTGGCTTCGTTTTTATCTTCTCTGCTGTGACCTAATTTGACACTTCTCACCTGTACCAGGTAAACACATTGCTGCATTCACTTGATATCGACAGTAATTATCGAATGAAAGGACCCATGCACGGACCATACCCAGAGATGGAGGAGTATTGGAATCAGTCCCAAAGCGCCATGAGATCTGGTCCAATGCACAATGCTGCAGACAAATGGATAACTGAGTTTGGCAAGCAAAATAATAACCCTGAAGAGTGGGCTCATTCTTTTGAGCAGCAATATGGTTCCAATGGTTGGGCCTCTGAGTTTGAACAGGTCAGAGCCTTATGCATGGGCTATTTGATATTTTCACATGTACCATTTGGTTAACTTCATGGATATTAACTAATTGTCTAATTTTATTTTATATTTACAATGGGTGTAAAACAAAGTTATATAATTTTGTGATAAGCTATGTCCGTTATCATGTTTAGATATCATCCTTTCCCTAGCATGTGCAGCATATTTACAATGGGTGTAAAACAAAGCTATATAATTTTGTGATAAGCCTTCTAGGATTTGTGATTTAAGTTATCTATTTTTGTCTTGTTGCAGCATCAATCTCAGATGGCCATGACAGGAGGAATGAATATGGCAAACCTGGCAGCCATGGAACAATCTCGTATGCTTGCACAGACATTAGCTAGTAATAATGACCCAAAATTTCAGGTATGTATGATGATTTGATTTGTTTATTTAACTCTATTAGGTCTGTATACTTTCATTTTGAATGGGTAAATTTTAAATATTTTAGCTGGTGAGAAAAAAATCTGCTTGAGCAACAACTCATCCTAATTATTTTCAACAGTGAAGGGTATAACTTCCCTTTGATATTTTCTGCTTATGATCTTATCTACAGTTGTATGTAGTTGCAACTTGGTTGGGGTGACCAATGTAAACTTTACTAGGATAAACCTAAATGTGTCTTGTTGGGCTCAATATCGATATGAATCCATTAGGATTAAGTTTACTGATCTTGTTACCTAAATCACCATAAATTGACATATAATCTAGAGTTTCCACGCTACTTATTTTATTACTACGAATTCCAACCAATTTATGTGCCCCACGATTGTGGAATTGCACATAACAGGTTTAATAGTGTGAATATATTGATATACCACTTTGCTAATGAATTGGGTCCATTGATATCTTATTTTATGCACATCTCACTTGAAATAACTTTTTCTATGTCATCCAGTGTACTTTAGGAAGCTTCTGGCATTTTACTTTTTACAAACAACTCGTCATTTGTTAACCCCGATAGGTTGTGAAGACTCATTAGTTTAAAAACTTGTGTGCATGCAGGTCTGTAGAATACCACTCAATATAGAACACTCAATGGAAGAGGTTTCTGTTTGACAAAGTTTTTTCCTTTTCTCAATGCTATTTCTGTCAGCATAAAATAAGAGTGAAAGGGGAGACTCTACTAGACGTGCTGAGATGAGATGGTGTAGTGGGCATTGTTGCTATATTATTTGCTAATGCGTCCTAGGACACCACATTGATATGTTGTGCCATTCTGCAGTTCTGCACATCTGTGGTTTAATACCAACTTTAGTTGATTCTGAACCTCATCTCAGCTGGCTATACTGCTAGCAACTTTGTTATGCTATAGGGTCATTTGGATCAGCCTGTCTCAACTCTCAAGCACCTGATGATACCTTTTGTTTCTTTTTTGGAAGAACTCTAAATTCTTCCAGTTTGTTTCAAAGATTCGCCGTGGTGAACTTATTCTTTTGTTTTACTTTTTTCTGGAAGAACTCTAAGTTCTTCCAGTTTGTTTCAAAGATGAGCCGTGGTGAACTTATTATAGAAGATAATCAAGTAAAACAAGGTTCAGCATCCCAATCCAGTGGCTGGGCTGATGAATTTCAAACCCAGTACAATGCTAATGCAAACTCTTGGGCGGATCAGTTTGTTCATGAAGAGGTAATGCAGAGAGCTGGATGTGTGTAAATACATGCTTGATGGGGATGTGGTTTTCTTTGGTCAACATAAACAAAAACTGATAAAACTATAGAAGTACTGGTAAATTGTGGTGTTTATAACATGGAACCTTGCTTTGTAAGTTTATGTTCTGATAAATGAGTAATATAAATATACAATAAAATTGTTGGAATATGTTCATTCTGTTCATACTTGCAGTCCAGTTACTGGAGTTTCTGATTGGATAATATTGCCATTAATACAATTCTTCCGGTGCTACACCATGTTTGACTGTATAAATATTACACTGATACTGCTGCTTGTGCACTGATGATGTGGCATCACTTACTTTTATTCTCCAGATGTCACAAGGAGCAGATAAGTGGGCTAGTGAGTTCTCTACTGAGTATAATCAGGGTGGCCTCAACGAGAACTGGATTGATGAGTTCTCCAAAATGCGTGTTGACGATGAATGGGCAGAAGAGTTCAGTGGAGGAACATTTGGTGAAAGCTCTGCTGATCCATGGGTAGATGAGTAAGTACAAATCTCTTTTCCTTGTTTTGTCATGGCTATCTCTTCAAGGTTGAAATGTGTTGCTTCTGATATGTTTCCACACCAATCATTAGACCAGACAGAATACCATAAGAATATCAAATCTTCTTTGATCCAATATCTTGTCTTTTTGGGTTAATTATAGGCAACCATAAAGTTCCCTTTTTATCAATCATGTACCATGTTCTATTTGACAGAAGCCTTTTTTTTTTCTTCATCAGTTACACTTACACATGCTCTGTTTGTGCCTTTTAGGTTCCAGAACCAATTATCAGCTTCCAAACAGAATTCTGGTGCATCTCGAGGAGTTTATGTTTTTTCAGACATGAACCCATACGTTGGTCACCCTAATCCAATGCAGGAAGGCCAGGAACTGTTCCGCAAAGGCCTCCTAAGTGAAGCTGTTCTTGCTTTAGAGGCTGAAGTTTTGAAGAATCCTGATAATGCTGAAGGTTGGAGACTACTTGGAGTAACACATGCTGAAAATGATGATGACCAACAGGTGATTGTGTCTCTCCCACTGAGGATATATGTAGATGTAAATTACCATGTGCTGATTATTTTCAACTTTTCATTATTAGTTTTTCAGCACAGGTGCACTGCATGCTTGTGTGCATCACTTGTTTTCATCACATGTTTTATTAGAATATTTTTTTTATGAATCTTTTTTCGGTAGGAGCATGCAGTGTGCTGGATCTCAATAGAAATTACGTGAATTATGCTCTATCAAGTTTTTGCATACCCTTGCAAGAACTTCATAAACTGATATATATGGAATTTGAACGGACGAACCCATACTATTGTCTGTCATGAAATTATGGTTTATTTTTAGCTAAATTTTAAGCACCATGTGATATGGCATTATGATCTATGAGTTCCATGCTTATGTTTAACACAAGGAGATGCTATTACTTTGCTTTCAGGCAATCGCAGCAATGATGCGTGCACAAGAAGCTGATCCAACAAACCTGGAAGTTCTTCTTGCACTTGGTGTCAGTCACACGAATGGTGAGTGCATGGTAATTCAGTGTCCGGCATAATCTACTAAGATGCTCCTGAAAGAAATGAAGCGGCATAAATTATGGTTAGAAGTAACGAGGTTTCCTCATTGATACAAGCTTTTAAGTTTTAAACAACTAGATAAAGCTAATTTATCTTTGAGGGGGCAAAGGTCTATTTCCTTCTAGCATTAACTTAATATTCTAAAATTTAGTTCTAACAGGTTCTATGCCTTGATGCTTTTTGTATACATTTGAGGGTTCTATATAATTGATGCAGAGTTGGAGCAGGGAGAAGCATTAAGATATCTTCATAGGTGGCTTCAGAATCACCCCAAATATGGGGGTATCGCCCCTCCACAGCCAACTGATTCACCTTATGGTCCTGATGTAAGTGCATCCCATCTGTTCCATAATGTAAATAAATAATAATGGCATCTTCACCTTCCAAATGGTATCCTGCACAGATGTTCTAGATGTATGCTCTAGAGTTCTGTTGGTCTGCGGTCCTTTTATTTTTCTTCAAGTTTTTTTTTCCTGTCACCCCATACTGTTTGTCATGTATGATATGTTTTCTGATATTTCTAAAAAAGTCATTTCGTTTTGTCACTAAGCAGTTTACCTCTGATCAGGTTATTAGATTGTTTAATGAGGCTGCCCAAATGTCACCTGAGGATGCTGATGTCCATATAGTTCTAGGAGTCTTGTACAACCTATCAAGAGAATATGATAAAGCTATAGCTGCTTTCAAGACAGCGCTGCAGCTGAAACCACAAGACTATTCTCTCTGGAATAAGCTAGGTGCGACCCAAGCAAACAGCATCCAGAGTGCTGATGCAATATTGGCCTATCAACAGGTAATTAGTTATTGTAAGATATTTTATTTTTCAGCTTTGGTGAATGTTTCGCTATAAGTGCTATAGCGTATTTACATATCTCTACTACTGTAAAAGCAGAGCCGTCCTCCTATCCCACCATTGTACATCCCACATAAAAAAGAAACACCCTGCCTTAAAAAACCCCACTTACATTATCCACCAGAAAAACCAGATAGAAAAAACTGAAAAGTCTGTATTCCTTCCAATCCCATTGTAACTCATGGGAACTAGTCTGGTTGAAGAAGTACAGTGCTTTGTCTCGATCATGCTGTGTAGAATAGCTACTTCATCCACTCTTTCATTGGGCTCTGGTTATTCCTTTCGGACGATGTTTATGGCAGTTGCATTCACTTGTGTGTGAACTGCAAATCTAACAGGATATAATTCGTGGCTGGCAATAATCCATATATGATGTGTATCTGGACCTTTTGGATTTTTATTTGGAAAAAAAATATGACCTTTACCCTCTGGCGGTCTGTCCATTCCTCTATGGGTACCCAATTTCAGTATAATTCATAGTAAGAGTGCATTCAGTTCAAGCTATGTGCCGCATCCCTGTACTTCTAGCATTACAGTAAAACCAATCAATTCTAATCAAACTGTTTGCTTAGGTAGCATTAGTGTTGTAATACCATTGGTTTGGTGTCCAATCCTGCTGAGTACAGACACATCTTCACCTAGCATTAGTGTTGTAATACCATTAGGGAGGAACCTTCACTTATTTTGCTGGTACAACTATCCTTTTACGGCTTGGTCTACTGCAGTCCTGCAAGTGTAGAACTTGTTGATGAATCTCCAATTTAGAGAAAATTGTGTAATACAAGTATCCTAGCACTTTATGGTATGTAAATCTGGAACTAATATAATCAATTGCTGCTGGTTTCAGGCTCTGGACTTAAAGCCCAATTATGTGCGTGCATGGGCTAATATGGGGATTAGCTATGCCAACCAGGTAATTCTTCTCTAACATGATGCTACCACTTGATAACACCATTAGTTCGGTAATTGTATTTTTAACAAAATAATTGCAGTTTCAACAATTTCCTTGCATGCAAGTACAAAACCATATCTCAATGTTGTTTATCATTGTCTGTCAGCATTATTCATTTACTCAACTAACTTGCAAACCATCATTTTTATGAGTGAGCTTGTATGCTTCCACTTGTTTGCTTTTCATAATAAGATGTTGGCTATCATGGTTTCCACTCGATTCTGAAAAGATCTTCAAGTTTTTGTGCATTGGATATCCACCTAAATACTACCATCCATTCAAAGCCTCGGTAATATTAATGTTAACTGTTGATTTACAGAGCATAATAAAGGATGAGTACAAATATATATTATATATCCAATGATGCCACGGCCTAGCTCAAATATCTTTTATTCAAAGTGGCAACAGAGATGTAATACCCCAGCTTTCCGTGTTATGCAGGGATTGTATGAAGACTCTATTCGATACTATGTACGGGCGGTTGCTATGAATCCAAAAGCTGACAATGCCTGGCAGTACTTGCGGATTTCTCTTAGGTATGTCTTGTTAATTATCTATGAGATATTTGAAGTTCCTTGGAGGATACTAGAGATACATTTATTTCAAAAGAACATCAATTGTCGCTCACTTTTAAGTACTCATAACTTGCAAGTACTCAAGAAACATTGCAACCAGTTGATATTCCAATTTGAGTACATCTAGAACTTTCCAAGCACGTTAAATCATTTCTTTGTCTACCTAAATTCAACGCTGATTTAATTGACTAACATTTTTCTCTTTTAAAAACCAGTAACGCTTCACGAGCTGACATGATCGCTGCATGTGATTCACGCAACCTTGACGTTCTTCAGAAAGAGTTTCCCCTGTGAGTCCAAACATTCTAGGCATTGCACTTGCTCCTCAGGCCCGCCCCCATGATAAAGGGTACAAGGAAGTAGAGAACTAGCGAAATGGGGGCTGCACATTTTGGAATGATGAAAGTGCAAAATGGCAGTGGCCGTTGTGTTGTGGTTTTCGGTTCGTGTATACGAATTGTTCATTTTAACAAGGCGCGACATGTATATAAAATTCAAGATGGGCACCCATTCTTCCGTAGGTGTGGGAAACGCAAAGCAGAAGGCAGTTGTCACATGTAATTCTGTACACAGAGAGGGAAAGAATAAAAGAATATCGAACGAATATGTCAAAAGGAGGCAACACGTTCTTGTAATTTTCTACAGAAAATAAAGTGGTAGCAGGTTTCACTGTTTCAGCATGTCTGCGGGTATTACTCTCAGTTTTTTTTAAAAAAAAATTATACGTATTGCGGATTGTTTTTTCTTGATGTGGATTATTACGGGAATGAAAACGGTGATGGAATTTCAGCGTTGTATTACAATGTCATTAAATAGTTAATGGGTAGATATAGAAGTTGCAGACCGGATCAAAGATGATGACCCCCGCCACGTGCATCGCCATCGAGGAGTTGCCACATCAGTCTTGGCCTCCGGGAACGGCCTCCCCGCGCCAGCTCCTCCCACACGACACGCGCAAGGCTCGGCCCGTCCGTCGACGTAATCCATCACGACGTCGAAGCATGGGCCGGCGACGCCGCCGATGCCCCTCCTCGTCTCCCGGTCCGCGGCGCCGTTCCCGGGCGGGAAGAGGCGGCCTGGTTGGTGGTGTTGTGTGGTCTCTTACGTGGTGTTTTTTTTTTTCATGAAGATGAAGATTAAAAAAATGAGGTGATATTAACGTATGATTGATTGAGTTTTAATTATTATAAATTTAAAAAATATATTAATATGATATTTTAGAGCAACTTTTATATAAAAAGTTTTCGGACGAAACGTACCGTTTAATAATTTGAAAAGCGTACCACATAAATCTTAATATTTATCTAACTCTTATTGGAAAAAAGGAGATACTCTCTTGTTTCGGTTACAATATCATGCGGATGCGGCTGGAGACGCAGGGAGTGAAGCGAGTGTTGCTGCTGATGTCGGGTGGTGGTCTCGGATGATGCTACCGAGGTGAAGGCCCAGGCGACGCGAGGAGGCTGATGCCGTCGCATTCCTCGCCATCGATGCTAGCGTCCTGGCTCTTGTGCCCGATCCGATCACCGTGGCCACCGTCTCCTACAGAAACAGCAGCGCCACCGCTGCCACGAACTCGGCGATCGCCGCGTGATATACATCCCCATCTTTCCCCCCCCCCCCCCCCCCTATAGCCACACCGCTGGCCCTCCCAATCTCCCACAGCCGCTGGATCAGTGCTTTTGTCACTGACATATGGATCTGATGTCTCCGGACCTAGTGACAAAGGCACGGTACAATGACTAGAAGAAGAAAAGGCGGAGGAGGAAGTGGGGCTGACAAGAAGGCACAGCAAGTCCGGCCCATTAGTTAGCTAAACAGCCCACAGGCCTAGTCCTACCCCTAATAAATAGGCCCAAGTAGCGTACAAAGCCCTTATAAATCATACCTTTGTGTTAGCAAACCCTCTATAATACACATGTAGGATTTTCATTTTGGCAAAAATTGTTACTAAAACATATGGATTCAAAACATCTGGACAATGCGTTGTACAACATTCAAAAATTCTTCCATACTAAACAAGGAACAATACACCAGAAAGGCAAAAGAAGCTAAAGCAAATGCAGAACACTGACATCAACGAGGTCAGGCCGCCTGAGCTGCTGCTCTGCTTCAGGGATTTCACCGCCTGAATGCATTGCTCTCATGGGCATTACGCTGCGAATAATACGCACGGCGCCGGATGCTCTCTTCGATCGTGGCGCTTCCGCCCTTCTCGGTTCCAAATATGCTCTTCTTTTCTTCTTCCAAGAAGTTCTTCCCTCTGAATTGGTTTGCGTTCACAGATGCCGCCTCCTTGGCATCGTCGTCTGCAGCTTTCTTGAGCCTGCTCCATCTTTGTTCTTCGTGGACCTCTGCGTCAGCCTGCATTTGACGAAGTCGAGCTTCCCTTTCTTCCTCTGACATGTGCTGGACACCCCGTCGACGGTTGAATGTAGGGCCGTTCCTGCCCTGCTGGCTTTCCTGCCTTCGTTGGCCTTCTGAACCTAGTTCAGAAGTGGAATTGCCGCGTCCATATTCCGGTCGCCTATGCCTTGAATCTGAACTGTCGTGCTTTGGATAAGCACTGTTGTGGTCTGACGGAGTATAGTGTCTCCCTCTCCTATCATCTGACGGAGTATAGTGTCTCCCTCTCCTATCATCAGCATCCGAACGACCCCGTCGTGAATATTCGTCATGCTTTGGCATCTCCTGCCTTCTTCTCCTTGGTTCATCATCTCCGGAAACCTCAGATTGTCTTCTTTTTGGTTCATCATCTTCTGACCTCTGGTGTTTTCTCCTTGGTTCTTCATCTTCTGAATCATGTCTTCTGCGGTCTTTCCTTGACTTCTTTGGCTTGTCATCTTCTGAATCTTCCCTCTGTCCTTTCTTCTCCTTCTGTGACTTCCTTGGCTCATCATCTTCTGACGTTGCATGCCGTCTTTTCCTTCGTTCATCGTCTTCTGAATCTTGTCCGTGATCCTTCTTATCATGTCTTGACCTTTTCTCTTCTCTCTTATGCTCTGAGGCCTGAACACTCTTTCTTCTCTCATCCCTGCCATCACTTTCCTCTGAATCTGAGTTCTCACTTGAGTGATGCCTCTTACTCTTTGATTTGTGATGATGGCGCTTCTTGTGCTTTCTCTTCTCTTTCTTTTCTTCCTTTTGCTTTTTCTCAGCTTCCACCTACACAAGACGAAGTTATGTCAGGGAATATGTTCAGGGGAAGATTGATTATAAACCTTCCAATATGTTTGACATTACAAGAGTTTGACAGTAGTTAAGATGCTCAGAAGGTATAATTCCATATCAAAAGAAGGATATAGCTTACTGATTTCTTTATCTCAGCCATCTTGATTGGATTATTTTTTATTCTTGCAATGGCATCCTGCTCCCGCTGCCTTATTAGTAGAAGAGGATCAGTGTGGAGTTTTCTCCATGCATCATTTGCAGATTGGGGCTTATCCTCAAATAATGCACCTGGAGCAGCTGCCTGAAATTATTCCAAACAAAAGAAAATAAGCAATTATCTTCTAATAGCTAGTGATGAATAGATATTTTATTACAACCAATGGGTGATATAGTGCGCATGAAATAACTGATATTTTACACTTTTATACTCCCTTGACTAAAAGTCTAAAACACAAAACAATTCAAAAGACAACATAAAAATGTAAAATGCCATGGAAGCAAGGAAAGATTAATTAACTTCTTATATCCATACCACAAACAACAGTTTCCAACTTATTCAATGATCCACAACTAGACAGTAGGAGGCACTTTGCTTTTGCATACAAGTAAGAAGGCAAATATTTTATCGTTTTTCTGCAAGTTCAAAGATGAGAAATCATATTACAAGTTTACAACAGCAGCACATAATCTAGCAACCTCAGCCCATTTGCTATAATGGAAGAATTGTAACAATCAGCTAAACATTTGAGCATCGCATCCTACTAAGAATCAACCAAGCATCGCATCCTACTAAGAATCAACCAAGTATCTTCCTACTAAGAAAAACCTTTGCCCTGTCACATCAACCAAGTATCTTCCTACTATACGAATTTCTTTGATAATATCAGTGGAATTAGATGCACAACCAAAAAAAATATTTTAGAACTGCAAACTAACATAAGTACAATCACATGGCCGAGAAGAAACGGTCGCGATACCTTGGAAGAGCCGGCACTCGCTTGGGCAGAAGAAGAGGCGGCGGCAGCAGCTGCTGGGGCAGATGGTTGCAGCGCTTGGAATCCCTCGGAGCTCCCCTTGCCAACAGCCAACCCTGACTCGTAGAGGAAGTCCAATCTCTCTTGCCTCCTGCAGAAAAAAAATAACACCATGCACATTATTATCTCCCCACCAATCAGGCACAGAAAAATTCCAAAATAGTTGGACGAACAGATCCAAACACTAACTCCTAGCTAAAGCTTCATGAAACTCTCATCGCAAGCAGTAATCTTACACCAAATTACCTCAACCAATTAGCAGAATCTAACTAAAACCGCGGATACCTGCGTCCCAAAACAAAACATAAGCGGCCTAGAAGGCTACAACTACGAAACCCTAGAACGCCGCCCAAAAGCCCACCGATCCGGCCACCGCCAACACCGATTTCTCCTGAACTCCCCCCCCCCCCCCACCCTGCGCTCCCGCCAGCGTCAATTTCTCCTGAAACCCTAGCCTCCTCCCCCCAAACGCGATCGAAGCAAAAGGGGGAAACAAAAAATCGAAATCGAAGCAGCAAACAAAGATGCTTACGGCTTGAGGCCGGCGTCCTCCTGGAGCTTGCGGAAGGCGGCCTTCTCCCGCTCCTCGTCCTGCTGCTTCTTCAGCTCCTGGATCTTCCGCTGCTCCTCCTTCTCCTTCTCCTCGGCCACCCACACGCGCTCGATGTTCCGAAGGCTCCCCGTGTGCCACCCCTTCTTGTTCAGAAATTTCATCCCCATGGCTGATACCCGCTCTTCTCTCCCTCCTTCCCTCTCAACCTCGAAACCCTAACCCTAGAAATCCCCGCGGCGGCTTTGCCCTCTTCCTCCTCCTCCTCCGCGACGCGTCGGCTTCGAAACGAGAGAGAAGAGAAGAAAGGAGGGAGATAGCCGCCGCCTCGAGCCCTCGAGGAGACGACGACCAGGGGTTGGTTGATTTGTGGGACGAGATGTAGGGTGGGGCCCACCACGTCAGTGGCAGTAGATGAAGTATATGCGCTTTCATAGAAGGAAAGCGTATTATGTTGGATTTTAATACGTTTTCCAGGGATGAAAGCGCATTTGAAGGGAAACAGGGGGATGTTTGGTTTTTTTTTTTTTGACCGATTTCGCTGGTCGTATTTGCGATCCGCGCAGGTTTCATATACAAGACAATTAAATTTTCCTTTTTTTTAACTTAAAAAATACCCGTACGTTGCAACGGGTGAAAGGTTATTTTAATCGTATTATTGTTAGATTGTTTTGTCTAAAAAGTATGTGTTTTTTTATTTTGATAGTATTGATATTTAATTTGAAATCCTTATTGGGATGATGGCCATATCATGTATCTTACTTTCTTATAACGTGGCAAGAATTCTCAAGCAATTAGGAGTCCGACTCACATATCAAGTTAGCATATTAAAATGATTTCTTATACGACTCTTTATGTATTTAAAAAAATAAACTTAAAAACCGACTCAAAATACGGACGACGTAGTATCGATGAAAACATTTTCAATTTATTTTTATAATAGTAAAGAAGATAAAGATAGAAATAGAGATTGCAAATTTTAGTTAACCATGTGCTCAGTTTTACATTGATTTTTATTTTAATATCCTTATAATCACTATTACGAACTTCACTTGTTCTAAATCGATCACTGATGTGGATGCTATGTCCATCCATGAGTTTGATTACGATTGGGTTTCACACCGGTGCCTTGCATGGTTTCCATCGTTGGTAGAGTCTCACAGTTTTAAAAAGCCCTTGTCCGTTTTAACAAAATGTCTGTGTCCGATTCCATACAAAATATGATCCATGAACTTAAAAAACGACTCAAACACAGACGACGCACTAAAATTTTAGCAAAAATATCTTCAATTTTTATAATAGTAGAGATAGAGATAATAGGTAACCAGCTACAAGGTTTACAATACATCCGATTGCAATTAACAATCGAAAGGATGATGAGAAGACATAAAGACGGTTTGAATAGAAGAACTGATATGAAATTTACATAGTTTGACAGAAGCATAATTCAAGGGTGATTCAAAAGAGAGAGATTTGATAATTTAACACTTCTTAAATTGGGCTTCGATTATTTGACATCTTGGCCATCTACAAAGATTCTGAAGAAAAGGTGTTCGGTTGTAAGGATGATCAACCAAGTTGGCAGACAAGGTGCAAAATTAGGAAGCTTTTATACTTGCAGCTGAAAATTCATGAGCTAATACATATAGAATTGAGTTCTTGTTCCAGCATAGAAACAGCAGGTGAACTGAACATCCATCCACCAAGAGAGGAGAAGGGAGGAGGTATTACATGATTTTACAGAAGGCTTCTCACAGAACAAAAACTTTCTTATACACAAAAAAACAAGTAAAGAAGCCCAAGCATGAAACACCTCCTGACAAGAGAACAAAAGGAAGAACAGATCGATCTGGAGTGTACAGGGTATGAAACAATCTGGGTGAAGAAACCTAAAAATCGGCTCTAATAAAATCCCAGGGACCGAAGAGATTTGCACACTCCTGGCTGAAATTGCCGGTTTCGACTGAAATGCGCTCTCAGCCTGACTTAAGCGGGGGAATCGTTCATCGCCGCTTCCTCCAGCTGGTTGATCTCTTCTCGCCTGAAAGTATTCTGGGAAGGTTCAAGAGGGAATTGACCCGCGTCACACCTTCGAGTGCTGACCATTCCTCCTCCTCGTTTGTGGATATACAATCAGCAAGGCTGCGGGCAGATCCACATCTTTCAGGTTCCTTTGAGACTGGAGGCTCCTCTACCGGTACAATCTCATCAACATCCCTTAATGTGTAGGAGTGCTGCAATGCTGGCTCGGTGATTTGCTCTTCACTGGAGATATGTGCATCTCCTTGTGCAATGTCTTGGTCAACCTTAGCAACGGTGTCTGGGATTGCAACATCCTCTGTAGTTTCTTCCTCGCTCTCGTTCTCTTGAATCAAGTCAGGTGACTTTGCATGGTCTAAGAATAGGCACACAACAGCGCAGTCATCGCTCTTGGATGTTGGGAACTTCAATCTCCATGATCTGACAGCACAGTCGACAAGAGCCCTGGCAGCCGTTGCACGAGATGGAGCTGCGGCTACTATGTCAACAGCCTCCTTGTTTGAGAGGACGTCCCAAACCTACATGCATTGAGTTTACCAATATTACAAGTTGAAGCAGCTGAAGGAGTGAAGGCTGTAACATCTTTGTATGTTAAATCAAACTATTCCCCAATCCCCATGGATTAAGTAGGGATTGGAGAACATGATGCATTTCTATTCACAAAAGGAATTAGTAACTTTCAACACCATATTAAGTAGTAGTAAGAAAGTAATAAGATGATAAGAAAAATACCCCATCAGTGGCCAGTATTATGAACTCATCCTTTTCAGTAAGACGACGATAGGATATCTGTGGAACAGATATTAAACCATAATCTTTAAGGCAGAAGTCTCCAAAAGCTCTTGCCATTGCCAATCCAGGAGAGTCATTATTTGGCAACCATACTCTGGCAACTTCTGGTTCATCCTGAAGAGCAAAAACTCTTCCCCTACACTGCTGGATCCTCGCAGCTTCCCCTAAATAAGAAATATGAAGATTAGCGATTAACCAAAAAGAGTGACCAATCCAGACAAGTAACTATACTTAGTGCGTTAATAAGTTTGACTGAAGCCATATCTAGGAGGAAAAGAAGAAAATCCTAAATGCGCAGTTAAAGAGAAAGTTCAGTTTTGAAAACACAAGGGTACCCACTGAAATGATAAGTGAGAAATGAACATACTTGGAAGGTTAGGCTTCAAATCAACTGTGAGTTGTACAGCAGTTAGATTATTGGCAGCATCTCGTGTCCCCATTATTGCTCTCGAGTCCCCAAGGTTCCCAACCACAAGATCCAATCCCTGGAAAATAAGCCATGTCCAGTTCTTCTGTCATTTTGATTTCAATATCTACCACTATTTTTTTTGTTCCAAATGCTGGTCAGTTATCTACGAATACTAGAACAAGTTTAGAAGCATCCCTCACCTGTTTTACTAACGTGACTGCTGTTGATCCACTGCAAAAGCAATCAACTGTAGGGTGCATTTTGAGTTCCTTGTCCATCAATTTGAAAGCCTTAAAATAAGACTGCTTAAGTGGAAGAAACATCTCAGGAAGCTTCTCGCTGTCATCAGCATATTCACCCCATTCATCATCAACAACAGGTGACTCTTCTGAATTAACACTTCCAGAAATGCTTCCATTTTGGTGGGAACTAGTGTCCTCGTTGGCACTGGTTTTCCATAGTGTGCGTATTTTGACAGGAAGAGAATCTCTGACCTTCTTGGCAACAAAATGACCATATGGACCATGACCATCAAACACACCACAGAAGACACTATCACTTGTATTAAAGTTCTGCAAGAATGGAAGGGCTAGGTCAGATAATTGTTTGCGCTCCTAGTACCAGTGATGTGATAAGCTGGTAATGTCTATAATTAATTTGTTTAAAAGCAAATCGACAATGCACATTACTTTTCAGGAAAATAAACTGAAGGGTATAGATGGGTTCTAACAAACTGTATTTGTGGGATTCTATTCAGTATGCTCATATTTTCACAATGGAGTATTCCCTACACAAAGAACGGTAGACACAGGTAGTTGGGTGAACAATGTGAGAAATGCACATAGGATAGAATCAGATAATCAGACCTCAAATAGCACAAATGAGATGGATAAAGTCAGCAACTAGGCAAGGAAAAGGTATCAAATTAGCATCCAATCACCCATGATGGAACCCTCACAAGGCATTGTTCCATGCGATTAGCAATTGTTGCAACTGACCCTTAGTAAATGAGGATACTCCTATGCTAAGAGGTTCTATTAGCAAGACATCGAACAGTCCCTATAAGGGTATTTCATATTCATGTTGAAAGTTGACTAGAAATATGATTTCTGTTATAACTCACATTTCAAAACAGAAGGCGAGGCAAAACAAGAAAAAATATAAAAAATATAAATCCCAAGCCAAAAGGAAGAAAATAAAAACTCAATTCCAACAGATGGAAACTATTTGTCAAGGAAGTACCTCCTCACTCCAATAAAGAAGTACTTACCTATTTTCGTTGAATATTAGCAATCAATAGCATTATACTGAGAATCTTTAGGCATAAATTCTCTTTACTGTCCTCTGAAGAGCATGATCACCATGCATATCATAAAGTGGCTGCTTTTACTTGTTTGACTTCCTAAAACAAGCTCACAAGATATTCCTATGTAGCTAGATAAGTTTAGCTAGCTGCCTAGTTGTAGGTCCAAAACAAAAGTGAAAATTATCCATGATTGTACTTCACCACTCCCTTTAGGTAAACTCCACCAATTGTGTGATGGAGTCAACATAACTACTTGCTTACATATCATGAAAATGAAGGGAGTCGATTAGTTGATTAGGATATAAGCTAAATATACCAAGCCAGCTATTACTAGACCAGACTAATCGCTTGACCTGTCAAGAGCATCTAGTTGAAGAAACAGCCAAAATCATACTCTTCTTTAAACTAACAGAAGAATACAAAGAAAGGTAGAAGCTTTTGCCAAGGGTCACAGGAAAGGATCTCGCTTGGACTATACAGAAAGTTTTGAATCAACGCAAGCACGAGCAGACGACTCCAAGTCTCCAATATTCCAACTAACACGTCCCATTTATCAGATTTTCTTTTAAAATTATCAGGATTCAGGAAACATTACAATAATACAGAAAAAGTGAGCTTTCCCCCCCCACAATTTTCACATACAAAAAGAACCAGTAAACTCCTCGTTTTCAGATTAAATCTCAAAACAATCTAAAGCTGAATCCTTCCCATTTCGAATTAAGTCATCCAACAAAGCAAGAAGACGCTCCCAGTGAGACCAAATCAAGAAATGCTCGAACTGTTTCGAAGAACAAACTAGAAAAATAGAAGAGGTTTTGCTTATTCTGTTATAAAGTCAAATCCCACATTTCGAATCAAGCACTCCACTAAAACGCTCCTCCCTGTGAATCGAATATACACACACTCCGAATTCAAATCCGCTATTGATCCAAAGCCAATACCGTGAAGAAAAAAAAAGTTCAAAGAAGACTTCGGAAAGATCGAGTAAACGCAAGCACCAAGTTCTGAACCGAGCAACACGGCGAGGAAAAAGGCGGGCGAGATTTTCAGAACCAACACGCGAAGGAAAACGCTACTAGTACCAATGATCAGGAGGACTCAGAAGCCATCCACCATGGCTGCCTGGCTCACCTCCCACACGACCATGGCGTCCTGGTTGGTGCCCTTCCGCCCCTGCTGCGTGTGCAGGCACGCCGCCGCGCTCGCGCCGTTGACGCACACCCTCCCCTCGACCTTCGCGAGCTCCTCCTCCGTCATCTCCCCTCCTCCTCCGCCGCCGTGGTGCAGCTTCTTGCCGCCGACGCCGATGGAGAAGACGCCGCCGCCGCCGCCGGAAACAGCCCCGCCCCGCTCCACCCCCCGCTGCCTCCTCCTCCGCCACCGCTGCGGCCACCCGGGTGACGCTCCCGCGCCGGCGCCGGCGCGGGGAGGCAGGTCGGAGGAGAGGCAGGAGCCCATGGCGGCGGCGGCAACACGGCGGAGCACAGAGTTGGGCAACCGCTTCGCAAAAGTGCGGATTGTATAGGGTTTTTGATGTGTTTTTTGATGTTTCCTCGTCTTGTAGACTTGTAGGCTACTCCTACTACTCCTTGAGGTCTCTTCTCACTTGTTGAGTGGAGTATCATATGATTTGTATGGTCTTGTTAACTTGGAGATTTGGGGTTGAAAATGAAGAAAAAAAGTATTTGTTTTAGTATTTTATAAAGTGCCAAAGTGGGGTTTGGTTGGGGTGTTAGTCTAACTGATTGCTATCATGGTGTTTCTTCTTTTGGATAATGGAATCCTATGATAGGGGAAATTACTCAAGGTTAAAAAAAATAAGAGTGTATATTCTTCTATGTACTACTGAGCTTTATAATTAATGAATAAAAAGTATTATAATACCGTGTAAAATAAATAAATAAATAATACATATGATTTTGTATGCAGCTATTCATTCATTTTGAATTTGATTGTCTTTTATATTAAGAATTTTAAGGATTAATTTGTAAATAATACAATGGGATTAGGAGTAGGTGGGCGGTGGGGTGGCAGATTCACAGCTACCACCAGTATTTTCTAAAAAAGATTATGTGATTTGGTTTTAACAACGGAATGAGATAAATGATGATTAATCCAAGAGTCATATATTTCCATATTCTAAGGGATTTGGATAAATGAGTAGCATTTTTTGTTTCTAATTAGTTGTTTTGTGCTTTAATTTATAAAGTTGAATTGAGAGGCACTATGGCTCTAAATACCTATATTGACAGAGCATGAACAAAGAGTGAGATGAGGGCACAAGATGCATGTGGTACAACAGTACAAAATTGTCTCTCTTTTGTATCTGCAAGTGCCAAAGAATCTTAAAACTGGAATAAATATTGTTTAGTTAATCAGATCCGGTTGACAATACTAACCCAACAGGCCACATGAATATATATGTTTTTTTTTTGGTAGGCTGAAGTCCCTTTACTGGATACGGAGCAACGGTGTATATCCAGCACAGTTTGGGGTCATTTTTGTAAAAAAAAATTGAAGTGTCATCAAGAAATTATTTCTCTATATTGACCAAGTTTCATTTTTCTAAAAACAAAAATTTCAAGTTTTATATTGAACAACCACTAGAACTATCATCCCTTCAGTCTTCATCCACTTTTCAAACTTCTTTCAGCAAGGGAGAGACCTTTTGGTATATCTTTTCTTGGATTCTGGATTGTGAATTTTTTTTCCCATTATACATATACAATGTCCTCCTCTGGCATAGCCTTTTTGTCAAAAGGTGATTTAACTTATATGCTGCTCTTTGTCCTCATTAGCTCAGGTACAGACAAGATTACTCACACTGCTCCTCTTAAGGATTAATTAAGCTGATAAACACCACCCTACTGTCGTCTAATCTTGATTACATGGACAATAATGATGACAAGATGGCTACACTTCTATTGATAGCAACAGTCATATGTGTCCATCTGTATTTTCTTTATTCTTCTTTGTTTTTTTCTTTCTTTCTTTCTTACTTTTATGTATCTATTTATTTATTTGGCTCCTGGAAGTCTGAAACTGAAACCAAGTCAATAGTAAACTGTGCTTTTTTTTTGAAAGGGAAAAACTGTGCTATTTTAGTCAGAAAAGCAAGTGATGAATCTGTGGGCACGTCCAACGTTCATACAAACTTTCAGACTTGAGACTGTCAAACTTAGAACAAGTGGTGGTGATTTGAGTTGACTAAACCACTCAAAGTATTAGTACGTTACATGACAGTAACGACGATAGTAACAACAAAGTTGAAATCTTGTTGGCCAAGAAGATCCTCTCATCCTTAATAAACATTTTTCTGATCCCGCAAAGCTTCACAGTTCACATGAAAAAAATCACAGTTTCTACTGGAGACATTTCAAGTAATTGGACTTGGACCATCCTAGCTTCTAGTTGAGACCCAATTCACAAAGTTACACTCAATTATCTCCATCAAACATTTTCGGTGCCATTTGGAAATTGGAACAACGGTAATTTCAGGTTAAACTTATAAAAATACATATACCTCTGTAAAATTACCATGAAATTCCTGCGTTCCAAACAAACCATATTTTGTGACCACTGTTGTACAGTGTGCGGACTTATGACAAGGTTTCCAGCATGGAACTTTCCATGTCTCTCTCTCTCTCCCTGCAGATCTACCTGAGCTAGTAGATGAGACATTGTGGCCACACACATGTGGCAGCCAAGTTGCATGAAAATAAAAGAGAAAAAAAAAGAAAGAAAGAAAGAGCAGGAGCTATGTATGCTGGAGGCAAGAACATGATCTCCAAGGAGCATAATCATGGTGAGGTAGATGAATGGATTGGATGCAATGCTGTCCCAGATTGTCCTTGCCGGCGTCCATTTCTCACCGGCCTCTTCCCCATCTCATCTTTGCACATGAATGTTGGCCAAATTAAAATCTGTTCAGGAGGGTCCCCTACAATCAGGGATTGATGGTATTGGGGGTACAATTAAGAGCAAGTTCGGTATGGCCGATGGATTATGAATTATCCCGTGCACGTTTCCCGAGCTCTTAAATGGTACGATTTTTCGATAAACATTTTTTTCATCATCTTTTTGTTATATAATACTTTCTCCATCTACTTTTAATAGTCATATTTTATCTTGACACACAGACTAAGGATAAATAATTCTATTTATCATCTATTTAAACATGCTACTAGTCATTTCTCGTAAACAAACGATTCATTAATATTTATATTTCTCAATACTCATGTAGCCAACCATATGTGGAAGAATAGATAGTCATGCATTAAATGTGTGAATTGAAATATGCCTATCAAAAATAAATTTTTCAAATTTGAAAATATGACTATCAAAATAGATGGAGGGAGTACTTTTTAGTACACCTTTTCAACTTTGTAACATTCAATTTATTCATAATGCCCTCGAATAATTGCCATAAACCCACTATCATCCATCATGCAGATGGCCTAACAATTAGGCTCACCACACCTTGAGCAGTAATGGCATATATATCATCAGCATTGCATGGTTGCATCCATGGCAGGTCATTGCTGCCTGGGGTATACAGTTTTGCAGCTTTTCTTCCCTTGTGTTCAGGGTTCTGGTGCTTGCCGTCTGTAACCGGTCGGTTATTAAATACTGTACTGAGTAATTAATCCAACTACTTAATGACGGTTTCTTTTATCTTCTGAATCTGAATTTTTTGTCCATCCTGAAACTCTTCTCCTAATCCCAGAGATTCAGCACATGCGTACTTTACTTAAATCAGGCACAGATCAACCACCCAACCTTGGCTACTTCCCTGTTCCCTGCACAATAGAGAAGATGTGGACACTTGAGGATCCAGCCAAGAACAAGCTTATCATGAGTCATGACCACATATTGCTGCATTTCAAAGCCAGAATTGCAGTGAAAACGGAGACTTCACACCTCCGTCATTTCATCTTCAGCTTATCAACCGCAACCAAAACTTAAATTTCAAAACTTAATTTTAGAGTTAATTTTATTATTTTCTCATCATAGTTCTTTATTCCTACAATAACTACATTCTTTTTTCCTACAGTAAGCCGCTAAAATGGGATAAATAAAAGTCTTACTTATAAATTATTTTGTAATCACTAATAAACATGACTGTTTTTACGTTTTGAATTCGCTAAGAACATATATAAAATTTAAAATTGAGTAAATTTCAGAAAACTACAACTTTAGTGACAAATGTATCAGTTTGCTGCAACTTTAGCGACATGTTTCAGTTTGCTGCAACAATAGCACGGGAAATTATCACAAAACTGCAACTTTTACGTTATATGCTGCTACAGTTGTCACATATATGTACTGTAGCAGCATATAACGTAAAAGTTGCAGTTTTGTGATAATTTTTCACGATAATGTTGCAGCAAATTGATAGTTTTGTCACTAAAGTTGCAGTCTGAAATTTACTCTTTAAAATCTATACCTGCAAAATTATTTTTCGATCGCTAATAAATATTATGGCTTATAGCCTAACTACTTTTTTTTTCTTTTGTTGCTGGTTAGGCGTCTCCAAGGGGTGTTCATCACAGGCCACCAGACGTACCGAACTCACCTGTCTGTAGTTAATAAGACGACGAACTTGCCGGCCAGTCGTCACCACCGCCAAGATCGCTGGCTTGCTGAATTTTAGCTGATGGCGACAAGAATTAACTCAACCACTCCCCATTCACATCGAGCAGAGCCTTGAGCAGCAAACCAGATTTAATTTGCTTTACTGATCAGATGTGTTTGTATATGTTCAGGTTCAGAGACGTTTACAGCTCAATCATGGAGTGTTTGGCCGTTTATTATACGGCTCTGAATTTTCACTGTCTCAACCACAAGCTTCAAACTGTTTCAAAGAATAACATGTCGAAATAAAGGATACTGATCTCTCTGGTCACAAAAAAATTGTGCCCTTTTAATGTTGCGAAGATGTTTTCGTCACTGATCCATATCACACCGCATTACTATTAAGTTTCAACCAAAATACAAATTATCGAGTAGATTGCTAAAACGGATTATTTGCTCCATGTTTTGGGAAAAAATAAAAAAAAAGTCTTCTGTTATATTATTTAGACCACTTGTATTTAAATTAATTATTGTTTATTTACCAAAATATTTAATTTATCTCCATAACTAAATAAATAATCTTTAGTAATAGTCAGCTCAATATTTGTTTTGAATTGAGCTTGGTTTGGAGTCAAATCAATATGTATGACCTTTGTGCATCAAATGTAAATATTTTAAAAAATAATACTCGAAGTTTTTTTAAAACGTTTTTTTTGGGAGGCAACGATCCCATTCATTCTCCATGATTGCAACCAACTACAAACCAGTCATGCACGCTAGCCCATTCAGCCCACTACATATTTGCATAGCCATTTGGCTGAACTCCCTACTTCTCAAGGCATAGCTACTTCCGCATTAGCTCGGCTTCTCAATCCTATATGTGTACCGATGTTTGCACTTTGCAGCTCAATCTTGGAGTGTTCGGTTGTTTATACAGTTTTAAATTTCAATGTTTAGATATCAGCCAAATAACAACTTGTGGAAATAAAGTGAAACTCTCTCTGGTTATAAAAAGGCCCAATCAATTTAATTTAGACGTTGGTATGGTATTTAAAACATATTTTTTCCCACTATTTTGTGTCAGTATTAGCAAGCTTTAGTAAAATCATAACATTAGTGTAAAAGTAGGTTTCGTATCAAATCAATATCAATATGTGACTTTCGTATCTACTAACCATTGGGCATTAGCCCATTCAGGCATTCAGCTCAGTACATATATAATGCTTTCTTGCATATTTGACTATCTAAATCATGTGAATCCTGGTCTAATGGTGGCTAATTTTATAGTGGAATTTTAGTAAAGAACCACCTTGCGATAATGTTTGCTTTTACCTTTTTATCCAACCCAATCGATGCCCAATATGCATTTGCACCATTTGCTATCCACCACCATTCTCTTGCTAGTCTCCTAAAGGCCTATGCCAATGTCAAGCACCATGCTAAAAAAGGTGTCTCCAACTGACTTGGCAACTGTGTGGCATTGATCATGCCTTGAGAGCTGGACAAGCAACAAAAGAAGCGAGATAAATGAGTGAATAGGGAAACACATGTGGTCATTAATAGGATAGAAAGGCAAGTATGTAAAACCACTCTCCAACAATGAAGAATTGGGTCAGGGCAAGGTCAATAGAAGAGTCAGGGCCATAACTAGAAATCAGAGGCCCCCGGTGCGAATATACATATTGGGTCCTAAAATTTGAAAGCCATGGTGGCCGATGGCGGGTAGTCATAATCATGCACGGTGCACACTGTCATGGCTGGCGGCATATAGTCGTAGGCACATAGAAGTCAGAAACAAAAAGGGGCAATTGCAAATTTACCACTGTTTTGAATCGTTATTGCAAAACTGTCACTAGATAATTGAAAAAATGCCACTGGAACTGCCATTCGAGTGGCATCCTTGCAAAATTGAAAAAACCAGTGGCAAATTTGCAAATGCCCCAAACAAAAACCAGCAAGTGTGGCGGCGGTTGGGAGCATGTTCATTTGTGACGTCTGTTCGTGCCCATTGCCTAGCCTTATGTAGCGTTAATTGTTTGAAAAAAGGGGTAAATTTGTAGTGGTGATGGGAATCAGAGGAGCCAAGAAGGCGAGTAAGTGCAGTGTGCGGTGCATGTTGGTTTGATCAAACGAGGTAATGAGAGAATTTAGCTTGTTGTTTGGACTTTATCATGGATGCTAGAATAGCTTGTTGGGCTTTTTCATACTTGCAATAGTGTTTATTAGATTGGATAACTAATTAGTACTAGTACTTATAGATTTGGGAGCCCTAAATTTTGAAGACCTTGAACAGATTTACGCTTTACACGAAAAACGTCCAGGGTCTTCCGGCTAGCTCCACAAGGTGATGAACTAGACAACCTAGGTTCGAAGCCTCACCCCTTCTAATTATTTGATATTAGGTCCTTCTCTAATATTCACGTCTTTTAGATTTACGCTTTATACATATGGATGTACGGCCTTGAGAAGAGTAAGCAACTATCTTTAAAGCATACCTGTTAGCTGCATTGTTACCTTGCATTCTTTTTTCTATTGAGCACGTGTATAACTAGTGACTAATCATTTCTACTTATTTTCTTAATCTCCGTTCTCTAACTTATCACTAAAGGAGAGGTGATTGTACTACTGTCGGTTAATGTACATGCTCTTATTTGAATTACTAGTGCATATATCTTTCCATGTTTAGTTTTTCATCGAGAAATAACAATCAGTTCTAAGATTTGCTCTTGAAATAACTTCTATTTGCTATAAAATTGTCTCCACTTCTTTCTTAAATAACTTTGATTTGCTACGAAGTTATCTTGGATTGCTTCAATTAGCTCTTAGAGTAAATTGATTTTGCTCTCCAAGATCCAATATATTACATGTTACTGAACAAAGGTTACCCTTGATGTAGAAAAACAATCGAAAACACATGGGATCACGTGGAATGGCCAAGAGAAACAAAGATATGCATTTCTTACAAAAATGAGTTTCACGCCACAGCTGCACATGGTAAAACCGAATTTTACATGCAAAGTTTGTAATCATGTGCTAACTATATTGGTACCACTAGTTCAAACTCTCAAAATTTAAAGTTCGACCGATTTGTTTCTTTATGGTGGAACCCATCTATCTGAGCCAAAGTCCTAGATTTAATATAGGCCATCGTATTTTTCAAAACGAATATTATGAGGTAAAAAAAAAGAACTATCATTGACCGGGCCAGGGCTCACAATATCAATTGTTTTTTTGCGAAAACCGCTCGTTTTTTTATGAAATCGCCGGCGAACGGTTTGTGAAAACAGATCAATTATTTTAGCTTGGCGTTGACCGAAAGTCATTGGTTTAATCAATTTTTGGACAGTTTTTTGGGTAAACTGGGTAAGAACCCTTTTTTCCTAAAAACTTAAATAAATCTACCATAAACATGCAATGGTGAAACTGGCTAGTGCCACTAGTTTGTGAAAAAATGGTTTAGATCCAATAGCAAAATATCTCAGCACAAATCTTAGCACGGGATCCACGGGCCAAAAAGAAATTTAACAGTCCTGAGAACTGCCCACAACTAGCTAGAAAAAAAAAAGCGGCCGTAACCTTGACTTGTGAGAGCACTGAGCAAAAAAAGAGAGAGAGAGAGAGAGAGATGGTGAGGAGAGGACTGAGGCCGTAACTTTGACTTGTGAGAGCACTGAGCAAAAAAAAAAAAGAGATGGTGAGGAGAGGACTGAAACAAAAGAGGCGCTTTTTTTTTTTTCAGGTCGTGTCGCCCGCGTGTTCTCCGCTGCTGGAGATGGCAAGCAAGGGAAGACCTCTCGCACTCGCAGTCGCTGCCAAAATGGAAGCAAGCACACCCCTCTCGCTGCCACTGCCACTGCCACTGCCAAGCAAACAGCGCGGCGCCACAGTAGCAGTAGCCACCACGCACGCACGCGTCGGTGCGTGTTCCCCCCCCCCCCCCCTCCCCCCCGCGACAAATTCCTCCTCGCCTTTCCCCTCCTCCTCCCTCTCCTCGCCGCCGATCCGCCGCCGCCGCCGCAGCCGGTGAGTGATCCCCTTTCCTTCCTCTGTTGCCTTACCGAATTCCGCGCCGTGGGACGATTCGATCGACGGATCGATCGGTGGTTGGGTGGGTACTGGGTACTAGGGTTGGGGTCAGCGCCGAGGGGTTGCGGATTGGTTGGGGTACATGTATGTTGGTGGTGGTGGTACCCGTGGTTTACCTCGTGCTTGGCTCCGGCGCGTGGAGCGGCGGCGCTGACTTTCGGTGAATCGCGATGCCCCCCGATTCGGTGGGGTGGTGTGGTTTGTATGGGGATTTTGAGTTTTTTTGTTTTTGTTTTGGGGGTTTGGTTTGGCGTGAAATTGGGGCGAATAGGTGTGTGATTCTCGCGGAGTAGCCGCTCCTGGGTAAGAAATGGGCGAGTTTTTGTGGTGATCCGTGATCGTGAGAATTTGTTGATAAATTTGCGGTGTGTTTTACTGTTGAAAAACCCTTGCTTTGAGAATGCCTAGCATTTTTAGCTTGTCTCAGACTGTCAGACATGATGTCTATATGGTGGTGCTATTCGCAAGCGGAAGCATTTCTGATTTATGTGTAATCAGTTTGGTTACTGGACTAGACAATGCTGCCCTCCCAGTTATAAGTTGTAACATACTAGTGCTTACCAACAACCAGTATATCTCTGTGCTGCTAAATGGAAATTGAGATGACACCCAATGTTTTAAACAAATAAAGGCCAGTATAGCATTCTATTTCCAGGAATTATTTAGGCTTGGCTCTGCAATGTATTTCCTTCCAGCCTACTTGGTGCATGAGGTCATGAAATATGGTCTTCAAATTGAATTATAGATGAATTGTGATGCTGATATTCCTTGTTTTTCTTTTCCTTTTTCTTCACAGGGATCTTCCGTCGGATAGTATGGTATTGTGCTGGACACACTGTTGACTTTCGTCTCTATGATTATCTCTGATACCGATCGGAGCATTGCACCTCTTCCTTCGATCAATGGGCATTGTGAAGGTAGCAAGTTGTGCGCCTACAGAAGAGCGGGCTTACAGCTGTGGAGACGAGGACATTACACAAGAGGAGAAAATGCTGCTTCAGAGATTTCCTATTCATGAATCCGATGACTATGAACATGAAGAGGTCAATTGTGAGCTTGCAAAGTCTGGAGATCAGATCTGTAGTGTCCCTTATGGGCTTTATGATTTGCCTGAATTGAATGATATTCTTTCTTTGGAGACATGGAACTTATGTCTAACAGAAGATGATAGATTCCGTCTAGCAGCCTATCTCCCAGACATGGACCAACATGATTTCTTTGTAACAATGAAGGAGCTGTTTAGTGGCAGTGACCTGTTCTTTGGGAGTCCAGTGAAGAGCTTCTTCCACAGATTGAATGGTGGGTTTTATTCTCCAGAAGTTTCCCAGGCTAGAGAATTACTGATGATCTTTGAAAGACGAAGATATTATCATTTTCTGAAGTCCCATCATGATGGCATGATTTTCAAGTTTGCATCCATGGACAAGGTAGGAGGACGATGTGGGGCGAGTACTGGTCTTCAGGGTAAGGTTAACAGTTGGAATGACAGAAGACATGAAGATCCCCTCACAGGTGTTGACATAAGCGGTTCTCCTTTCAATAGAAGTCTATCAATTGCCAATGAGGTTAAAGATGCAACCCTTCCACCTTTGAAGCGAACCAAACGTATGGATGGGACAGTAACCACTCATTGTTCAGCCAAGCGCAAGGGAATAGTCTACAGAGACAAATCAATGGAAATGAGCTCATTGAAGAGTCCTGTCTTTCATGTTCCTGGTGAGCTTACTACATGTATTAGATTGCCCAAAGGTGTGCTGAAAATAAAGACCGATTGTGCTTCCCTCATTGATCACAATGAAGGAATTCATCGTACACCAGAACCGATGCTAGCAGACCAACTGGGAATACAGGTCTCCAGCTTACCTTGCGCTTCTGCACTGGATGTTCATGGTTTTGCGATGAATTCAGCTTATTACTACCACATAAACACAAGCAAGAGTACTTTGAGAAATCTACATGTGCGTCCCTACCAAAGAGAAGGCACACTTGATACTTACCCTCACTCAGTTGAAAGTCCGTTTGGAGTGCAAATTATGGTTCCAGAGGAGCTTAAAAGGGGTTACTATTCTCGAATGCCGAATTCCTTCCATCAGTCAACAACCAAACATAGTCCGGAATATTGCAATGAAGCACCCCACGAGAAGAACCTTTTGAAGAACTTTGGTCAACAAAATGCCGTAATTCCTGAAAGTTCTCCTGATCCATTTACAAGGAATACTGATTGTCATCAAACAAATGGATACATGACGCATGGTCTGAAAACTGCTGAAAGTATTTCTGAGGTGTTGACCCTTGGTACAGACACCGCTGGCCCTTACAAACACCTATTGGAGCAGTCTGAAACAATGCGTTACCCAGAAGGATTGAAGCTGAAGACTCCTGCCAGCCAGTCAGTTACAGAAGTTGAAGAAGGTCATAGGTACCCTTTCACATACAAAAGGAGGAAGCTGCAGAAGAGGCTTGACCTTGTTGATCCTGTCAAGAAATCAACTATGGTGGATTCAGAGCCTCTGAGCGCACTGGCTAGCGTGGCAAATGTAAAAATCAAAGGCAATCAAGCTTTGAAGATTGGCAGCTGAGAACAAGGATAGCTGAACATAGAAATTGGAGCATGGCTTATGAACATCTAGCTAACATAGTAAATAAAATGTTCTCTTTTGTTTTGGGTTCTGGTTCGAAGTCAGGTGGAGTGCATTCATTGTTAAATTTGATAGTAGACAAAATGACATGAATCTCTAGTGCAAAGCATTCAGATTCTCTGCTTTCTATCATGCACATCCCTCCCTGAATACCTCGTCTTCCAGATGAGCCGCAGTTTACTTAGATATATACATTGTGTTAATGTTTTTCTTTTAAAATAGTGCTGTTGACTTGCAATGTACTTCCTCCGTTTCATCATACTAAAAAGCCATTTTAGCTTTGTACCAAGTCAAATATTTTCAAGATTGATCATGTTTATAGAAAAATATAGCATCATTTAAAAAAACCCTATATATATACCCATTTGAATTAGGTATATACTCAATTTCAACAATGGTGCCCGGGCACCATGGAGCACCAAACAAATTTACTATATATATATATATATAATGATGATTTAATGAAACTAATTTGATATTGTAGATGTTACCATATTTTCATATAAACATGATCAAATTTATATATATATATATATATATATATATATATATATATATATATATATATATATATATATATATATTGATGATTTAATGAAACTAATTTGATATTGTAGATGTTACCATATTTTCATATAAACATGATCAAATTTAAATAGGTTTGACTTAGGATAAGCCTAACTCTGTACTAATGAAAGTTCTGCACATAAAATGTGTACAATTTTCCACTCATACAGTAGTATAGAAAAACCAGTAGCTAGTGATAAATGTTTCTTTTTCTCCAGCTTTATCTGATCTCAGCCATCCGATGCGCATCCAACGGCTCACGTTAATCACAAGCTTTCAAATATTCAAATAAAGCCTTCTCCCCTCCACGCGGCGAGAAAAAAAAAAAGAAGATAAAAATGGCGCCGCCGCCTCACCTCCTCCCGCTCCTCCTCGGCCGCCTCGTCGTCTCCGGCGACCTCCGCCGGAGCCCCGCCCACCTCCGCCGCATCGTCCCGCTCCTCCCTTCCCACCCCCACCTCGCCGCCGCCCTGTGCGCCGTCCATTTCCCGCTCTTCCCCTCCTCCTCCGCCACCTTCCTCCACAACATCCTCATCCGCGCCTCCGCCTCCTCCGCGTCCCCGCGCCTCTCCTTCGCCGCCTTCTCCTCCCTCCTCCGGTGCGGGCTCGTCCCTGACAGGTTCACCTTGCCGCCCCTCCTCGGTTCGGCGGGTAAGCTCCCGGCCTTCCCGCGCACGGGCGCGCAGGTGCACGCGCAGGCCGTCCGGCGCGGGTTCTTGGCGGATGTCTTCGTCGTCAACGCGCTCCTCGCGATGTACGGCGCGCTCCGGGACGCGGCGTCGATGCGGGAGGTGTTCGGGTCGTGCGCCGGGGTCGCGGACGTGGTGTCGTGGAACACGGTGATCGGTGGCTACGTGAAGTGCGGGGAGATGGAGAGTGCCAAGAGGGTGTTCGACGAAATGCCACGGAGGAATGGGGTGTCCTGGAGCACCATGGTGGGGGGCTATGCCGCGGCCGGGGAGCTGGATGTGGCAAGGGAGATGTTCGATCGGATGCCAGCTATTGGGAGGAATGTCGTGACATGGAACTCCATGGTGACAGGATTCGCGCGCCACGGGCTGCTGCCGTTAGCGAGGAAGATGTTCGATGAGATGCCAGTCAGGAATCTGGTGTCATGGAATGCAATGCTCCGGGGTTATTCAGTGAACAGCGACATGGATGGCGCGAGGGAGTTGTTCGATGTCATGCCAGAGAAGGATGTGGTTTCCTGGACATGCATGATTTCAGGGTATGCTCAGGCTGGACGCTATCAGGATACCCTTGAGCTGTTTCGCGCAATGCAGACTGAGAGCAATGTACAGCCGAATGAGGTGACCATGGTGAGTGTGCTTTCAGCATGCGCAAATTTAACAGCACTGGAAGAAGGAAGATGGGTCCATGCCTTCATCGACAAGCACAAAATGGTGCTCAACAACGAGTACAATCTTGGTGCTGCTCTTATTGACATGTATGCCAAGTGCGGGAGAACTGACATTGCTGTCAAAATTTTCAACTCCCTGGACCGAAAGAACGTCTCGGCCTGGAACGCGCTCATCACCAGGTTGGCAATGAACGGCAATGCTCGGGATTCCGTAGACGCATTCGAACAGATGAAGAGAACGGGTGAAAAGCCGAACGACATAACGTTTGTCGGTGTGCTCACAGCTTGTTCCCACGGTGGGCTGGTGGATGAAGGTCGACGGTGCTTCCAGAGCATGGCGTCTACCTGCGGAGTGCAGCCGGAGGTGAAGCACTATGGTTGCATGGTTGACATGTTAGGCCGAGCAGGGCTTCTTGAAGAGGCAGAGGAGTTGATCCGGAGCATGCCGATGGCACCCGATGTCATGGTTTTCGGCGCTCTACTGGGTGCCTGTCGAATGCACAAGAGATTTGATGTGGCTGAAAGAGTTCAGAGTGAGATCCATAGCCTCAATCTCAACGCCCAGCAGTCTGGCTGCCATGTTTTGATTTCTGACATTTATGCTGCTGCTGGTAAATGGTTCGATGTTCTGGAGGCGAGGCAAGTTGTGCAGAGGTCTGGCATCAGGAAATGGACACGATAGGTTTAAGATTCTTGCAGAAGCCTGATATTGACTTTACGCTTTTGAGCAATGGAAGTGGTGGCACTGGTGGGTATATTGCTTAATGCTTACAAGTTATCGGAAATGTGGTTAGAACATCACAACTCATAAGCCCCAGATAGCAAAATACTATGCTCGTTATGCTTCAGAGCTGATTGAAATTGCCATAACGCCAAAGATGGATTATGTCACAGCATCTGTCTTTACAGGCCAAAACTTAAAATTCATCAGAATTTATTCAGTTGGTCTTGTTTCCTTGACCATCAATTTCCTTGAGCATCAAAACATAGGCAAAACTTATTTAAATCATCAGAATTTTTTCAGCGGTCGTGTTTCCTTGACCCTTATAGAAGATCCAATGACAATATGCTATACGTGCATAAGCGTAGACATAATCCCACTTCATGGTCTTCGAGACTCGTCTGTTAGCAGTGTTTGTTACTCTCTGTTTCATATTGTAATTTGTTTTGATTTTTTTTCTAGTCAAGCTTTTTAAATTTAACCAATTTTATGGAAAAATAGTTTCATTAAATCTAACATTGAATAATTGTAATGATATGTTTATTTTGTGTTATAGATGCTACTATGTTTTTTCTACTATGTGATTTATAATATGATGAAGAGGAAGTATAAAATTTAGCTGATGTGAATATGAACGAGGACCGAGTGTTATGTTGTTTTTTGGTTTTTGTCAGGTACCTACTAGTCCTAATTGTGTTTTTGTCAGGTAATCCGGAGTGAGCTGCTCTGAAGAAACAGTCGATTGTTTGCTCTGAAGAAAAAGTTGATTGTTATTGCTAACAGAAAACAGATATATTTAATTGTTATCGTGAGCTGAAGAAATTTTCATCAGGTGCTCCAAGGATACCAAAGAAATCAGCTGCAAGGATTGGACGCCAACGGGCAATCGCCAACAAACACCAGAGCGAGCAAACCACCAACAAAGCACAGTATAAATTGCCAAGGGCATTCGCTGCAAGGAACTCCTCCCGTTGCTGTTGATCAATTTGATCAGCGTGACAAGATCTCCCATTCACACTACGCAATCATATGTTTCTGTAACTGTAAATTGCAAAGCTGGTGCTCGAAGGTGGAATTGAGGCAGAAGAATATTCGCAAAATTAATTGATACATCTAACTTGCAGAGGAAAAAATAGACAACTCATGAGGACACTAATATAATACTCATATTTAGCAATATAATTAACGTACGCAGTTCGAGAACCCATAGCACAATCTAGCCCCATGCATTGCAGGCTAGGTAAAGGTAAAGCAAATCGCACAAAATAAACCGAACCGACCCAACAACGCGATGTTCAAAAGGTAAAACAGATAAGCTAGCTCCAATGCTCCATGGTGTACTTTCGCTGCGAAGGATTTGACGAGGGGAAAAAAAAGGAAACCCGCTTAGTCGACCTCCTCCATCTTGCTCTCGCCGGCGTCGTCCTCGAGCGGCGGCATGTCGGTGTCGGCCTCCGCCGTCTCGTCCTCGTCGATGCTCAGGCCGAGCTTGAGCATGCGGTGGATCCTGCTGCCGAAGGTGTTGGGGTCGTCGAGGCTGAAGCCGGAGGTGAGGAGGGCCGTCTCGAAGAGGAGCAAGACGAGGTCCTTGACGGACTTGTCGTTCTTGTCGGCGTCGGCGCGCTTGCGGAGCTCCTCCATGATGGCGTTCTCCGGGTTGATCTCCATCGTCTTCTTGCTCGACATGTACCCGGCCATGCTCGAGTCCCTCAGCGCCTGGGCCTTCATGATCCTCTCCATGTTGGCCGTCCAGCCATACTCGCCGGTGACGAGGCAGCACGGGGAGTCCACCACACGGTCCGAGACCACCACCTTCTCGACCTTGTCTCCGAGCACCTCCTTGATGACCTTGCAGAGACCCTCGAATTTCTCCTTGAGCTCCTCCTTCCGCTTCTTCTCGTCCTCGCTCTCATCAAGCTTGAGTCCCTCCTTGGTGGCAGAGACGAGCTTCTTGCCCTCAAACTCCTTGAGCTGGCCAACAGCATACTCGTCGATGGCATCAACCATGTAGAGGACCTCGTAACCCTTCTTCTTCAGCTTCTCCAAGAAGGGGGAGTTCTCCACGGCCTTCTTGCTCTCGCCGGTGATGTAGTATATGTCGTTCTGGCCTTCCTTCATCCTCGTCACGTAATCCTTGAGGCTGGTCAGCTCATCGCCGCTCTTGGTGGAGTGGTACCTCAGGAGCTCGGCAATCTTGTTTCTGTTGGTGGAGTCCTCGTGGATACCGAGCTTGAGGTTCTTGGAGAAGGCTTCATAGAACTTGTTGTAGTCTTCCTTGTTCTCAGCAATCTCGAAGAAGAGCTCAACGCACTTCTTGACAAGGTTCTTCCTGATGACCTTGAGAATCTTGTTCTGCTGCAGCATCTCACGGGAGATGTTGAGGGGAAGATCCTCGGAGTCAACAATGCCCTTGACAAAGCTCAGCCACTCAGGGATCAGCTCCTCACAGTTGTCCATGATGAAGACTCGGCGGACGTAGAGCTTGATGTTGTTGAGCTTCTTCCTCGTATCAAAGAGGTCGAATGGTGCCCTCTTGGGAACAAAGAGAACAGCTTTGAATTCCAGCTGACCCTCCACAGAGAAGTGCTTGACAGCAAGATGCTCCTCCCAGTCGTTTGTCAGGGACTTGTAGAAAGCAGCATACTCCTCCTTAGTGATCTCCTCAGGCTTCCTCATCCAGATAGGCTTCTGTTTGTTGACCAGGGACCACTCATGAGAAACCTCCTTGATCTTCTTCTTTTTCTTCTCCTTTTCTTCCTTCTCTTCATCAACATCCTCAACCTTGCCCTCCTCAGCATCCTTCTTCTCTTCCTCATCTTCATCATCAGAAATTTCCTTCTCAGTGGTCTTCTCAGTCCATAGAGAGATAGGGTAGCTGATAAACTCAGAGTGCTTCTTGATCAGGTCCTTGAGGCGGCGCTCTTCAAGGTATTCCAACTGCAGGAAGCATGAGCAAGTTGTCAATAACAAATGAACACATTAGAGCCAGGACACCTTATAGCACATTTCACAGTTCAACTTAGGAGTTCAGGTGATTCTAAAAATTCACAACAGTAGAACAGTAATACTTGTTACTAATTAATTCATAGTACTCCCTCCGTTTCACAATGTAAGTCATTTTAACATTTCCTATATTCATATTAATGTTAATGAATCTAGATAGAGAGATATGTCTAAACTCATTAATATCACTATGAATATGGGAAATGCTAGAATGACTTACATTGTGAAACGGAGGAAGTATTAGACAACCACACGCAATCAAACTGACACAAAACCAGACCCAAAGAAAAAAAATGCATACACAATCAGTTTATGAGCTCAACAATAAGCTTATAGATCCTAAGTACATGTGTAACATGATTACTCATAACATCCAAGGCAGAAACATACTAACATAATTTTCACAGCAGGAGTTCGAAATGTTAAGGCATCTATCTAGATTATCACAATGTCAACAGTGTGTGAAATATGTTCATTCTGTTCAATCAATTCACCAAATGCCCCTACATAGAGACATTTTTTATGTCTTAAACAGACCGATTAAGCACCTGGCTCAAGCATGCCTATGGTGAAAACTTGAGGCACATCAACATGTTCTTTCTAAAAGTGGCTATAAAATCAAGTACCAACAATATTCGTAATAATCCTACGAGGACAGAATTACTAGTTGATGCATTTATCAATAGCAAGCCACATTCATGAACTATAAGGGCATTCAGCAATACAAGCAGCACAAATTGAACAAGAATTCAATGAAATTCTGTTAGTACCTGATCATCCTTGAGGTAGAGGGTGATCTTAGTACCCCTCCCAAGCTGCTCCCCAGATGTGTCACGTGTGACAGTGAAGGACCCACCAGCCTGAGACTCCCACACATACTGCTCGTCATCGTTGTGCTTGGTGGTCACAACTACTCTCTCGGCAACAAGGTAGGCAGAGTAGAATCCAACACCGAACTGACCAATCATGGACACATCAGCACCAGCAGCCAGTGCCTCCATAAACTCCTTAGTCCCTGACCTGGCAATGGTACCCAGGTTGTTCACAAGATCTGACTTGGTCATACCAATACCACTGTCAATGATCGACAGTGTGTTGGAGGCCTTGTCAGGAACAATATGGATGAACAGCTCTGGCTGAGCATCCAGCTTGCTCTTGTCCGTCAAGCTCTCGAACCTGATCTTGTCCAACGCCTGCAGAACACAAAAGCATAAGATAAGTGGCCGGTTTTGTATGAAAGCAGCTAGCAATTCCAATTCACTATCCGACAATAATTTAATAATGTTTCCACACCAAAAGTTCAGCTATCCCCATCTATTCTCACAGCTCAATCTTGACACCAAATGGGACATCTCTACCCTGCCCAAATTTAGCAACTCCAAAGATTTCAGGATTTACCACATTTTTGGCAGGATAGAGAACCAGACCAATCCTCAGTTCATAGGGGCAATTTTAACAATGAATCAGCAGAGTAAAGCACTGGTTGGGTGTTTTTGTTCCATAGGGTCAATTTTAACAATGAATCAGCAAAGTAAAGCACTGGTTGGGTGTTTTTGTTTCATAGAGGCAATTTTAACAATGAATCAGCAAAATAAAGCACTAGTCGGGTGTTTTTGTCTTATATATGGTCAAACCCTCCTATCAATTTAGAATGTGACATAACTAGCAAAATAAATGACAAATAAATGATAACTAGCAAAATAACAACCCTCTATGTTTATAGGGGATATGTTTTACAACATTTAAACATCAACACTCAAAGCATGTGAGACTTTTCAGATGCGACTTTATCAGAGCAATCGTAAATAATGCTACGAGATTAATTAGCAGAACAACGACAGATAATGCTGCCTATGCCTGCAGTTATGTTTATAACATTCTAATCAGCAGCAAAATTCAGGACTCTTAACAAAATTAAGGACCGCATGATCCACAGATTATTACACTAACAAAATTAAGTACTGCGAGCATGATCCACAGATTGATACACTGAGAAACGTAATTAACGTCGGAATCGAAACATAATCTTAAAAAATGGGGAGTGAAACACCACATCGCAGATTTATGTTGGGATGATGTCTCAGTAACCAGTAACCAGTGCTGCAGTGCAAACTCCCTCACACACCCACACACATAACAACACACACGAGTCAGCTCGAACCAGATTGGGTGAACAAACCGATCTACCAATCGGACCAAAAAAAAGCCCTTCTAACGCGCGCGCGTGCAGATCTGAACCAGTAAACCGAGGGCACTTACATCGGAGGAGTTGGAGATGAGCTCGCGGAGGAAGATCTCCTTGTTGGAGTAGAACGTGTTGATGATGAGCGACAGCAGCTGGTTGATCTCCGCCTGGAAGGCGAACGTCTCCGTCTCCGAGGCCATGGCGCTGCGGCGGCGGCGGAGGCCGGAAGCTTCCGGAGGACGACGACTTGGAGGCTAGGGTTAGGGCTTTAGGAGAGGGAGCTCGCGTGGCGTGTGCGATTCGATTGGAGAAAGATGGGGAAGAAGGGGGCGATATATAAGGGGGAGATGGGGGTTCTCGAACGTTCTACCAGGGGCTCGAACCAGCGGGGGAGTTGGGAGATGGACGACTTGACGAGTCGTCGGGCCCACATGTCAGTCGGTTGGTTATGGTTTTTATATTTTGGAAGGTTCTGGAGGAGTGGAGAGGCTTGGAGTCGGTTTAAATTAAGAAAACCATCATCTCTATGGTCTAGTACTGTATGGGAATAGTGAATACTATAATTCTTGTAAGGGGCAATTATAAATTTACCACTGCTTTAAATCGTTATTGTAAAACTGCCACTGAAAAATTACAAAAATATCACTAAAACTGTCATTCGAATAGCATCTTTGCAAAATAGAAAAAATCGCAAATTAGATGCAAGAAGGTTCAACTTAATTACAGGATGAATTTTGGAAGGTTCAACTGCACATCGCAGATTAGATGCAAGAAGGTTCTGGAAGCGAATGAAGACTTGTGGTCTTTATCTTTAGGGTTATGTTATTTGGTTAAGGTTGGAAGCCTTTCCTCGTAACACGCAAAACAAAACAACCTATTGACACGATTAATTAAGTATCAATTAAAAAACTTATATATATATATATATATACATATTAATATGATTTTTAAAACAATATTTTTATAAAACTTCATAGAAACAAATTACGTTTGATAGTTTGAGAAATGTGCGTGTGACAAATGAGTTATTGAAGTTGGAATAGTATTGCAAAGAACACGGCCTAGGTTCGTTGGTCAGCAAAACTAATTTGGAACCAAACATTTAGTACAATCTAGAAACTATCAAATTGGAAATTGGCAATGCCAATGATTTGGTTGCAAACCAAAACCACATGTGCACTATTCAACTACTAAAAGTATTTTGGTAGGACATGTTTTGGCATATCAACAAAATAATTTAGCCAATTGCAACACACGGGGACACAGACAACCAAACGAGATCAGAATGCAGACGTGGTAATATATCAATTCAAATTCATGAACAAAAACTTATATTTCAATGTATGGACTTGCAGAATTGCACAAACGCAAAAGGAAACAAAAAAAGGGGCAAGGAATTGTGCTTTGCTTCACTGCTTGGCAATTGGCAAGGCGACGGAATCAATCCCGGGGACCATAGGCTGAAGGGCCAGAAAAGAGGGCACAAGATGTCAAGCTTGTTCCGACTTCCGAGAGGAACTTCGTACAACAAAATGGAAGTATATACGCCTATCATGTACACATGGATCTATGAGGTATATACAGCACATACTCTGCCTGTTCTAAAATAAGCTAATTTTTATACATAAAATTAAACATAGCATGTGTAGATTCGTGTGAAAAGGTTAATTTATGAGGGTGTTTAGATCCAGAGGTGTAAAACTTTAGCGTGTCATATCGGATGTTATATAGGGTGTCGCATGTGGTATTTGGACACTAATAAAAAACTAATTACAGAATCCGTTAGCAAACCACGAGATGAATTTATTAAGCATAATTAATATGTCATTAACAAATGTTTACTGTAGCACCACATTATCAAATAATGGAGCAATTAGGCTTAAAAGATTCGTCTCGTAAATTAGTTACAATCTATGCAATTAGTTATTTTTCTAAGACTATGTTTAATACTTTATGTAGGTGTTCAAATGTTTGATGTGATATGGTGTAAAATTTTTGTGTAGGATTTAAACAGGGCCTTATTCTAAAATGGAGGGAGTAAAATGGTGAAATTTTCTGTTGTACTTTGTTAGTGTCATCGGTCAGCTCGGGCGTTGACCTAGTAATATGGGAACTGTGGTGTGTAATTCCTTCGAAATGAAGCTGGTCACTTCATCTCTCCAGTCCATGGCTCTGCAAGTCTCGCAAGTCGTTAGATTTGTTTGGTCCTTCATCTGCTTTGCATTCAGATTCAGTCAGCCCAAACTTACTAGAATCCTGATGATCATCAGTGTCACCACTTTGGGATGTGAAAAATGGTAGTTTCTGTCCAATGTGTGGTGAAGGAGGGAGTGCTGCAAGATTAATCAAGAAAACAAGGGATTACAAAGCATGGAATTAAGTATGGTTTAATGATGTGGATAGGACCGTTTGGTGTCCAAAATTTTGAGGGTATCAACTAAACATATCCAGAACAAAGATGATACTTGGGGTACAAATTAAAGTCCTCGGTAATAATATATCTTCTCTGGATGTCTCCCAGTTTCAACTTGAATCTGTTTGCAGTAGAAGTGCCTTCCTCGCTATGCTGTTCTATACTACTCCCTCCGTCCCATAATATAAGATTTTGAGTTTTTACTTGCACTGTTTGACCACTCGTCTTATTTAAAAAAATTTGGAATTATTATTTATTTTTTTTGACTTACTTTATTATCCAAAGTACTTTAAGCGCAACTTTTCATTTTTTATATTTGCACAAATTTTTTGAATAAGACGAGTGGTCAAACAGTGTAAGCAAAAACTTAAAATCTCTTATATTATAGGACGAAGGGAGTATATGTTACCCATATTACTCCATCAAAATTCACCTGGTATTGCAAGTTAATAATCACAGCAGTCACAACCTACAATTGTGGAAATCGTTATTTGGTGAGCATATGTGACATTTTGCTACAAAGGTAATTTTTCATGCGATAAATTTAACACTGAACATCAAATCATATATTTATATTCGTAGGCCACAACTAGGCTGCATTATCCAATAAAAGAAACAATAACACTCTCAACCATCAAATACTAGTATATGAGCAAAGATGCTGTACACATATGAAACTTTTGGAATACTACACAGAAACCAAATGTGCGGCTTCATTTTAAGCTTATATATTTTGAGTTTTTACTTACAATGCTTGACCATTCGTCTTATTTAAATTTATTTTACAAATATAAAAAACAAAAAGTTATGCTTAAAGTACTGTAGATAATAAAGTAAGTCACAAATAAAATAAATAATAATTTTAAATTTTTTTAATAAAACGAGTGGTTAAACATTGAAAGCAAAAACTCAAAATCCCTTATATTATGAGATGGAGGGAGTACTTATTAGTCAAAATTTAAATTTTCAATTTTAAATTTGAAATTGATTTTAAAGTTTTTTTTTATCAAAGTTTATTTTTAGCATTTACTTTTAATTCGTTAAAAACACGCATATAAAAGTTTTATTCACAAATGACTTTTTCTTTGCAGATATGCCGATGGGCACCCTTATCATCGACTCATCGTAGTATTAGAATTTATTAGAGAAAACAAATTGCGGTAAAAGAAGGGTAAGATGGACGGCGTCAGCTATATTTCCCAAGTCTAAAACGTCCAGCCGTCAGCTATTACGCAATCACCAGGAGACGGACGGCGTTTATAAACCTTCCTCCGTGCATAGAATCGTCGTCCCTTCCCTCCGAGTGCCGTACGGCCGCTGCCGCCTTCTGGAACATTCGCTTGCCTCCGCCAAAAAAAAAAAAAAAAAATCCCTCCTCCCCTCTCCCCTCGAGTGGGGCGCAGCCGCCTCGCTCGTCTTCCTTCCTCCTCCACCGCCGCGCGTGCGCGAGTGCGCAGCCGCCATCGCCGTGCGCTTCTCTGCCTCCCGATCTGCGGTGCGACCGGTGTGATCGCGGAGCGGCGGCCGACGAGAAGGATTTTTTTGAGGGAGGGGGGCGAGTGGTGCGACGCCGCTGACCTCCTTCAATTCCACCTGCCCCAATCTCGGTTGGGAATCGAATCGAAAGGTATTCCCATCCCCTCCTGCTTGGCTGAGCCATACGGGGCTCTGATTGATTCATATTTGACTCATATTAAGCATCCAGTTTTATTCTGGATTTTTTTTTGGCGCGTGGTGTAGTACTACTGGAGTAGCAACTTGTGTCCCAAAATAAAATTGAGGGTTTAGCCGCCCCCTGCTCATTAGATGCAGTGGCCTTATACTTTCATATTGATATAGCAAGATAGGGTAGTAATTTTTTTTCTTCCCTGTCTTGTTGATAACTTCTTGGTAGGTGCCACTATGATCTTCTGTTATAACATCATCATACTATGAAATTAGTTTGATGGCATAACGTGTTTTTTTTTCTTATCAGGAATAAGATGGAAGAGAAGAGAATAGCTCGGATTTCGGTCACTTGGAGAGGCAGACAGCTCGATGTCGATGCAGACCCGAGCTGTACGGTGAAGGAATTCGGGCAACTTTTGCAGGATTTGACTAGTGTTAACCCAGAGACATTGAAGCTTATTGTTCCGCAGTCTACAAACAAAGGCTCCAAGCTGATCACACCGTTTTCCGACCCTCATTCAGTTTTGACATTGAAAGAAGCTGCTATTAGTGATGTAAGATGCACAAGAGTTGTACTTGCTCAGCAATATGTTGCTACGTTATGGATATTATAATGGAGAATGGAATAATTTATATTCAATCATTGTTTGCTACAGGGGAAGCCTATTAGAATGATGGGTGTTTTTAATGATGAAATCGAGGAAGTATCGGACAATGGCAAAAGAACAGATCTACGGATAATTGGATTTGAGGAGGAAGAACAACGGCTGAGGCAACGAACATCAGGCAGGCCCCAAGTTCCACTCAAACTTCCACAGGGCCAATACATCTTCTGTGATTTTCGGACACTTCACTTACCTGGGATTGAGGTTAGTTAGCCTCTACTCCCTACGTGCTTTCTGAAATCTATAAGAAACAGTTCATGTAGGCATGTCAATCCGCCCCTTCCATACTCCACATATCATTTGTCTCCTCACGGATTATCATAAACCTTAGCGCGCACATTTTCCTCTGAAGTCTGAACTCTTGCAATTTCCTGCTTGAATTAGGATGCAAGCAGCGCACGAAGTGTTCCATTTGAACAGTATGCACACTATAAATTGTGGATTAAATAGTTTGAAGGAATTGGACCATTGTGCAGTTTGCACTGGTTTCTGTCCAAAACTTTGTGAAAAGACAACGTTAAACAATGTGGTGTGCTCATTTTATTTATCATAGTTAACACCTTCTCATTTCATGACATGACTTCACTATAATAATTATAATGAAATCAGTATATGTATGAAATGAATGGGTTCACTATGACAATTGTAATGAAATCAGTATATGATTCCTGTAACTTGCTATAGATTATATATAGTACATTAGATTTGAACACTAGACATTATTTTCATATATACCTCATTCTTTCGTAAAAAAAATACATGCATGCTAGTAGAAAAACAGATATACCTGATTTGTATGATAACAAATAGGCCAATCACAACATCTTGAACTATCGAGTTTTGCTTACGTGCCTTTTGTTTGATGCCAGTTGAATCCCCCACCTTCAGAAGCTCTGAAAAGAATGCACATGCTAGCATGTGACCCAGGCATAATTGCGATCATGAACAAGGTAGCAATATTTTCAAGTGGTGTTTCTGTTTTTTATGTTTGTGTACATTCGTTATTTTACAGTTATCCTGTTGGCCTTTTCAGCATAGATGGCGAGTGGGAATCATGACTGAAATGGCACCAGTAGGGTATGTAGGCGTCAGTCCAAAATGCATTCTAGGCTTCAATAAGGTTAGTATAACTGTATAAGCTTTTTACTACTGCACATATGGATACTTGTCACACAACAATTTCTGAGGTTATATCATCATGTCTTCCTCATTGTTAATACAGAACATGGGAGAGGAAATATCCCTTCGCCTACGAACTGATGACTTGAAAGGATTTAGGAAATATGAAAGTATCAAGAGAACTCTACTCCATGAACTTGTATGCCTCCTTGGTTTTCTGCTTTCATGAAATGGAGATTTCTTATGCAGATCTTCCGTTTGTCCTCTGTAATCATGCCTATTGTATATTAAACTTGCACTTGGTGATTTCAGGCACACATGGTGCACTCCGAGCATGATGCAAATTTTTTTGCTCTTAATAAGCAGGTGATTTTTTTTCCTAGACAATCCTTTCATGATTGGCTACTGTCTCTTTATGTTTTTGAGTTAATCTGTTCTTTAATACAATGTCAATTTCAGTTGAATGATGAAGCAGCTTCCTTGGACTGGACCAAGTCAAGAGGTCATGTGCTGAGTGGTCGCAAAATCTTCGATTCCTATGAAGACGAATTTGTTCTGGAGCCAGACAGTGTTGTTGTTGGCCACAAACTTGGAGGAGGATCCAGTTCACTGGCAAGTGCTCGTGTGTTGTCTGGGTCTGCTGCTTATAAGCGTTTTTTGAATGCATCAGCGGATTTAGAGAGTTCTAAAGACAGCGTTACTATACCTGGAAATGAAATTCTTGTGCCTAACACAAAATTTGAGCCTGATCCAGATGATGTTGGTCAAGATTTTTCTCAGGACAACACTAAGGTGGAGCCAGACCCAGATGATAATGATGACATGAACGTGGATGTAGGGACTGGGGCATCTTGGTCCTCAGTTTCTAGATCATTTACAGAACAAGATACCATCAGTCACTCAGAGCCTGACCCTGATGATATTCACCAGCAAAGCACTGCTGGTTGCCTAGAACCTGACCCTGATGATTCCTCAAATGTTGATATTCTTAGCCAGGAGTTGACGATTGATGGGAAGCAGAATGGAGAACCTGATCCTGACGATAATGGTACTAGCAAATTTATTCCCGAACCTGTAAACAAGATGGAAGTAGAGACTGAATTGGGAAGTAACTTCGCAGTTCAGAATTCTGAACCTGATCCTGATGATTCCTCAAATGCTATTCTGAATAAGAAGCTGGGAACTGACAGGTCTGATGAAACTACATGCGAAGCTGTTGTAGAAGAATGTGTAAACAAGATGGAAGTGGAGACTGAACAGAGCAGAAACTCGACAATGTCAAAATCTGAGCCTGATCCTGATGATCATGCTGCTAATTCAAACATCAGTGAGCTCCAGAGGATCGAAGAACCAGTGGCAGCCCTCTGTGCACGCCTTCAGAAGGCCATTGAAATGCTTCGCTCACAAGCAACACCTACAGAGGCAACTTCTGCTCTTCAAACACTCTTTAAGATCATCAAGAATGTGATAGAGCACCCACATGATATCAAGTACAGGAGACTGCGTAAGGTATGCTTGGCTGTTCTTATGCTCTTTTATTAGGTTCAATTGGTCCACTAAAAAAATTCTTACTTACTAATCCTCATTTTTCAAATATGCAGTCCAATCCACAGTTCCAAAGGAGTGTGGCGAACTACAAAGGTATCTATTTGCTTTATAGACTCCCCTCTTTTTTTTTCTTCAGGTCTTCAAAAATCAACTGTAACTAACTTCCTCATTTTTTTCGCCTCCCTGAAAACAGCTGCAATGGAGGTCCTTGAACTGATTGGTTTCTGTGAGGATGTCGTCTCGGATGAGATTGGTCGTGCAGAGACTTACTTGGTATTGAAAAGGAACGATCCTGGCTTGCTGTGGCTTGCAAAGGCCTCTCTTGAAGTTTCCATGGCCTGAATTGTTTCACCAAGCAATCTCCTATTGCTTCTGTATACCTGTAAATCATTTTCATTACTGTTGTGGGGATGCTCATATGCTGCTCTTAGGCAAATGATGTAGTATGGTCTTCCTACACGATGATTGTTTGTATATGGAAACACCAAAATGGTCTATACTGTCTGTCAACACACTTCATGATTTCTCATCAAATATACAAACTATAGATAAATTACCTGGCAAAATGGACACATCTTCCCTTTTGTGTGGACTCTGATAGAAATTGATTCCAGATGCTCACAAATGCCAGCCAACCGTATCCACGAATAAAGTCTCGACTAGACGGTGTATTCCATTATCATCACAAAGATGTTAATTTTGGAACTGAAGTATATAAAACCAAATTTAATCACCAAAGGTCTAATGTTTGGGAACTGATTTTTTTTTAAAAAATCAAATCTTAAATCTTTGCCCTTTTTGTTCTGTATTGGGCCTTTCCAACCTCGATCCCAACAAATTCCGGGCTGTAAATTCGGTGGGCTTGGTGTCTAACAACAGCAGAAGGCCCACATGCGTCCCATCGCAATATCCCATCGGCCGCTCGCTTTCGACGCGTAGCGGCAGTAACACACACTCTCTCCCTTCCGATCGTCGCCGGCGGCCATCGGCGGCGCTAGGGTTCATCGGGTTACGCAGGACAAACTGCGTAGGCGAGGCGCGGGGGAATCTCGCGATGGAGGCGGCCGTCGCTTCCACCGGCTCCGGCCTGCGCTGCTCGCCCAATCCGATGCCTAAGCAGCAGCACGAGCGGCGAAGTGCTCGGGTGGGCTTCGTCTCCCAGCCGCGACCTCGCGCTGTCCGCTGCGAGCGGTCGCCCCATCCGGATGCTCGAGCCTACGCGGCGGTGGCGGTGGGGGTGGTGGCGAAGGGGCGTGAGGTTGGGGGCGTCGGGGTGGAGAGAAGGAGGCTCGCGGTGTTCGTTTCCGGTGGGGGATCCAACTTCCGGGCGATCCACGACGCCGCTCTGGGTGGGGAGGTGAATGGTGATGTGGTTGCGTTGGTTACCGATAAACCAGGTGACGATGACGACGATGCTTTGCTTCCTTGAGCTCTTTGGGTGGCGATGTGGGTGGAATTGTTGGGATTTATTGGGGATTTTTGATGTGGCTTGCAGGCTGTGGAGGAGCGGAGCATGCGAGGGGTAATGGGATACCGGTGGTTGTGTTCCCGAAGTCGAAGTCTGCTCCAGAGGGGGTTTCTATTGATGAGTTGTTGAATGCTCTGAGGTTGGGTTGGTTGCTTTGATCTCACCTTCAGGCTTTGACATTCGATGTTCTAGCTTTAGTAGTTCATCTGTTAGGTTTTAGATAAGTGGATTTGTAGAAAAAAATGGTCGATATGAGATTTTTCACACTTGCCTTTAGTCTTGTTTGCAAAATGCATACATGATACATTGCTGTGTGCTGATAAAAGTTTTCTAATCCATTTATCTGTCTTATGTGTGCGAGTAGCGTTTAAATGATTTTAAACGAAGATGAATTGGTAACTATTTAAATGATTTTAGTGTTTACTTATTGAATGTGTGCCACTACCTTGTTTTGCCAGATGAACTTTGATATCAGTTTTATGCTCTGGGTTGACGTTTAGTCCGGAACCTGTTGGAGTGTGTTCTTCATCAGTTGTACAGTGTGCCCACACAGTCAGTCAGATTAGCTTCCATTTTGTTATTGCCTAGCTGATATACTGTAATGTACCACTGTTGATTTTTTCACGAATAGCCACTGCATGTTTTACGGTGTTTGTAGTTCCCACTTCACTTATATCCTCTTCTACAAGACTGGCTTGCCTACTGCGGATATTTGTTTTGGTCACTTGCAATAGGTCTCAAGATTCTCAATCTATCCTTAATTTCTTATGTGAAACAGGGAACTCAGGGTAGACTTCATTCTACTTGCTGGTTACCTGAAACTTATACCTGTTGAGCTAGTTCAGGAATATCCAAAATCCATTTTGAATATTCACCCTTCACTACTCCCAGCATTTGGAGGCAAAGGTTATTATGGTTTGAAGGTGCATAAAGCAGTCATCGCATCAGGGGCCAGGTACTTCACAATCTCTCTATCACCCATCACAAGCAACTGCTGTGCAGTTTGCATATCTACTCAATGCTATTTCCATGGAAAGCAATATCTTGGCAATCAATTTGAGCTGATACCTCACATTGTAGAAGAAAATTAAATCTTGATTATTAACTTAATTGGAGAATGATCTTTGTTTGTACTCTAACTGTTAAGTGTCAACTATACACAGGTATTCGGGTCCAACTGTGCACTTTGTGGATGAGCACTATGACACAGGAAGGACTCTAGCCCAAAGGGTTGTACCTGTGCTAGCCAATGATACTCCAGAGCAATTGGCTGCAAGAGTCCTTCATGAGGTAACATATCTTATGCTCCGCTAAGATTTCTTTGATGATACATGGCTATGACATATTCACTTAGCTGCAACTGAAATTGATGATACACGTTCTTTTGCTCATTTATTAACCTTATTTTTCAGGAACATCAGGTTTATGTTGAGGCAGTTGCTGCCCTATGTGATGACCGAATTGTGTGGAGAGAAGATGGTGTTCCACTTATTAGAAGTCATACAAACCCTGACGAGTACACTTAACTCATAGTACTACCTCAAGGATTGCTGCGCAGCATGCACGTAATGAGGCTTCTAGAATGCCTGCATTGTTTTTTCCCAAGGCATGAAGGTCACTCGTACTAATTGAGATAAATAACTTGTCTGGTGCTGTTACTGAAACAAAATATCTTGTGCCGTTCAACTCACCGCTTGTTGTGTGACTTTGCTCCAACAATGACATGCGCATAGGCCGATACTTAGAAACCTCAGTGTTTGCTGGTGTGACTTGCGGAAGCATACTGGTTGCTGCATGCACCAAGTTTTTTTTTTTTTTGTGTGTGTGACAGAGCGGGGTGGGGGGGGGGGGAGGGGGTCCATTGTACCCTTTAGTCTTGGAATTGTTGTAATCGGCTGAAGTCAAGTCGATCAAAGAGGGAGTAAAAACTGGTCAGATCACACAGGTTTTCAATGTGTAATCTGATTACCATGCTTCCCATATGTTCCATCCTTGTTTGGTCTGAAGGTGTTAATATTTAACCCAACTGAAGTTTTCTTTGAGATTTTAAAAGTTCTCTTGCAAATTTCAGTATGCGAGAGGGATAGAAGAAGGGGATGGTGCAAATGACAGCCATTCTTAGAGAACCCTCTCCGACAGAAAGGTTCCTGCCAACTCTTCCTCCATTTTGTTTTTAGGTACTACATTTTTGTATTGAGTTTGGGTTAGATGATTCTTGAAGCAATTAAGGTTGTTTCTTGTGTTGATCTCCCCTCTCAATTTGCTCTATGTTCTGAGGAAGATGGGCAGGTGGTTAATATACCGTCAAGCTGCGTTTCTTTCATATATATGCAGATTGCGGTTGTGGAAACCTACATTTTTAGAGTTCCCGACTTAAGACGACTATATTTTAGAGTCACCATGCGTGAATATACGCAACCATGAGGTCCATGACTAGAGAGAACAATGCAGTTTCATTATTGCAGTAGAACAGCGACACTGTGATGCTCAGCTGCAGTTCCTAATATCCCTCAACACCATGATTGAGTAAATCAATCACACTCATTAGATAATGAAACAGGAAGAAGCTAACTAGTCGCTTATGTAAAGCAAACTCAATCAACCCAAACCGGATTGCAAGTACTTGAGTTATGACTTGCAATTTTATTATGCATTATTGTCTCAAAGCAAAATATCTTAGGAATTACTTAGCACAGAACATTAGCAATATACGTCCATACATAAATTATTGGGTCCTTGGCAAGCTTGCTAGTGTCCTAGCTAACGCTAGACTGCTAGATCATAATTATCGAGGAAACGATAGCATTTCCTCTTCCATGGATTGACTACTTGCTTCTGTGGCAACTCCTTCAATTGACATGTATAGTGCTGAAATTTGATTTTTACTGGGTCTACTTGATTCCCTATTTCCCTTATGGAAGGGGCCCTTTTTTGATAATATGTTTTCCAGTGCCATCTCTACTTCTCTCATTGAAGGCCGTTCTCCTCCTTTCAATTTAGTACACAGTGCAGCTACTTCATGGACTTCTCCATCTTCCTCCTCCTTGACTTGAGGATCTATTATGTTAATAAGGTTTCCTTCTGAGAGCAGCAAAATAAAATGTGAAACAAGGCCATCACCATCGAACGTGTCAACAACAGGTTTCTTTCGAGTAAGCAACTCCACAAGAAGAACTCCAAAACTAAAAACATCGCTCTTGTCAGTTAGTCGACCAATATAATAGTACATGGGATCTAAGTAGCCAATTGTTCCTTGAACAGTTGTAGTTATTTCAGATCGATCTATCGGGGTGTACTTTGAAGCCCCAAAATCTGATACCTTCGCTGTTAAACTATCATCAAGAAGTATATTGGAGGACTTAATATCTCTATGATAAATTGGCATTGAAGAAGCTGAGTGTAGATAGGACAAAGCTCTAGCAACCTCAAGTGAAATCCTTAATCGATCATCCCATGACAGTGAGATTGGACCATCGACATGAAGATGATGATAAAGGGCCCCATGTGAAATGAATTCATAACCAACAATGGAACTTCTGTCTCAAGGCAACATCCTAGGAGCTTCACCACATTTCTATGGTTAATTTGAGAAAGTATTGCGACCTCATTTATGAATTCACCTATTTCTCTTTGAACTATAATCTTTGATTTTTTTATGGCCACAACATTCAGGTCTAGAATCCCCTTGAACACGACTCCATGCCCTCCATCTCCGACTTGGCAAGATCTATCAAAATTGTTTGTGGCCTTTTGGAGCTCCTCTAAGGTAATTATCATTCGCTCACCAAAATCTGTGTTTCTTGATATTAACTGCTGCAGTAGCAATCCATGATTTTGCTTAAAGAACTTTTCTTTCAGTTTTTTCTCCCTGCGTTGCTTGACCACACGTGCTACTAGGGGAGTAGCAAGTACCAGAATAAGAACAATTGATCCACCAGAAACTATTAGAGCTATGCTTAGCCCTGAAAAGGAAGATCCATGAAGAGGCAAATCTAGTGAATAAATTTTTGAGATATGTTGGACTAAGAAAGATCTAAGCTATAAATTTTGGAATGATTATCAAACTACCATAGACTCGCTATATAAACCGAGTTTGTATTATCATGCAAAGATAAGGATACATAAATTTGGTAAGATATACTTCATCCGTCTAAAAAAAAAACCGAATCTAGGACTGGATGTGACACATTCTAGTACAATGAATTTGGATAAATGTGTCACATCCAGTACATTGGTTTCTTATGGGACGGAGGGAGTATGCTCTTTAGTGAATTGTCACCTGTCAAAGAATTCTTGGATGTGATGCATCCCCCCTTTTTAAAGGGATCCCCATATCCATTTTGACATCGACAATGAAATGACCCATGCGTATTTATGCAGATTCCATAGCATGAATGCGCCGGTCTGCACACTCATCAATGTCTACATAAACAATACAACTTACTGAAAGTACACACCTAGAAAGGAGATCTAAAACAATGTTGAGAAATCAAGAGATATATTAGCTAGTTGTGCGTTTCTCTGGTAGTGTGGATTATATATAAAATTTTGAAGCTATTAATTTCAGTTTTTTAGACTATTAATAAATTAAATTGTTTTTGTTCTTGAGTGCTTAAAACAAATTTATATAACTTTTAACTAAAAAATGGTGCAAAAGTATGTAATGTAAATTGCTTGTGCGAATATATGGGGGTTACCAATTATTGTACTCAATTATGTATCAATCTAAGGAAGTAACTTGTTTTGTTATACATATGTCGTTATGTTGAAACACTCGTATTTATCTACATACCTTCGCATCCGTTTGGTTGAGTAGCGTTGCCCTTTAAGCCATCTCGGCACCGACAGTTATATCCTCCTTGCGTGTTAGTGCAATCGCCAAAACATGGATATATATCGGGAGAATGACACTCATCGATGTCTAGATATGCAAAATTGTATTGGTCAGGAGAGGGAAAAGTCTGATCGTTTTAGATAATGAAGAAGGAAAAGTCTAGGTTGGAAAATTAATTGTGATTAGAACTAAAGTTATCTTTGCAAAACGACCACAAAACCATACTTGGAAGAAAACATATAAGGAAATGCACAAATCTACCCTTTTCAAAAAGGGACAATATCCACATATATGGGGCCACTTCTAGCATCATCGGTCACTATTAGGAATTTCTTTTGTACGTTGGTAATTATAAATCTTATAGTTCATTTGTGTAAGAGTATATATGAAAAATAAAATCATTTGATGGTTGATTGCACATGATTTTTAATATGATTCTTTATATAAACAATGATCCATGTGAATGCAAAGTTTAAGGACCCGTGTTCATAACGTATACCTTTGCATCCATCAATGATGTATGGATTGCCTTGATAACCATAAGAGTACTTGCACCGATACCCGTTGTTTGCCCAAGCATCAGTGTCTTGGCAAGAGCTATGGGCACTGCGACACTCGGGGGCAGATGAATTTCTAGGACAATAACTTGTCGAATTACTGATTACCCATTCCAGCAAGGCTGGGAGCGCTTGCGGATCTCTGTCGGAATCAAAAATAATGAGATCGACATTGGAATTAATGAAATTGGTATAGTTGAATCCCTGGTCCACCATGTAGATATTTAAAAAGTTTGCATCACCGTGAATCTGGATGAGATAGGATGAGTAGCCTAAAATGATGTTTGTTTGACAACAACAAATGCCCGAGCACGCACTTATCCCGAAAATTGCTGATGGGATCCTTGGGCAGATGACACTGCAGGAGGCGATCGGGTTGTCCCCTCCCAGCCCCCAGACGTCGACCTGGCTATCGTGGCCCATCAACACTAGGCTACTCCCCGACTCCGACAGGAAGAACGGCCCGCCATCTGGGAGGCCACCGCCCCATGTCCCGTTTGCGCTTCCACGGCCATCGTACTCCAGATTGATTCGGCCGCTGTTGATGCGCACGGTTCCATTGGGGATGGAGATGTCGAGCACCTGCACCGTGCCATCACCGAGGAACAGCCTGGGCGGGTGGTATGAGTGGTCGCAGGTGAGGTTGAAGCCGACTGTGTGGTAGCAGCCGGGCTCCACCCCGAACGGGTACTCGATGCTGATGTTACCGCAGCTGGTGGTGCAGCTCTTGATTTTCTTCGCGGTTGGCACCGCGGGTTCTTCCGCCGCAGCCACCATCGCGGCCAGCAGCTGCAGAATCAGCAACTGAACATGCACTCTCCTGCTGCCCACTACCACCCTGACCATCTCTGTATATACTCCCTCCATTTTAAAATGGTTGACACCGTTGACTTTTTAGTACGCGTTTGACCATTCGTCTTATTCAAAAAATTTAAGTAATTATTTATTCTTTTAATATCATTTGATTCATTGTTAAATATAGTTTCATGTACATATATAGTTTTACGTATCTCACAAGTTTTTTTTAATAAGACGAACGGTTAAACATGTGTTAAAAAGTCAACGGTGTCAAATATTTTGAAACGGAGGGAGTATGTTTTATCGCAACAGATTATGTATCGAACGTTCTATCAATGCTGATCCTGATATGGATTTGCTGGTTTGTAATTAATCTCTGGTTTGTAATTAATCTCCGGTGTAACTAACTATATATACAGATGTACTCTAGACGACTGAAGTAGTCCCTATCGTGCGGCCGTGCCTAACTAACGAAATTAACTACTAGTATGTAGTAAGATGAATGGATTGTGTCGTCAGTCAATGACAATCATATATACGTTCCATTCTACACGGAGGTCTCAGATAATATATAGTATAATGATGATATAAAGGAAATATAAATTTGTTAATTATACTTGGGTGCGTATGCATCGTGTATCACGCAGTGTCTCGGCATGCAGCTTGCTGCTTTTGCTTTTCAGCGAGTGGGTCATGTCGTCTCCTTTAATTCCCTCTGTATGGTCCTGTTTAGTTGGTGAAACTCTATATGGGCCTGTTTAGTTGATGAAATAAAAATTTTTAGGTGTTACATCGGACGTTTGTTCGGATGTCGGAAGGGATTTTTGGACACGAATG